TGATGGCATCAATTGCTCTAGGAAGCTCTTCGAGTTTACAATGTTGATATAGCTGCAAGTCGTCTGCATAAAGGTGGTAGCTTGAAACAAGTATCTTAGTGATAGCGTTAATAAAAACGGAGAAAAGTAGCGGAGAGAGGACGCCACCCTGAGGAACACCCGCAGACAGGTCGCACCAATCAGATGAAACATCATCAGAGCGAACCGACTGCGAGCGACCTCGAAGATAAGAATTGAACCATGCAGTTGCAGAAGGAGATACATTTAGTGAGGATAGGATACCGAGGAGGATGTCAAAGTCAACTGAGTTAAAAGCACTGCTAAAGTCCAGCAACACCATTATCGTCAAAAGCCTATTCTCCATGGCCAGTCGGATGTCATCGGTTATTTTAACCAGTGCCGACACTGTGCTATGACCAGGGCGAAAACCAGATTGGTATGGACTTAGCAAGCTGTTAGAGGAGAGGTAATGAGACAGTTGACTGTTGACAACACTCTCGGGGACTTTAGATAGGATAGGAAGTATGGATATGGGACGAAACTCAGAAAGTGAGGACGGATTGGAGACTTTGGGTAATGGCAACACATGAGCTTTTTTCCAAGCTGATGGAAAGGAGCCAGTGTAAAGGGAATAATTGACAAGATGGAGAATTACAGGAACAAGTATATTAAGGATGGAAAGAAGCATCTGTAGATGAAGACCATCGTCCCCTACAGCTTTTGTGGAAATGTTTAGGATGGCACGCTTAATATCTCCCTCTGTAGCCGGGCGGAAAGAGAACGACGTACAGTTTGGCAAAGAAAGATTGGAGAGATAATCGAGAGTCGACGATTTAACGTTGTCATCCAGCGTTACTGGCGACTTCGAGAAATGGTCATTAAGTGTGTTTAGATTGATATCGGGAGCGCTATCATTAGCAACCTTGCCGATACCAAAAGACTTTAAGAATTGCCATACTTGTGCCGTATTGAAGTTTTTAATGGAGTTGTGAATATATTATATTGTGATGTTTTGCAAATAACAGTATCTTCCTTGTCATTTCCATAAGCAGCACCGACCTTGTACCTCCCTGATTTCTGAGGTAAGATACTACTGTTCGGTTGTCGGATTGTATCATAACAGACTGGTCTTTCAAGACATCCCGAAACTCGACTAGAGCTATATAAACGATAAAGAGCTCCTTTCTGTTTATGTGCCACCTCGCTTTGTCGGTTGTCCATTTCCCTGAGCGATGATAATCGCTCATCTGTACTCCCCAGCCTTCGTCGGAGGCATCCGTGCTTACGAAAATCGTTGGTTCTGGTACAAAAATTCTGCTTGGATTTTGGACGTTTTTCATCCACCAAGAACAATCGTCCAGTGCCAGTGACGTCACTGCAATCTTTTGACTTGGTCGATGCTGTGACAGCTTTTGACAGGCCCTTTGAAGATGCCTGGTATGCAATCGCCCAAGTGGGGTTACAAGAGACGCAAAGCCCAGTCTTCCCACTAGAGCGGTGCCTGTCTGCCAAGACCAACACCTTGTCCTTAAGAGCAGATCTAGATCTGCCTGCAACCGGACAACCTTTTCGTGTGGTAACCTTTTTTGATTTATTTCGGTGTTCCAAACGATTCCTAAAAATTCTATTTCTCTCTGAGGCTTTAAAACCGATTTCTGCAAGTTCACGCACCAGCCAAGGCTCTGTAGAAGATTTATTGCATATTTCATCTGTCCTTCTAGTTCGTTTGGGTCTTGGTTCGCGAACAGAAAGTCGTCTAGATATACGAGAACTCGAATTCCCCTCTCCCTCAGAAATCTGGCTAACCACTTGCTGACTCGAGAGAACGCCAGTGGCGCGCTGGATAGCCCGAATGGTAGGGCTGTCATTTGCAAGAGTTCGCCTGCATAAGCGAAAGCAAGGTATCTTCGGTGACTTTTCTTTATGGGAATATGGAAATAAGCTTGACTGATATCTAGTTTTCCTAAATAATCGTTCTCCTGCAGGAAATTCGGAATATGGTTCTGATTTATTAGGCGAAACTTTGCAGGTTTGAGGAAAGAATTCAGGCGACGAAGATCGAATATTTGTCTCACTTTTCCGTTGGTTTTTGGGATCAAAAACATCCGAGACAAAAACCCGTTCATAGCATCGCACTTCTCTATTACACCTGTTCTGAGGAGAACTTTTAACTCCCTCGACATTGCATCGGAGATTCTTGTCGTAAATCTTTCTAAGTTTTCGCGTAAGGGGACTGATGGTGGTTTTGTTACGAATGGTATTGTGTAACCGGAAATTGTCTTTAAGATCTTCTTTGGGGCTCCTAGTTTTTCCCACTGCCAAAGAAAATCCATTAGTTGCCCCCCGCGAAAATTGTCAATACCTACGCTTAGGTAACTTTTGATCCCTTTTGGGTCGGTTTCGTTGCTTATTGGACGGTTTGGAACCTCCAGACATACGATAGGCTGTTGGCTGGGCTGATGCATTGTGTGATGATGCTGAAAGATGTGTGCGCCCAGATTGCTGTCTACCTCTCGCTGGGTGAGACGCTGTTGGTTTACGAAATGTCTCTTTGTTTCCTTTCCTCTCCGAAAACCTGTAACTTAAAACTGGAAATATCTGTGCTAGTCCACCGTTGTCTCTCAGAAATGTTCCCAATAGTTTTTCATCAAAAAGATGGGTAGAAGACGGTGGGATACTGTGTAAAGCAGCACCTAGTGGTACGTTCTTCGGCATATAAGCTCTTCGTCTTGCCTCTATAGCTTCTGCACGATGAGCACAAACGAACTGCAGCAAATCATCCGACAAGACCTTAAATTCGGAGTCATCAGCCAAAAGCTTACGCAATTCGTCACCCGCATCTGGACATTTTTTTATAATATTATTGAGTCCGTCAGCCAGAGCCTTCCTCTGCAAGAGCAAACCATGACTAATAGTGCCGAGCATACCTTCCTGTTTAGCTAGGAAAGGAAATGGTTGATTTTTAAGACTTCCAAGCTCTATATTAACCTTTAAGGCACTAAAAACAGAGGCAGCCTGTAAGCGCTTTTCCACCTCTTTGTATCGGATCCGGTTCCAGCCTTCCGAACCCAGTCTTTGACATTCGATGCCCTCTTTCTTTATCGGTTCGGAAGGTTCTGGTATGAGAGGGTCCATCTCTTTTATCCTCGGACGGAATTCTATTTCAGTAGGTGGTGACATTTCTGGGCCCCTTGAAAAAATATCCATCTTCGGGCCATTCCAAGAGCAACGAGCCGATGAATCAGTACCTGAATATTCTTCCGAGTCTGAGTAATTTTCCTTATCTGAGTCTGGCTCCCTTGTCTGAGCCAGATTTGTTTGCTGCTGGTGATGAGTGTCAATTCTTTCTAAGAGGAGAGCAAACATGCTGTCCATTTTCTTTTCTAAGCACTCGATCCTACTGTCTTGTGATGTTGATGCCACGGGTGAGATTCGTCTTCGCTTTTGTGATTGGCTGCGATCGAAGACGGATGAACAACTTCTCCTCTTACGGTTAGATTTTTCGGACTCTGAGAGGCTGCCCGATAGGATTTTGTTAGCCTCATACCGGGTGTGCAGCAGAGGCCGTAATCCATCCACCGATTGCTTGAAAAGCTCGGTGCGGGCCGCTGATCCCCTAATTCGGTTTGCTATTGAGGGCGGCCCCAGAATGAGGGCGCGGGTAAATGCCCAATCTAGCAATTTGAACCTTATATCACGATATCCCTTTTCTGAGAGATGATCTGCCTCTGGATCAAAGGCTCGAACTAAACCTACCGTAGGGAGCGCGAACACTAGTTTATTCAAAACGTTAGGTTCAGGTTTTTCCCCGAAAATCTCCTCCTTTGAGGCGTTAATGACTTCCCATTGTGTCCAACCCTTGGGTAGAGACTCCTGCGCCAAGATCTTGATACGCTCCAGTATCGCCTCATCTTGTTGAGTTTCCGCATTCTCGACAAGCAACTCCCCAAGCGTCGTATAGCCTCTTCCCTGCGCCATCTGAAGCAAGCAACGAGATCGTTACTAAGCTGTCAAGTCAGTCAGCGTTACTGACAAACCCATAATCGACTGTAACCGTAGGCGCAGGCGGTTCGTTGGATAACCTATGTATAGGTTAGTTGCATAGGTCGGCCGTCAAGCCACGCCATACAATATTTACGCCGCGCGGCTGGAAACTCGAGCCGCGCCGCTCAATATTTGAGCCGCGCCGCGCAATATTTTGAGCCGCGCCGCTCAATATTTGAGCCGCGCCGCGCGAGCGAGTATCTGACATTTATGACAGTAGCCGTGCAGCTGACGTGTCGTATAGAACAGATATCTCACGCACCCTGTGGATGGAATGTCCGACAGAGCTAGTCAGCATTGGTTGCGATAGCGAACCGACATGCATGCGTACAAATATCCAGCTTAGCCATGCACAGCAACAAAAATTATGTTTACACTCAGCAGATTCCTTTAACAAATAAAGCACTCACAAAAAGAATAAAACAAATATCAAGAACTTACCAATTCGTTACGTTGGCTTGTAATCCACTGGCAAGTCACTTAACACTTCAAAAACGTTACAACAACGTTACTCGTATTCTCGTTTCACGTATCTTATTGCATAAAATAGCAGCATGTGCGCACGCTAACGTGGTGATAGCGTACTAACAAGAGCGCGCTCACTCCTCGCGCGCCTGCCGCCGCCGCGTCTCGCGCATGCGCGACGACGCAAGGAGATGCTCGCTAAGCAGGTTGCACTCACACAAAGGATAAAGAAGGTAAGTAGTAGCCATGTGTGTACTCTAATGTAGGGGTAGTTATCTCCGAAAGGTCAAGCCGAAGGCACAGACCTGAAATACAGCAGTTTCACATACACAACCGTCACCGGTGTAGAAATAATAATATAATAAAATTACATACTTTACAATGCCCTGTGTTTTGTTTTTTACCGAGTTATGTGGTATATACATAAGTGTGATTTTATTCCCTCTCACTTTATCTATCCAATAATATAACTAAAAAAAAACTATTCTTACCTATGCAATTCCTAGGACCAGCACTGAACGCCAACCAGCTGAAGGGATTTTTCAATGGCGCCTCAAACCTTTCAGGGCGGAACTCCAACGGATCATCATACAAATCCGGCTGCCGCTGGATCTGGTAGATGTTCATTACTACTGAAGTACCTTTCAATAGCTTCAGACCTCCTACCTCTGAAATAATAATAAAACTGTTCACTATTTTGACTGGCATCACACCCGTGACCCGTGACGAGGAAGTTTTTAGTCAGTAAGGGTCTGACATACCCTCGTCTCCTCAAGCAAGTGGGCTCTATGAGGTTTTTCCACCCAAGGTAACTAGAGTAGCCGACTGACTGCTGTGCAACGCGATGCGATTTCGCACAGAACAATTGAACAATTATTTTGTATGATCCCGAAATTGAATTAAATAATTTAATTAATTGTAGGTATGTGAGTGGAATTGTATGTTTACAAACGCACGTAGGTACAAATGCCCACGACACAGGAGAAAAAGGAAGTGTGCGCTACAAGTTGGTTAATGTTATTTTAAGTCAGCTTAAAATTTAAAAAAAAACCTGCGGAATGTTCGCACAGTACGAAAAAAAGCAATATAGATTGGTCTCATCGTCATCAAGACGTAACAAAATGTTAATAAATACAAATTATAATTATTAATAACAAATGCAAATATTACCATTTACCTTGGTATTGATCTTGTAAGTAGTTGTAAATACATTATACGTATGTATTTCTTATTTATAAATGTCGAGGTTGACCAGTTTCTAGTAAATGAATGATTTTTTTTTTTTTTTTTTTTTTTTTTTTTTTTTTTTTTTTTTTTTTTTAAAAAAACGTTGCCCCACACTAGGATTTTCTCCTGTGTCGTGGGTGCGGTTACAAACATACAATTTCACATGCCCAGGACACCCAGACCCGGAACAACAATTTGTGGATCACACAAAGTGTTGTTCCGTGCGGGAATCGAACCCGCGACACGTTGCACGACAGCCAGTTGCCCAGCCACCGCACCAACCGTGCAGTCAATTAAATGAATAATAAAATAATAGAATCAAAATTTAGCACAAAAAACATGTTGACAAAAAATATGGTTTTGCTGTACTTATTTTTTTATATTAATGTATTTAAAAAAAAAATGTTGTTTAAAAAAAATTTTTTTAATCGTTAATAACATGTTTCACATATTGTTATTAACGACTAAAAAAATTTTTCATCATCACACGAGGCGGGTCGTCGTGTCATATCGTGTCGTGTCTTGTCGTATCATCGTCGTGTCGTCGTATCGTGTCGTGTCGTTAAATAAGTAAAATAAATTAAATAGTCCCTGAGTGGTACCTTCAATTTTTATAACATCTATTTTTTTTATTTCAAACGCATCCCTACTTACGTAAAAAAGTATTTTGCACACTTACCACAATCTTTCATGATTCTTCGCTCAATCAGAGGCACAGGTGGGAATAATCGCATCGACTCCTTGATGACCAGCTCCAAGTATTTCATTTGAGCTAGTTCACTGGATAACAGAAAATAGAAGTTAAAAAAATTTACTGCTTTGTAAAATTCAGAGTCAACCTACGCATAAAAATATGTTTACATGTGTCGTATGTATACGTCAGTATAGTCTGTTTCCTATGTATTCGTCTTTCTACTTCTTACTTCTTGCGTTGCTTCTTACTAATATTATAAATGTGAAAGTTACGATGTTTGGATGTTTTTTACTCAATCACGCTAAAACGACTGGACGGATCTGGATAAATTTTGCACAGGCATAGGATACATTCTAGGCAAAGATGCGGGAAGCTAATTGATTATAAACGCAAAAATTTTGTAAATATGGATGAACGAATGAATATATTTTTCTCTTTCGCGTAGAAACAAATGAATAGATTTTGATGGAAATTGAGACAGAGATGTAGATTCCAGGCTGAAATAACACATAGACTACATTTTATTAGGATAACACGAGCAAGGCTTCTGTCAAAACTAGCAGTAGTAAACATTACACATACGAGTAGTATACACATACGTAGGGGAGCATGAAGGAAGACAGAGTTTGCAGTTTATAGATGCACTGTGCTCACTATTGCCGGCTGCATCCAACTTTATGGGCCAAGTTTAAGTGTACCTACTCCAGAACCATGCCATCTAATGATAGTTACTTCAATCTACATAGCTACGTACCACTTAAGTATTTTCAACTTTATCCCTGAGAGCTTTGAATTTGCATTCGTAGGGAAATGTAGTTAAAGTGTTGCATTAAACAAATTTTATTGGTATAAGAACAAAATGTTCAGTTTGAATAAATGTTTTGGCATGTAATATTCTCATTGAAAATGATCACTTTAATAAAGTGCCTTATTTTTATTTTTTTATTGATTGTTGTTTTTTAAGGGGAATAATCATTAAATGACTTCATCATTCACATGAATGATTAGAAGAAGAGGGACTGTCAGACTCTCGTTGACAAAAAACCGCCCTGTTCCTTCTCCTACTCTGAGCTGTGCCACGGTACATTATATCGTCCATAACCGCGACTCCTGCCGAATATCGGCCTTATTGGGTGATCAGATGGGATTCTGTTGTAGACTGATAGCTCTTTGAGTACGCTCGAGTCTTGTTAAAATCATTCCTTTTAACCAGATTTGTAACAAGTCTAATGTAATAGCAATCAAGCTTTTCGTGATACAGTGGGTAATGTCAGACTGCATGCTACGTATTGCGTGTACCACAATATTTTTTAAATTTATATATTATGCTTTTATGTACACAAAATGACAAGAAGTTAGTACAAAAGGTGGTACCGAGAAGTTAATACTTTTCTTTAATAGTATTTTCTCAGTCACTCTATGTATACAAAGTATACACAGTATGCATTATTACTACCACCATGGCACTAATTACAGTTACTCAGCTCAATTATAATTCTACGCTGTAAACGAGATTGACGCGTAAAATCAAGTTAATAGCAAAAACTTGTGAATATCTAAGAAAAACATTAGTTCATCATCAATTATCACGCGATTATTGCGAGTAATTAATACCTGCAGTACAGTTATAATACATATAGATATATTGGTAGAATGCCGCGCTGTGGTTAAGCAAGGTCATTAATATGAGCAGATATTTAACGAGTCTTGGAATTATTAATAAAATCAATGTAACCTACGTAACGCGGAACGTATTTATTTGGTGACTTTGTTGTACCGAGATTTATATGGCCCATATATATCTATTATTGCGTATTTGACGCTGTCTATACCTTATAAATTCATCTATATACCTCTGACATACGGCGAAGAAAAACATCGGTAGAAAACCTGGCTTTCAAATTTTTTATTATAAGTCAGACATCGCAAAACTTTCAGGAAGCAAGCATGTTGATTAATAGTAATACGTTTTCAATGTAATAAATGAACACCTAGTGCAGTGGGCACTGAAGTGGGCTGATAATACGATGGAATAAAAATAATCTATGGTGATCAATCCAGAGACAATAAAAACTATATCAACTTCGCGAATGAAAGCAATATTTCCATCATTACTTCAATAAACCTTTTTTAGTCATTTTATACAAACACTTCGATAAATTTGATCACAGCTTTCGTGATTCTTCTTATGTCCTTACTTATGGGAAATCATCATCTCATATTTCATTCCACAGAAAATGTTTTACTCTATATTTTTTCTGGTTCATGGTCGTTATAAAAAAGACAGTTCCTAGTAGTATATATAGTATAGTAAAAACAAAAGTCAGGTTTTAACGTAAAAACCACTAAGTCTATCGTACGTCAATGGAGTCAAATTGAAAATTAATGAATTACAGACTGAATTGACTGTTACTGAAATGTTCCAGAGACCATATATGAAAGGGCACATCAACTTCAATGCTTCTCATACATAATTTAATTACATCCCTCCCAAATCCTATAATATCCGAAAGCCTGATTCCCGAAACTCCGGTAATGCACACGTTAACTGCTCTGATGTTGGTGTCCATGGACGGCACCGTATGCTTACCATCAGGTAATAGGGGCACTCGTTTGATGACCTACTTCTTAAAAAAAGCTATACAAGTAATTTGTGTGTCTTCCAAACAGTGTTTAGAGAAAAAACACTTACTGATATGTCGGGTCCCTGTGCATTTCGTTCCCGAAGATAGTCTTCAGTTCTTCGTAGATTTTCTCTTGAACATCTCTTCGCTTAGATAGACAAAAGAGGGTATAAACGATGCCCGAAGTGGTTGTATCATGGCCCTGTTAAAATAGGTTTTGTTATTAAATAAAACTAACAATATAGGTCTTAAAATGTCGTGGTAACCGAACTTGGTAAGTACCAATGTGACTTTTCCGAATTATATGTACCCTCTAAGTTTCATTAGGCACCATTGACATAAAGTTAATAAAAACATCGTCAGGAAACCTGGTTTTCTATTAATAAATTTGAAATCGCCAATCCGCCTTGATCGAGCGTGGTGAATAACGCTTAGACGTGTAGGAAACTTCTTTGCTCAGCAGTGGCCACTTATTGGCAAATAATAAGGTACCTCATTCGTCATCATCATTATAAAGATCTTACAAGCATAATTTTATCACTCAATATATATTTTTTAGTAAGATACTAAAAGTACGTATTCAAATACCAAAAAACTACAATACTAGACTGCACTTCCTGAAGTCATTCTCGGGTTATTTGCCTAATGATACCTACAGACTATTCGATGTAATTAAGAGCACAATACAATAGACATCTAGTCATTTCATGTAAATTAAAATCGATGACGAGATCAAAATTATTTACATCAAACTGTTATTCAGAAATTCCTGTCTTAAAAACATAATTACTAAAATTAACTTTTTGGTTGCCAGTGCATGAGGCGCAATAGACAATACATTGTGTCATCTACGTTGAATGGCTGACAGACCACCACAAATAGGACCCAATTCGGCTAATGTTCAGCCGTGATTCAAGTCCGGCGCAATAATGTAGCTACCTCGGCCCTGGCCTGGAGCAGGAGAAGGAACGGGGTGGTTTTAGACGGTAAGAGTCTGACACTCCCTTTAAACACCCCATCCAGGGCAAAAAAGAATTCGTTGATTTGCCCCCTCAAAAAGTTTTGTAGGTTTCACAGATTAATGTAAAAAAGCAACAGCAACAGGCATATAGAAGAGAAGAGAATTATTAATATCTTACCTCAAACATGAAGGTGTCAACCTCCTCTCTAACGCTCTCGTCGTCAATCTTCTTGCCATCGATTTCAGCAAGCAGCAACAAGTCCAAGAAAGCGTGTTTGTTCTTTACACCTGGCACATGAAAAACAAAATGGAATAAAGAACAAACTACCTAGTACTTAATTATCAATTGACGCTCTGAAGCTCAATAAGGTACCATAAGGAGGAACGGGGTGGTAAGGAGTCTGATACCCTTTGTTGCTCCATCCAAGGCGAAAGAAGTCATGTCATGATTTTGAACCCAAAAAATCTGTTCTGTTGGAACTAATTATTATCTTTTTTTTTTGTCAGGGGAAAATCATCCAATGACTTCTCCCGCCCAGGGTAAGGCGAGAGAGAGTGTCAGACTCTTACTGACTAAAAACCCCCCCGTTCCTTCTCCTGCTCTGGGCCAAGGTCGCGGTGCCTCATTGCGCTTACCCCGCAGCCAACTAATTATTATCTTAACGATACAATTAAAGAGACTTTTAAAGAACATAATTGTGAACACCTACTTCAACTACAATACTTAACTACTCTCACCAAACAATTTATAAATGTGTCAACAGTGCACTTTTCAATTCTTACCAATATCATTACTGTCAGGCAAAGCAGTAACATTAGCCTTCTTCAGTTCCTGTCTCCTGGCTTCAATCACTCTGTTTGTCTGTCCATGTAACACTTTCAATGCTTTGTCTTGCCTCGTCTTGTACGGCAACAAATTAAAAATGGCATCTTCACCGAAGAATGGTATTTGCATCCTCATTGTTACTATTGCAGACAATCTACAAACATAATTATAATACTGGTGTTATTACGATGTTAATCTCCAAGTAGAAGCATGAAATTAACTATCACGTTACTTAGAACAATTACTTTAAATATTAATAGATGAAAAATAAATGGAAATGGCAATAATGGTTTGAACTTGACACTTTCTACAGTAATTGGCACATAGAGGAGTGAAGGAAGGCCAAGAAGTGGGACAATCATAAATAAAAAACAGAAGTTAAAAAAAGGCGAGTGAATATTGATTCATGTCCTCGACTTTTCGATTTGAATGTATGAGAGCACGAAGAGCTGACTTTGCTACGAAGAGCTTTGTTACGAAGAGCTGACTCGATGGGAATGATACCACGGCCTCATAAAAACCCGCGTGAAATACCCGCGTCGTAGTGTTTCGCCCTGCGAGTAAAGTGAAGGCAGGCCCAAGATTAAGAAGATTTATTTTATTTTAAAAGAAGTATTCGCAAGCATAGACTCAGTCGATAAGCCAAAAAAACGTGTTTGGTAGGTATATCGAATTTAAAAATTGTAGAGGTACTTCATCTTCTTTAATTTACGTCGCTTAATCCTTTCAAAGATTTATGCCATTATTCTGACTACTAATATTTATGGGTGTGATCTCATGTTTTTTTTTTTTGTCTAAAGCAATGCCTGCGTTGTAATTTATTAGTATAATCGCTGTTGTATTTTCAACAAACAAATTCATATGATTCTTATTTTAGAATCAGACTTTTACAAACTTCAAACATACAAGCATTAAAAAAAGTATTAAAAGATTATTCAATGTAGGTACTTACTCTTCAATGGATTTCACGTATTCAGACTGGCTATCTTTTTGGGTCTCCATGCAGACGCCCATTACCGATTCTAAAATATAAACAATATCACTTAGGTAATAATTTATCGCTAAAAGCAAATTCATACATCAGTGTTACTTGAATGTTTTGTGTCCTTCAAATATTGTAAGTTTTCAAACTACACACTTTTATCAGTATATCATTACCTGTGACATTATCAAGGGCAGCCAAAGCAATAATAGGAAACATGTCAATCGGGCGCCCGTCGGCAAGTTCTCGTAGTTTCTCCGTTAGAACTCGCTGGTTCTTGCAGAACACGGGAAGAAAGTTCTGCAGGATGGTGAAGTGGAACGCTGGAGTTAAAAACTTGCGATGGGTTTTCCATCTTTGACCTGCAAGAAGAATAAAGTATATAAAGAATGTTTCTGAGAATACCTCTATTATCTATTCTTTGTCTAAATTATGGGTTTCCTTCACTTAAGGAGATTTATTAATATCTACAGCTTTACTTGAAAGCCATGCAAGATTATACCGCTGCTGCTAAGTCCTCTATCAAATTTGTACTCCAATAGTTGGATCTAACAATCTGACAATCTTTCCCTACTAACATAATTTCAATGTACAACGTAATTTGTATGAGTTATGTAAGTGTTTGAGACGTAAAGCATGGGTTGGCTCGACTGGAGCGACATGACACCATGGCCTTACAGAATATAAGCGTGAAACAACCACAGCATATGGCTGGAGGCAAATATTGTCATTTATAAGAACGGCATTTTATTCATTTTCTTACCCGTGGAAGTAAGTAGACCTTGACCAAGCCAGCATGTCAGAAAACTGTAGGATCTCCCTTTTGTTATATGTTCTGTGCTTGACACTAGTTCCTGGAACAAAGGCACTCATTCAAATCATCAAATTATTTAAATGTTTTAGGACTTATCGCGATTCATCGCTTCAGTGGTATCTTGGGTTATAAATTTTAACTAACAGGAGATGCTATGCAGAAGAAAAATCTTAAGGAAAATCAGTGCTTGACAAATAACCTCCATTTTAAACTAAAGGTCTTTCAAATCTATCTAAGACTACTAGGATTGATTTTAAAATATTAACCTTATTCAAGCAGATACCTCGATCAACTAAGTACATAATTATATTGATTGCAGTAAGGAAACGAAAAAAAAGGTTTTATATTCGTATACGTATGCGTATGCAATAATTGGCAAGAGTTAATTAAGACCTTGTTATTGGCGCCCTTCACTGAAGTTACGTAGGCTAATCAGTTTGCAATCGCACCACGACCATTCATCTAAGGACTCAAATCTAAGGAATATTTGTAAAGTAATTAATAAAATCTTCACGGATGAACAGTACGCAAGGCATGCAAAAGGACTACAGACATTACGTAATTGAATAGTACTTTAAGGTTATGTATTTAGAACTACAATCGACCTTCAGACAACCGGTTATTTCGAAGTAAAGTACGTTGAAGAAAAAACCTGTTGGACTGTTATGTTTTTGTTGTCTTAGAAAAATTTAAGATAAACATTATTGTGTTTTATGAATATATTGAATAGAGATCCTAGCTTAAAAGGTTCAGGTTACTCAGTGATTTTTTAGATTACTGTCAAGTTCTTTAGGTCGGCTCTTACGACCCACGTGAAACCAATTTTGATGAGCTGCAAGTGTGGGAGAGCCATGCATGACACGTATGGATCGGCTCGAACGCAACAATACCACGGGATCGCAGAACACCGGCGTGAAACAACCACAGCGTTATGTTTCTCCGTGTAAGTAAGGTAACTGGAGGCCCAACCCTTTTTCCCCTTTTTCCCATACCTCATAAATAAATAGAGTGAGATACTGTAACATTATACCACAGGATTATAACAGAAGAATGGTTTGTAATTAGATAATGATATGGTTTTTAATTATATTTACGAGTGAGACACTGAGGTTATGGCTATTATTCTCATTTTAAACCCATTAAAATAAATACTGCTATTAAATTACAATAAGATTGCATTGTGTTGCGTCTGTCAGAAGCAAATGTCTCGTGTTGTTCTGCAATTCAAATTGCATGCAAAAAACACTGTTAGAATTGAATAATTATCACAAGTAAATATTTGCATGGAATAGGGATTAAGCGAGATGCCATACAAGAAGACCGTACTAAGATTTTTTGTCCTCATAAAACTATCGTAGTTATCTGTATATTCTAAACTCTAAGCTACAAATTAAAAAATGTTTTGAGAAGCATAACTTCACTCATGTCGAGCCGACCCAAGTGGTATAAAACACAGTTTTAAAACCGACGTGAAACAGCCACATCAGAGTGTGTGCCGTGTCAGTGAAGTTACCGAAAACCTAATCCTTTCCCTCCCCTTATCCCTATATCTCTATAACCCTGATCCCCAATAGGCTGGCACATTCGTGCACATTCGTTCAATGCAATTATTGAAACAGAATCGTGCATGGAGATAGCAATTTGACAACCACTTTTCACCAGTGTAAGTCTCTTGAGAATTTAGCCCAAAAACATATGTGTGTTGTACGAGTGTGTGAGCTACGTAATAGAAAAAAAAGTTTTTTTTAACCGCTATATCAAACAGTTTCTACTAATTCAAGTTTATAGTAAGTTTTTTGGTAAGCAGTCACGTTTTCTTCGACAAAAAAAGTTATCAAACTTTAATATTTTTATAACAACTATTCAACGCTTGATTAATTAAATATGTGTATTTTTTTTCTTGTATGTAATGTAGTGAATAAATAATATGTCTAAAGTATAATTTATATTTTTTTATGGCATGTATTTAATGCAGCGAATAAGTAAAATGAATATAGGTTCTAAAAAATAATAGAATGGGTACCATTTATTTATAATGGGTTGGCAGCTAATAAGGAGTATCGTAAGAAGTAAAAGGTAGCATATTAATATATCAGTTATAAGCTCCGTTTTAAATTAAACTAGCATCAAGTTTTTCTTTTGGGAACTGAATTAATATCTAAGCCAAAACTTAATGATGAAAATAAAATTGAAAATGGGCATTCATAAATAATACAAATCAGATTCTATCTAAAATTATTTGTATAAAGAATAAATATAAACTAGCTTATATTATACAAATATTGTGCGACTTTTTAATAGCTTTAAATAAACTTTAAAATGGCATGAAGAAAAAATATTTTGCGGCTTTTATTTTTAAAATTATAGGTGAATAATTATATTAAAAACATAAAAAAGAGTAATTACTTTTATTCATTTTTAAAAAATCACCGAAGACAGTAGTTATACGTAGGTATTTAAGTTACACAATTAAAAGTTACGCAGGTAAACACAATGAAAAAAAAAATACTGTATTATTAGGGCAGGTTTAGATTTGGCAGGACACCCTCGCTTTCTTTTTTGACCAATTGGAATCAATTTGGCCTCTAACGGCGGAGTGGCTAGTTTCAACCTTATGGCAAGGCCTAAGGCATATGTTTACACACATATATTTTAAAAAATTAAGGGCAGTTGCACATGCCTTTCTTCCATTCTTTTTTTGGTTAGTACAACTTTCCAGAACGCAAAGTTTTTTTCTTTGTACTCATCAAATGTATGCTATGTTTCGTTATATGCACCCACACGCACCCCGCCACCCCGCACTACACTCGTATCCAACCATCGCATCTTCCGCCGTTTTCACGAAATTATAATAAAAAAATATTAATAATTAACGCTTATTCCTTTTCATTGTACTCCTTTTAACATTTAGAGCTGTCCGCAAAGCGAAGCCAAACTGGGTTTTTAGACGGCACGAAATAGTTGGTAATATATTATCTTTGCCACCCTACTAACATTATTAGTCGCCAAGTCATTATATATAGCTCCTCGCCTAATATTTCAATTGACTGGTATAGTTTATTTGCCACCCACATGCAGCTGCTAGTTTTTAGTTTTTATAACACCCTTAATTTTGAACCTTACATAATATAATAGTCGCGAAAATATTTAATTGCTGGCAAGTTATTTTATTTGTTGCAAACATTTAGTCGCCTTTTAAGTTATTAGTCACTCAGAAAATTGGTAAACGAACCTTTGACACATGTAACACCAAAGGATTTGCGTGTGCATTGCTAGCCTTCTGGAGATAAGGGTTTTAAAGATTTAAAGATTGACGAGGGAGGTTTAATGAATAAAATCTATTAAATAGACTACTAATATAGTTGACACGAATACATTTTAATAGTATTTCATTTAATTTATCTTCATTTGTTATATTAGTAACTCCTAAATGGCTTAACCCATTTTCATCAAATATGTCTAAGAACGCTCACAGGTAAGTCACCTAAAATACAAAAAAAATTGAAATTGCTTCATCCGTTCAGGCTTCAGGATGCCACAGACAGACAGAGACGTCAAACTTATAACAATTGACTTATTCCGTCAGGGGTTAAAAAGAAATACACAATCTGCCTAAAAGTACTACTAGGATTACCTTTGCATTAATTTCCGCTATGTCCTTGCTTTTTGCAAAATTTATGATTCTAGGTCGACAGGAAGTTTTCTTTTAAATTACAGTCTATGAATGCCAAATCTTATGCAGATAAAGGTCATACATTTGTCGTCATAAATACTGCTGCTGAATGTCCTGTTTAATTAGTATTTTTTTTTTAATCTCCTTGATCAAGTAGTCTAAGTGTAACTGTAGAATGCGAGTTCCTTCAATAATAAGCATTTAATTCGTAGGTTTTAGGAAAACACCGTGAGAGAACCAATCGCCAATCCGCTTTGAGCAAGCGTGGTGATAAATGCTCAAACTCTTTCCGACTTATAAGAGGCCTTTGCTGAGCACTTATAGGCTAATGATGATTATAGCACGTATCTACATAGCTACCTAAAGTTTCATTTAATAGTTTATTATTTTCATTATGCCATATTATGATAAATATTTGCACATACGAAGGTATACGAAACCACAATCGATATTCGTAAAAGGAAGCTTTAAATAGACGATTTGATGAACTATTTGTTGATCCTAGAGTTAAAACTTTACTATAAATTAATGTTGTGTATAAGTTATAACTCACCTCAGCCTGCTTCGCATGGCAGATAACCACGTAAGGCGTCGAGAAAAAATGCACCCTGAACACTTTGCCATACTTCTCCGACAGTCTTTGAACCAAGTTCAAGAACTCTGCAACAAAAACAAATACCTGTCTATTAGTAATTAATTACCTGGGTATTTCATTTTTTTTTTTAATTTTACAAAATAAAATTCAATAAAACCTCTTTTTGATTTAATAGTATTAAACTTTTTTTATTTAAAATATAGTATTTCGAATTTCAAAACTCCTAAAAAAATAACAGACCTCATTAGGTTATTTTTTCTTTACATTCAATCGCGTCTTGAATATTAAGATGTATATTGTATTAAGGTAGGTAATAACTACATAGATGATCAAAATATTAAACCACATCTTCAATATAAGAATAAATCGCTAAACACAAATCTCAAGAACAGCTGAACCGATTTGGTTTTCTTTTTTGGTAATCAGGAACACATTTTTGAAAAATAGCGATCTTTTCGTTATTCTTAGCAAGATAGTTGAGCATCAGTACGAAGCAGTTTAACTCTCTCTCACTCACACTCTTTACTAATTATATAAGCATATAAATTACATTTTAAAACATTTCTTAGAAATAAGAAATGTTTTAAAATATAAGGTCTCACCGATATCTGGAACAGGGTCCACGGTACCGGCGGTCAGGGAAGTAACCTCCAGGAAGAAGTCTCCAGGGAAAGGAACCTCCTGACAATACAAGCCGTGTCCAGGCGAACCACTTTCTGAGTCAAGCCCTTGATCCAGCCACTTAACAAAACGAGAGCCTCCTAAGGTGTTTGTCGAGGCTCTTAGCTATTAAGCTATTGGCTGACACGACTACACAATGGTACAATGATAGCCGAATCCACTTCCCACATGTCGACAACCTCGCATTCTAAGTCAATATACTTGATTATTTTATCTATACCTACCTGATTAGTTTATCTAATTATTTCGATAAACAAACAATACACAAGCACGTACCAATGTAACTAACCTACACATAACACGCCGAAAAGATACTAAACCCCCATTTCTGTTATGGTGTCTTTAAAAAATATTAATATGTTTAAGTACTTTGATTAAAGCAAATTTGATTAATTTTCATAAGCGTTAGCCGTCAGATGCAAAGAGCCATTTGTGGTAATAGGACTACTACGTAGCGATCTACGTAGTAGTCCTTCAGCACATCACGTCCTTAGGCTCATCGATATGAGGGCAGACAAACCATTTTTTTTACTATCCCTACTTTGATATTGAAGCTAAAGTAAATTAACTTCTTACGTTCGTTGACCAAGCAAGATAGCTTATCTGAATTTCACAACTGTAATCTTTAATGTGAAGGGTCATTGTTTTTAATAAGCATCTTTAATCTTTTTGTAATAAACATAATAATTATTAGCCGCGCTCTTGAGTTGTAACTAGTCAAGTTATCCTGTCAAACATGAGCATGATTTAAATATGTACAAAAGACAACGTGTACGTAAGAAGCTAACATTTTTTGCTCGACTAATCGTAAGTGCAGCTGCACCGGCTTAGCATAGGAGTTGCGGCAAGCGCAATAAGTCACCGCGGTCTCAGCCTAGAGTAGGAGAAGGAACGAGAGGTTTTTTAGTCAGTAAAAGTCAGACACTCCTTTCAGCCCCACCCTGGGCTGGAAGAATCATTTGCTTTTCACCTTACAAAAAAAAAGAAACCACGATCTGGACCAACCATAACACAGGAGAAATATCTAGTGTCAGGCGAAACTGTTTTTAAAATAATGCTAAGGACTATTAGTACCTAATATAAGTGCCTCTTAGTAGTATATCTACGCTGTGCATTGAGTATGCGAGTAACATTCAAAGATACAAACAATACAAGAACTGAATTCCTGATTTTTATTCAGTGATTATATTTAGGGTATTCTTCTGGTTAAATACGTATATTCCTTTCAGATGTTGAAGAGACGAAGTGGGTTGACCTTACCTAATTATCGTGTGATATCTCGTTGAGTATATTATTCAAAGGTTATGAAAAGGGCACGAGTACTTAGATATTATATATTAATAAAATCATAATTAAATTCTTATATATTTACCTAGTTATTACGGTGAAACTATACATACAGTGCGAATTACTTATTCTTGGACTTTTATACGCATAATATATTTAAAAAATCGCACACTCTTAGGGATCAGTAATCTCGTTTCCTGACCTATCCTATTTAAAAAACCTTTTTTTTTAAATCCAAATAAAATTTTTATATAGTACCTAATTAAAGTCCCTTACTGTTTCATCCCTGTTCCTTACTGTTTCATTTTGAATTTTCATTTTTTTTAGAGAGAATTTAGCTATATACAAAACTTACCATCAAATTTTAATTTGAATCTTAAATTAATAACGCATCCGTGTTCCGTCAACATAATTATAGTAGGTATGTGGGTATGGTTAAATAAAAAACTTTCTAAAACTAAATAAACTATTGGTGATTAACTAAAAATAAAATTAATAAATTGCTTTGCTTTACTGCGTAATAATATGTATATTGTATATGCATAGGAACCGAAAAACGGGTTCCCAAAGCGGAATTTTGGAAACAACAGGTTCAACGAGTTAGCAGGTAGACAACCTGTTTCTGGGTTTTTGGAAATAAAAGGAGTAAAAAATACTAAAAGGGCTTGTAACACAGTCCTTATTTATATATCACAATTATTTATAATTTTATTATTCGTAAGACATTTAAAATTTACTAAAATGTAATTAATTTACTTTTCGAACCAAAAGGCTGAAAATTATTTTGAATATTTTCTTTGATACAGATTTCATTTAAATTTATTCAGCAAGTCAGACCAAAGTCAAAATAATAGGTATACATATAAAAATCCTATTAAACCTCTTTTTGATTTAATAGTATAAAACTTTTTTTATTTAAAATATAGTACGTGAAATTTAAGTAAGTTATACGTATATGATTATTGGATTTTCCTAAATAATTTCTTTACGTATTTCAAAATAAATCTGTTCAAATTCTTACTATTTTTCTACAGCAAAATAAGCTGTAGAGGCATGTATAGTATATTTATGATATAAATTAAAATGCAATAACTCTAGTTATAATAATATAAGTTCAGATTATTTTGACAATAAAGATTTAAGACTAAAAAAAAGTTACACTATTTCTAGTCTTATATTTATGCTTTTAAATTAAGGTAACAATGTACGAAGAACCACTTACCAGTAGATTTAACGACAAACAAATGTGCATTTCCCACTAAGGGCAGAGGAGATGGCCCGTCTACATTAAACTGGCGGCTTTGCCGAACTAAACTAATCCAAGACAGTAACAAAGCAAACACTAAAACAACAGATACTAATAACAAAATCATTTTAAACACAACACAAGCACGTGCTATTCAACCTCATTCGATGAGGTTTGTAATCAAAATGCCAGTCAACAGGACATTGCAGGCCGAGTAGAACGATATCATCGCGAATATGGAACTAAAAAAAAACAAGCGGTCAATGCCGCCATATGTCAAACGTTTAAAAATGGAATGTTGTTATTTATACTAAATGAGTAAATTAGTACAATATTTGAAATTGGTACGTTAAAACTATATTTTAATTTATTACGCATTTAATATCAATGATTCATAGTTTTAAGCTACGTTGCTCTACATAATCATTCCCGCACTAATATACACAGGTAATAATTAATGGTTTTGTAATTAATTACCTTTAACTTATTTAGTATTCCCAAATAACCTACCTGAATAATTGGGTTGTTTCATATGTCAAAAATAAATTAATTCGACGTTTTAATACAATAAAATATTGAAAAATAACTATACTTTTATTCATCGATCGATCGATACACTGTATTTTAGATATTTTTATCTAATTATTAAGAAATAAGCAATCTATTTGACCCAAAAAAACTATGACGTCATAACTCAGTTTTTCATACAAATTTCATAGAAAAGTATCATTTTTTGACATTTGGATAAAGTATTGAATTTGGCTAAGTGGAAACTATCGTATCTATTATTAAAATTATTATTTGACAGATTCAACTCTCGTAGTCAAAATATGTTTTTAATGTGGCATTAGACTTTAAGACAGTAGTATTGTATTGTACCAATAGGTACATATAAGTAATTGATATGTCGAATTTTTAACACAATTAGATTAAACAGATTATTATGTATCAAAATATCAAAATTTAAAATTCTAGATAAGAAATAATAATCAATATAATACTTAATAATAATCTTTATACCTAAAGAGTCTTAATATAGAATTCAATTTTCAATGTTATTGCAAAGGCATTAGGTTTTTTTTTTTTTTTTTGCCAATGGAGTGTATCTATTCGATATCCACTAGCGAACAGGTTTTTGTTTTTACAAATCTACGTCTTTGTGCCTTAACCTAAAGTCAGATAATGACGCAAACATATTTTTTTTTAACTTTTTGTTATGCGGTTTCTAATAATTCCAAGAAGTATTTTATCAACCAATGTTGCACTAAAACTTTACAAATGAGTACCGCTCCTAATAGTGTTATTAAGTAAATAGTTACTTATTGGTATTTTTCGTAAGTACCATTTTCCAGATTAGTAGCTATATGCCTTGTAAGTATATCCAAACTATCCAAAATATAATATTATAAATACGAAAGTAACTCTGTCTCTCTGTCTGTCTTTTGTTCACGCCTAAACGACTGAATTGATTGCCGTGAAATTTGGTACAGACATAGTTTAAAACTCGAGAAAGGACATAGGATAGTTAAAATCTGCAGGAAGTCACTATTCCACGCGAAAATAGTCGCGGGCAAATGCTATACGTAAAGATGTGTGTATAAAGTCAGTAACAATAAATCTCTTTGTCATATCTTACTATACTTTTATCCCCAAAGGGTTTCTTCAATACCCGAGTGAATAGGATGCTTATGGGTACGCGTGCTCCATCGTAAGTCATCACTTACCAAACACCAGGCGTGATCTGCCGTTCCGAATAAAAATAACTATCACTTAATTTATCATCAAATATACCTAATTTGTTTTTCATTAAATAAAAACTTTCCCCCATGTAAGGGTTTTTCCTGTGACGTGTAATAAGTTGCTATAGTTCTTGAGTATCTAGTATACATAGTATTATTTTGGTTTATTTATTCAAGTACAAAACGGTGTATGAAATAAAAGCGCATGGTTTTTGATAACATTTTATTCCAAAAAACACCTCGTTATAATTGAAACATACAATACTTACATAATACTTACAAAAAATAAAATAAATCTAGCATTTCGTATACACAATTGTATGGAATCCGTGAACCATTTACTTTCTTGGCATAAACTTTACTTGGATTCCATTCTTCGATCTTAAAATAAGGTCAGCACTTAACAGAGGCGGTTTATCAACAGGTAATATGTAGAAGTGCTTGACAATCTCCGAGATGGTGATCTTGAGTTCCATCATCGCGAACTTTTGACCTGAGAAAGAAATGAGATAAAATATACCTTAAGACATTTAGATAACGACGTTTTCTAAAAGGTTTTTGTTTTTCAATTAGACTTCAATAACATTGTCATAAGTCACGTAATCCATTGGCTGAGTGATCATCTATTCGTCAAATGGATTTAAAATTCCATCTACGAGTGAAACAAAAAGAAGGTAAGTCATGGTTTCAGTTTTGAATACATATTTTGAGTGAAGTTACCGGCGGCCCTATCCGTAACCCTAAAGGCCAAAGTAACCTTGAAAATGACTTCTCTCGCCCTGGGCCGGGCTGGACGGAGTGTCCAAAATCCCCAGTGGTCGCGGTGCCTCATTGCGCTTACCCCGCAACTCCGGCTGATTATCAGCTCTATAGGGCCCCGTCTGTGGTGGTGTATTGGATCTTTGAGGCGCGCGTGGAACGCTACGCGAAGTACACTCGGGTCTGGTTCTGGTCGGGCGGCGAGTTCCCCTTACTCGCCTAACCCTTAAAAGCACCCTGAACTCTTCCGGTGTTGCGGGTCTCCATCAGCGGCATCAATTGCTTACCATCAAGTTACAAATCTATTCGTTTGCCACCTTCAAAACATAAATTGCTCCTCTCCCTTGAGAGAGGGTTTCCAAATCAACGAAACTTAAGTAACGTACAAAATCTGACATAAAGAATAATGAAACATATTTTACCAATGCAATTCCGAGGACCAGCACTGAATGCCAGAAAACTGAAGGGATTCTTTAGAGACTCCTCGAATCTTTCTGGGCGGAACTCCAAAGGATCTTCAAACATGTCTGGTTGACGTTGAATCTGGTAGATGTTTAGAACGACTGATGTTCCCTTTACTAATTTAAGACCTCCAACCTCTGAGAAGAAAATTAAATATTCTTTGATACGTATTGGAATAAATACAGAAAAGTTTAGGTTTTTAGTCTTTGAAAATTTGGAGATCACTGATTACTTCTTTATTATTTATTTAGCTAACTTACCACAGTCCCTTGTGATTCTTCGTTCAATCAGAGGTACAGGCGGGTACAATCGCATCGACTCCTTGAGAACCAGGTCCAAGTATTTCATTTGTCCAAGTTCCCTGTAAAAGGAAAAATGTTATTCATTCGTGTTTACCAGTATTAAGATTGGTCCGAGGTTAATGCCTTGAGGTACACCAAAGTCAATACTACTCAATGAATGCCTTGGTGTAGTAGTACGTATTCTATTAGTTACAGTTTGCTGTAACTTAATGTTTAGGCGCTATGATAAATAACATAACAAATAAATAAGAAATAAGTTTCATATTCATGTATCATAGGTTAGAACCTATTTTTAATAGCTCTTCTAAGATTAGTTCTTAAAAATTGATCTTGTGATCCAGTTTTAAGAAAATGTTTGATGAAATATACTTAGTAATTATATATTACTACTAATACGTATGACACTCATTTTTAACAATATCTAATATGTGTTGCTGTCCAATCAATCCTCTCCCTTATCCTCAATAGTGTAATTAAAACACTCTAATCAGTAATCACCAACTCCTTAAAGGCGGACATTTCACTTGTAACTCTCATGTGTGGCGCCGATAGCATACTATCAGGTTAACCGCCAATAGTAACGGGTGTGGGGTGGTTTTTAATCAGTAAGGGTGTGACAAAAAAATCGATGATTTTTCCCCATCAAAAAAAAGGATAGATCGTTTGCCATTCAAAAACTTAAAATAACTTCAAACTAATGTAAATCGGCAAAAACAACTAAGAATAAATGATAAATGTGAACATCGGACTTATACGGTAATATAATAAACGCATGTTATGCATATCATTATTATACCAGATCTGCGGTCAAACGAGTAACTTAATCATCAATTCAATGTCAACTCTATGATTACTTAACATGGTGAATTGTTATTGTGACTCAACACGTTATTATGTTCACAGAATTTACCCGCCAATACATAATATATGTATGTGCATAAAAATTAAGACTTTTTCCTTTACCATTGCTTAGTTCGTGGAAAAGGAAACCCTCTTTAATCTTAGAATTTTCAAGTTAATTTCCATCACGTATTGCGTGGGCTGTATGTCAGTCAATCAAGCCACTAATACCAAGGGGGTTTGTTGTCATAATATATCAAGGATCTGCGCATCACTACTTTTTTTTATTATTAGGGCTCGGAAAAGTTTTGAGATCACTGTCAGACAAAATAAATTCATTTTTGTATAAGATTTAGATAATTACATGTTTCGCAACAGTTAAGAAAGATGTTCCAAAGTTACTACGAAACTAAATGAGGATTATTTCCTTCAACTTACTGGTAAGTTGGGTCTCTTTCCATGTCATCGCCGAATATCGTCTTCAGTTCTTCATATACTTTCTCCTGAACGTCTCTGCGCTTAGAGAGACAGTAGAGCGTGTACGAAATACCCGAAGTCGTTGTGTCATGGCCCTGTAACGTAATAAGTTCAATATTAATATTACCACTTCAACTAAGTGTAAGAGAGCTATGCTTCCGCACGAATAGGCCGCCTCAACCGGAGTACTACCATGGCCTCACTGAAAACCGGCGTAAAGCAACTCTTACGTTGTGGTTAGTCGTGTGAATAAGGTTACCGGAGGTCCAATCCTTTCCTCCCATCCTCAATCCTCAAACCCCTAAAAACCTATAAGAGGCCGGCAAAGCACTTGTAGTAACTCCTTTGGCACTACGAGTGTCCATGGCGGTGCTGATTGCTTACCGTCAGGTAATCCGACTGCTCGTTTGCAGACCTATGACATAAAAAAACGTCACAAGAAAATTAAAGGTTTGCTTGGATGTACATCAAACAGCTTCAATTCTTTACAAAATTACAAGATAATGTCAATATCTCCTTATAGTTGCCCAGCGAGAAGAGTCAAGAGCTATATTTACTAACAAAATAAATATTGTTAGTAACATAAGAAACCTTATAAAGCTGTGGTTAGTAGTTACATATAAAGACACATTGTGACATCGTATAGTAACACCAGTTAATGGTTGGCCCTGGACGCGACCAACCTCAATGTGTGCAGTGCAATGGATCACGTGCCGCCACATCGGTGTGTCCCAGTGACCCACGAACTTGAATGCTTTAAGAAGTTGTACCAAAATAAGTCTTACCTCAAACATGAATGTGTCGACCTCTTCTCTTACGCTGTCATCATCAATCTTCTTGCCATCAATTTCACCAAGTAGCAATAAGTCTAAGAACGCGTGTTTGTTCCTAATACCTGTTAATTAAATAAAATCCTAACTTTTTACTATAACTTAATATATTTTTTTTTAATATAACTTCGATATATCGAATAAAGTAAAATTTCAAGAGAAGATGATCATGTTAAAAACGTTTAGTCATCCATTTTCATATTTAAACCAGTTTAGGTTAATTCTGGAAGAATACGAATTATAAATTAACACTTCTCGCATTCCCTCTTAAAAATAGTTCATAACACTAACCTGAATCGTTACTAGAGTTAAGAGTAGTAACATTAGCCTTCTTCAGCTCTTGTCTTCTTGCTTCAATCACTTTAGTACTATGCCCATGTAATACCTTCAACGCTTTGCTTTGCCTGTTCTTGAGAGGCGTTAAATTAAAGACTGCATCAGGACCAAGAATTGGAATTTGAATCCTCATGGCTAATATGGCTGACATCCTGCAATTAAAAGAATATTTCTGGTTTTTATGGCTACTTTATTATCTTTAATTATATTTGTAGTTTTTTTGTGATTATAGCTGTGTATCTTATGTTTTCTACTGCAATAAGTACTTACTCTTCAATTGACTTCACGTAAGCAGACTCACTTTCATGTCCTTGCGCATCGACGCTGGTACCCATAATGGACTCTGAAAGAGAAGCAAATGTGTTAATTTCAGTAGTTTGGACTGCCATCCAACTTCTTGACTCGGATATTAAGACGCTCGCTGCTAATGCACAAGTATCGGTACAACCTTCTCATAGAAGTTTAACGACAAAGATCGTACTTATTTTCCCATGTATAGTTTTGCTTGCATTATATCATCTGTATATAAAATAATCAATATTTAAAAACTTACCTGTGACATTATCAAGGGCAGCCAAAGCAACAATAGGGAACATGTCAATCGGGCGCCCGTCGGCAAGTCCTCGCAGCTTCTCCGTTAGGACTCGCTGGTTCTTGCAGAACACGGGGAGAAAGTTCTGCAGATTGTTGAAGTGGAATGCGGGCGTCAGGAATTTACGATGACTCTTCCATCTTTGACCTTAAAAAAATAAATAGTGCATAAGTCATACCTGCAAGATGATGAGGATGATACTATTTACGTATAAAATCTTAAATTAAAAACAACTTTAATTCATTTGAATAGAAGATAGCATTAAATTACTAGGACATTTATCGGATCTCAATTATAAAACAAGTATATATTGAAATTAATTGCTTTAGAAGGGATCATAATTGCCCTTGGTGTAGGCCTAGATTTTAAGACTTAGTGCATATTAGCCTCGCCGTATTTGATACACAACTCAAAATACTACTTACGATACGATACGACTTTAACTTTGGTTGCCGCGCAACGTGTCGCGGGTCCGATTCCCGCACGAAACAAATATTTGTGCAAATCCACAAACTGTTGTTTCGGGTCTGGGTGTGTTGTGTATGTGAATTTGTAAACGTACCCAAAACGCGGAAGAAAATCTTAATGTCTTCAACTTTAAATGACTTTAACTATACGATAAGTTCCCTGTCAACCTTCCACCAACCTTCTTTTAGTTTTTATGGCATGCTTTTTTATGTGATATGGTGCTATCGGCGCCTCCCATGTACACATATGAAACATGGCTCTCCCACACTTAGACTTAGTTTGTCAAACTGCTCAAAACCTGTTTATGTGCTTACCAGCAGAAGTAAGTAGACCCTGGCCTAGCCAACACGTCATCAGGCTATATGGACCTCCTTTGTAGATAAGCTCCTGACTCGAAGCTATATCCTGAAAACGCGAAATTAAATTGTACCAAATGGTTGCAATATTTATTGTTTCATTGTAAATATGGCATTATAACATGCAAAAGATTTGTAAAAAGAAAAGAAGGATTTAAATGAAAAAAAAATCGAACTCCACTAATCAAACTGTAGATTTAAAACAAGAAAAGGCAATAATAAACTTTGTATGTAAAAACGTCAAACATAATGTTTGTAAGCTTGTAAATAGGTGCTATTTAAAAAGTATTAGGCGTTTTAAGTTATATTTTATTTATTCGTTTACTATTAATTCGTCGGTACTATTAATTTTAACCAACTAAGGACTGATTTTTTAATAGTCAGATAAATGCTATATGAGGAATAAAATCGTTGCTGTCACTGTCTTATGCAAACATTCTGATGCGACAGCATCATAATTATTTCCCAGATAACTTCTATCTAACCATTAAAAAATAAGCTCTAAAACTTACGAAAGTTTTATTGAAATATCAAGCGTGTTTTCCTACGAGAAGAGCACGTCCCTTTATGTGTCATAATGTAAACCTGTATTTTTTTATTTGGTGATGAAAATCGTGAAGATATTTTATGACATCTTTAGCACTGAGTGTACCACTTTCTATGAAATAATACCGGTTGTAATAATCGGGATCCTAAATATAAAACCTCAAAATTGTGCAATTGGGCTGAGTTACGCTATTGAAATATTCTAATAATATGTTAAAAACTGTCGTGGTGGCCCGGAGGTTAAAGAGCCCGCTTCTCATGCAGGAGGGTGTGGGTTCGAAACCTGGCAAGTACCAATGCGACTTTTTCCGAGTTATATGTACTTTCTATGGTTATTTAGAGACCACTAAGATACGTGAGGAAACCTTGACTTATAATTTCTAATTATAAGTTTGACATCGCCAACCCGCATTGAGCAAGCGTGGTGATTAATGCTCTAACCTTCTCCGTATGAGAAGAGGCCTTTGCTCAGCAGTGGGCACTTATAGGCTGATGATGATGATTTTAAAAACTTTCAGTGCCTTTGAAAATCTTGTGTTGCTTAATTTTGGAAGAGGCAGGAGAAAGATAGATGTATTTGTATGTACACATATATATGCACATGCAGGAACATATGTAATTATGAAGGTACATATCGTATTGTAAAAATACATCAATCTTATTTTCTACACCATGGTATACAATTTTGAATATAAATTGGAATAATAAAGCAAAATTGAATTTACTCAGTAGTCGACAATCAACCGGATTCCCACACTCAACAGTCAGGTTCCTATTTTTTTTTGTTACCGCCTAAGTTTTGAAAATAAGTGCAGTTTTTCTTAGTGTAATTTCAGGTTTTTCAAAAATTAAAATTCTATTATATTTTTGACTCTAAACAAAAGGCTAATTCTCCGCTAATGTTGGACAACATTATCCGACATGGCGTTCAATGTGTCAAACCAAGATATTATGATATTTACATCCAGTTCAGCTTATAAAAGACCAAATGTCACCCCTAGCATCGGGGCCCCATAGGGCTGATGTTCAGCCGGGGTTACGGGGTAAGCGCAATGAGGCACCGCGACCTCGGTCCACAGCAGGAGAAGGAACAGGGGGGTTTTAGTCAGTAAGAGCCTGACACTCCCTCCCGCCCGGCCCTGGGCGGGACAAGTCATTTGATGATTTTCCCCTGACAAAAAAAAACCCGTAGCATAACTAAGTACTTTTTTTATAAAGATACAAGACCACCAGTTACCCCAATCAGTATACATATATGTATGTAAGTTCGTACAAAGTTTATGTATTTTTTTGACCCTCGTGAGTTTCTTGCCATTATTAGCGCACCAACTGGTCTTTACATATTTTCATTTGATAGGACGGCAGACTAGCCTAGTGATAACCTGGTGGTAAGCAATCGATGCCGCCCATGGGCACAGCAAGCTCCAGAGAAGTTACATGTGCGTAGTCGGCCTTTTGGGAATAAGGAGGAGAAAGATAGGGCCTCCGGTAACCTCACTCACACCGCAAAACACAACGCTGTGGTCATTTCACGATAGCCACTGGTATCATACCGGTCGAGCTATCCCATCCATGCTGAAGGACTATACTCACCCACACTTGAAAATTTCTAGGTAGACCACAAAAAAAATACTTTTCTTTTACTCGCCTGAGCATGTTTAGCGTCGCAAATGATCACATAGGGCACAGATAAAAAATGCACTCTATACACCTTTCCGTAACGTTCTGAGTACTTAGCAACCAAGTTCAAGAACTCTGCAAGGAAAACATACAAACAATTATTATTTACTTACTATATAAGTAAGTAACAAGGATTCTTAAGTACATTTTAATAAACATGAACCTGACACCATGTTCGTTTTTTATTCGTATTTGGTGCCTACACATAATAAGCTATTGTCTTCGATGTTATCAAGTATGTGCAATCATTGTTACTTTAAAATTATAAACAATTTTTTTCTCTTTTCATGTTTGTACTTTTAAAATTATTTACTTCTTTTTCTTTTCGTTTTTGTTGGAGTTTTTTGTTCTATAAACTTCCACAAAGTCTCTGCATTTACTGCAGTTTGGTCGTAACGACATTATACTAATAAAGCTAAAATGGTCTTCGCAGTACCTTAACTTTATTATATGAATATTAATTAAATAATTTAAGTACAATGGTGGTTATTTCGCAGTCTTTTTTTATTGCATATGGCGGCACATTAGCTGACTTATCATCTGTTCGCTATCGATCAGGTCCACTAATGAAAGACCAGAAGAGTTTCGAGTGCGTAGCCGGTCTTTTGAGGATCTAAAAAGTAGGAGTTTAGGGATTGGGCATTCAGTAACTAAGTAATAAGGCACTCGCAACACCAGAGGAGTAAAAGTATGAGAATCAGCCGGGATTTGCAAGGCAAACGCAATAACGAACCGCTTATTGCGCTATTAATCCCTAACCACCTCCTCTGGTGTTGCGGATGCCTTATTACTTAGTTACCTACTAGAGGCCCAATCCGTAAACTCCTCCTCCGCCTATATACCTCGGTCTAAAGGAGGAGAAGGAACGGTGGGATTTCCAGTCAGTAAGAGTATGACACTCTCTCTCCCTTCAGCCTGGGCGCGAGAAGTCATTTGATAATTTTAACCTTACAAAAAATATGTTTGTGTCACGCCGGTTTTCAGTGAGGCCGCAGTATAACTCCGGTTGAATAGGCGTCGCTCTCCCATACTTATATTGGAATAGTTGCACCATTTTCAGGACGGCACTGAGCCACACCTAAACTGAATTAGAACAAGGTCCAAACGATTACTGGATAGTTTACACCAGCAAAATGTTTACCTACATAACATTTTTATCGCATTTTTTGATAAGGACCGCTTCAAAATCTATTTTCATAAACATTAGATTATAACAGTTATATAAATATTATTTATTTGATATACCTAATCATACGTAAAACCTGTTATATATACTTTGTGTTCCTGTCTCCTATTCTCCATGATGCATAGGTTTTTTCCCAAATTCTTTCTATCGTCCAGGGTAAAGTGTCAAAGTTAAAAAAAATAAAAAAAGTCAAAGTCAAAAATCATTTATTCCAATAATAATTAGACCATTACAGGCACTTTTGAACGTCATACAAAATTTTGAAGATATAGTGTCAGTCTGTCGGTCAGTCCTCTTAGTGAAGCTATTTTCTCGTTCCAAAGTGTAGATTCCGATGGAGAAAAATGAGCAAGAATCCATGTACACTATATTCAAATCAGTTCCACATACAGATTCCTTTTTAAGTCAGTTTAACAAACAGTTAGTTCAATTGTGTGAGAACAGTATAACACTAATATTTATTCAAATATCAAAAGAAAGTAACTTTAAGGACAATAGACAGCCCGGAGCTGACCGGGCCCAACTGACGGGCCCGTTCAGTCAAAGTCTTACTGCCTAAAAACCACTCCTTTCCTTCTCCTGCTCCAGGCCTGGGCCGCAGTACCTTATTGCACTTGCCCCGCAACCGAGGCTGAACGAACCATAACACTTCATTCGTCACATTCTCACCAAAATTTAACCAGTATTGTCGAAGGACAATGTACTGTTAAGATTAAGTATGTAATTGATATGAAAGAGTTTTATATACATATGTACATATGCGTAGTAGGGATATATGTATATATTGATATGATACTTCTCGCCTATGAAATACTTCCCGATAGCAAAGGGCACACAGTACCTATAATATAATATGCAAATGTTTTTCTGTATACCAACACTGAACGTGAATGAATGACCAACTATTAAGTTAAGTATATCGAGATTTCAAAACTCTATATAGCTAAACAAAATCATTTCTGTGATAAGACTGCAGGCGAAAAGGACAAGCTAAATTAAGCAAAAAGGAGAAGCCTAATTATTATTTAGTTGTTAGTACATATTACTCTTATATTTATACCTATAGCAAGTCATACAAAATTATTTTAAAACACCGCAGAGGACAGCAGATTTCCACTAGTTAACTACGTTACGATAATAAACAAAAGGAAAATCTTACCTGTAGATTTAGAAATGAACATGTGAGCGTTGCCAATAATAGGTAAGGGCATTGGCCCATTAACATTGAACCGGCGACTCTCTCTGACTAAACTAATCCATGACACTAATAAACCTAACACTAAAATAACAGATACTAAAAACAAAATCATTTTCAAATAACACTAACACGTATTCAGCCTCATTCGATGAGGTTTGTAATCAAAATGCGACTCTACTGAACAAGCTAGCCGGTTAGAATGATATAGCTAGCTAATCGCATCGTGAATACGAAACAAAAAAAAACACAAGCGGTCAATGCCACTTATTATGATGTCAAACCGTCAAACGTTCAAAAATGGAATACAATAATTTTATCTGCACCAAATGAAGAACATGGGCCATTCTGTTTTTAAATTTCGAGTTACGTTCTGCTCTAAGAAATCCAAGAACAAATCTATCGCTTATTCAAATATTGATTTTATTATTAATTTAATATAGTCATTCATCAGTATTCTCCACAATGTCTCTTTTTCCATTCTCCCGTAAAATCTTCAACCAAACAGCATGCTATCAAATTCCTTCCTCTTTCATATGATTCTTCACGCAATCTATGCGGATTTTCTTTCGTTACCCTCCACTCTGTCACCCGTTCAAATTTAGTACAGTTATGCCAGCAGGTTTAGTTACAATCATGAAGATTAAATATCCAAATTAAATTCTCTAAGAGAACTACTCATAGTATTGTCATTTTTATAAACTTTGTACTCAGATTCATTTAATGTTTCCTTAACCTAGACCTTGACAATGACAAGCCAGGGCGAGCAAGGGTAGCTCGCCGTCGCCGACCGATCAGAATCAGACCCGAGCGTACAGCGCGCACCTCAAACTCAAAAAACTAATAGACCACCACAGATGGGGCCCTACTTGGCCGATGTTCAGCCGAAGTTACGAAGCAAACGCAATTAGGTACCGCGACCTAGGCCTAAAGCAGGAGCAGGAACAGGGTGGTTTTTAGTCAGTAAGAGTCTGACACTCTCTCTCCCCTCACCCTGGACGAGAGAAGCCATCTGATGATTTTCCCCTCAGAAACAAAGCCCTTAACAATGGCTTTGAAAACAAAACTTTACTAAGAAATGGTTGAAGTCATCATTAATACTCTGAGTACAGCATTCTGAGTTCGGTACCCTAAAGCTATAGATAACAAAAAACTACATAATATTACAAAGCTACACAAAATTATTACAAGTTTTCTCGACATGTTTATGATGGGTAGGTACCTCTAAACAGGTTTTAGTTTTTGCTTAAGTCTATCTTATTCGTCTTAGTCTAAAGTTAGCTAATAAAGCACACGTATTTATTTGTTAAAAATATGTTTTGTGAAATTTCTTGTCTGCCTATCTGCAAATGAATAGTAAAATAATGTTGTACCTTATTAATTATTCAACTCCCATATCTTATTTCTTTTTAATCTGTATAGGTATTCTATCAGCTTGCAGATTCATTTTTTTAAGCAGATCCATACAATATTCTATTTCTTAAGTGTGTACCTAATTTGTAAGCATATCTTTATCTTTCTAAGAGTGTAGTTTCTTACAATACGAGCGTAACACTATGTTAGATAATTTATAGGACCCAATAAAATAGTAAATTTTGACTGACCCACTCCAAGTTTCACAGTCTCAAGACTATGTAGCTTGTCCCAAAAAAAAAATCTTTCTGTGTATGTCATGTTATTGGACTCCTTGCCAGATTAATAGAGGAAATGTCAGAGTACCCTCTTATCTTTATCTTTACTTGATTGATCCAACCGTGTGTCGCTCTTTTTCAATTCAATTCTTTTAGACTTTTACATGACTTTTAAAGTACGAATAATAGACATATCGTAAAATAGGTAATGATGATAATTTTTAGACATTTTATTGTATTGAAAAGTAGGAATAATTAATTTTGAACTGAGTAAAAACCCGATTATTAATCGAAAATTAGGTAAGTAAGTATTTTTTTTCCTTGTAATGATGACATCTTCGTTCTTTAAGAATTTTTATTTTATAAAATATACATAAGTTTGGTTTTTTTATTTAGCATATATCAACATTTACACATTACTTAAAAATATACTTCAATGCTAACTAAGTATTAAGTAAACTAATTAATAATTTTTTCGCTGAAATTTCATTTTCTTGGCATTAACCGCACTTTGACTCCATTCTTCGATCTTAAAATAAGGTCAGCACTTAGCTGAGGCGGTTCATCGACAGGTAATATGTGGAAGTGCTTGACAATCTCCGAGATGGTGATCTTGAGTTCCATCATCGCGAACTTTTGACCTGAGAAAGAATTCAAATGTGAATTTATCGACAAAATCTTGCTAGGTTAACAGGGGCTGGCCCTCTAGCCAGTAAGGTAGTGACAAAAAATAGGTGGTAGTAAAAAAGCATAGGCTCTCAATCCATAAAAGACAGAAATTGGTGTTGTCCATGAGCGGGGGCGATTGCTCACCGTCAGGCGATGTTCCGGATCTTTTTTTGACTAGTATTATGCCTGATTTGAGGAGGATGATGATGATGGTGATACTGTTCCGATTGAGGGACATATATAAAAATGTCTCCTGTTTTTTTTCAGAGTAGGGACGAGAGGGAGTCTCATACTCTTATTGACTAAAAGCCACCTCGTTCCTTATAGTGCTTCAGGCCAGAGCTGCAAATATTTGCAACCAATTTATGGCTTATTTTTGACTGTTTTGCTTAATATTATAATTTCCAACATTACTAGCAAAAAGATTGTATTTCATTTTATGGCCCTTTTTCTTCTAAATCATATCGGCTATAAAAATTATATCTAAAATATTAACGCCCTTACCAATGCAATTTCTAGGACCAGCACTGAATGCCAGAAAACTGAAGGGATTCTTTAGAGACTCCTCGAATCTTTCTGGGCGGAACTCCAAAGGATCTTCAAACATGTCTGGTTGACGTTGAATTTGGTAGATATTTAGAATTACTGATGTGCCTTTGACTAGTTTTAAACCTCCGATCTCTGTAACATTATTATGTAATTAAAATATCGTTAAAACATGTTTTCTGATAAACTAATATTTTTATATTATAAGTATAACGTACCACAGTCTTTTGTAATACATCGCTCAATTATAGGCACAGGCGGATACAATCGCATCGACTCCTTAATGACCAGCTCCAAGTATTTCATTTGTGAAAGTTCCCTGAGAAAAATTATTATCAATTGAACTTAACCTTTCAATAGTGGTAATTCGATACACAATAGAAGAACAAATGGCGTTCGCTTGGAGTTTGAAGAATTGAATAATAATAAAAAAATAATTGTATTTGTATACATATAGGACTTCCTAGCACAATTCATGGGGTAGAAATAGTTCCTCTCCTGAAAGGAAATGTAGAGTCATAAAGCATAGACCCTATCAACTGATAAAATCACAACCTCAAAGAAAATTTTGGGTAATGTTTCGGTACGTATGGAGGATGGACCATCCCTTCGTATTTAAGCCGGCATGTGTTCCTCTATTGTTCTCGCGTATGGGCAGATTGGATTGTTTACCATTCATCCGTCTGCTTGTTTGCCGCGCTTTCCCATATAAACAGGGTTTATTATGTCATAAGTTGGCAAACGAGCAGACGGATTACCTGATGGTAAGCAATCAGAGCCACCCATCACGACATAGAGTCACTACAAATGCGTTGCTAGTTTCTTGTGGGTTATTAGGGATTTAAGGATAGGGGATTTGAGGATTGTGGATGTGGGTGAAGGGATGGACCTCCGGTAAACTCACTATCACTGCGAAAAACAACGTAAGTGTTGCTTTCACCTCGACTTTCTGTGAGGCCGTGGCCGCCGGAGTGATAACTCCGGTCAAGCCGATCCATTCGTGCCGAAGCATGGCTCTCACATACTTAAAAAGGTTTTTTTATTAGGTAAGTAGGTTATTTTTATGTTAAACTCACTGATAAGTTGGGTCTCTTTCCATATCATCACCGAATATTGTCTGCAGTTCTTCGTAGATTTTGTCCTGAATATGCCTGCGCTTGGAGAGACAGTAAAGTACGTAGGAAATACCAGACGTTGTTGTATCATGACCCTGCAATATATTAAGAAAAATATTTCAGAAGTTGCCAGGAATCTAAATTATTTTTTGTCATTACTTATAGAGCCAGCTTTTTGTAATTAAGTTACTAGAAGTGGTGGGATATATCGACGTATGTTTCATACAAAATAATCAAAGCAATTATCATATAATACTAAATATCTACACACAACATTTCATCCAAATCAGTTTATCCTTATTGCGTTAGAGAATAACAAACATACATCCATCCCTTTAAATTTTTAATATTAGTACTTAGTTTTGTTAAGTTAACAGCAAATCTATCCGAATCAGAATCATCAATCATTTTCAACGTGTTAACTCTCTAAAGGCTTTCTGTGTATACATACATATGTTACTTGAACAAAGCTGAAATCATACATTAATATCCTACCTCAAACATGAAGGTGTCAACCTCCTCTCTAACGCTCTCGTCGTCAATCTTCTTGCCATCGATTTCACCAAGCAGCAACAAGTCCAAGAAAGCGTGTTTGTTCCTTATTCCTAAAAAAACCCACAACGTAAGATAAACGTAGTGAAGGGCGTCCTCAAGATGAGTGGAGTGATAAGATCCACTAGGTTGCAGGGATTGGATCCGTAGAACTGAAGATCGAACTCAGTGGAATATATGAGAATAATCGAAATCGGTAAGCTTTGAAAATAAAAAAAAACTATTTTGTGGGTACCTTATAGTTTTGTTGCCCAATAGTTTATGGCTATTTCTCTTCGAAAGAATTACACAAAATAAACTTATTACTCATCTCTGTACAAATAAAACTCCGATAGTAAAATGTTAAGGTTTATTTAATCTCTCGTCTGTCGGTATATGAGACAGGATAGAAAATACATTATTTTCCGCTTGTACATACATTCCGGTATACCATGGGTTAGGAAAAAAAGTTGGCGCTAAAGAAGCTCTACAACTATGCAGGCTCAATCCCCTCTTCGAACAAACATTTGGATAACGCACAAATTGATATTTTCGGAACGATTATTATTTAGAACTAGAAATGAAATGGCAAATGAAGTTATAATTTGAAAATGAACCAAGTTATGCAAACGGAAATACGGAATAATTAAATCTACCTAACCGATCATCGAATGATTCTTAATCACTTACCAACATCGGTACTTGCGTCGAGACTAGTTATATTTGCCTTCTTCAACTCTTGTCTTCTCGCTTCAATTACTTTCCTAGTGTGTCCATGTAGAACCTTCAGGGCTTTTACTTGACTGATCTTGTAGGGCGTTAAATTAAAGATGGCGTTTGGACCGAAAATTGGAATTTGAATTCTCATGGCTAATATTGAAGACATTCTGTAATCATTAAAATTATTTATTGGGTATAATTCTATGTGTCTCTACTTTTTTATTTTTGCTGTTATTTATAAATACTCACTCTTCAATTGACTTCACATAGGCAGACTCGCTTTCGTGTCCTTGAGCATCAACGCTTGAACCCATAATAGATTCTGGGAAAAAATACAAGTAAATTTTAGGTCACACATTTTCACGCCGCAAGTGCCTCAGAAAGTAAATAAGGAATTTGACACCTGTACTATCAAGAACCCGATCGGATCATAATTTTGAAACAGTTAAGATTATTCTTATATAAACTTCAAAATTCCAATTTTCTCCTGTATATACATAGATGGCAACCTAAAGAAAAAAGAGTTTGAGAGTTTGAGGATGTGTTATTGCCTGCTGAAAAACTCACCTGTGACATTATCAAGGGCAGCCAAAGCAACAATAGGGAACATGTCAATCGGGCGCCCGTCGGCAAGTTCTCGTAGTTTCTCCGTCAGGACTCGCTGGTTCTTGCAGAACACGGGGAGAAAGTTCTGCAGTATGGTGAAGTGGAACGCTGGAGTCAGGAATTTGCGGTGACTTTTCCATCTTTGACCTAGACAAATAAAGAGGAAATTATATAATGCACGTAATAAAAAATATTTATGCATTGAAAGATGATGGAATTTATTTTTGCTTGCGCTAAGACCAATAATAATTGTGAATACCGTTGCTTTTTGACAAAGAAAGAAATAAATACAAAGCAACCTCTATGGTTGGATGGGTAACTTATGTCTTAATTATATCATGAAATTTAGATCGATTTTTAAATTTGTTCTAAATTTAAGATTGCTTACCTGTAGCTGTGAGTAGTCCCTTGCCAAGCCATGATGACAACAGTTTATAGGGTCCACCTTTACTAATATACTCATGACCCGTCACTATCTCCTGGAATGTTACAAAATTGTTCCATTATCATCACTTTCATTTTCACTAAACATAAGTTTTTTAATTGCAACAATTCGTCTGTCTAGGACAACAAGCTCTTGATAGGCAGTTTTTTTAGACGCATATGACACGTAAACCTGCATATAATCAATGAAACATATAAAATCTTGTTTTATTTCTTTGGCATACAAATCTTCATATTTTACGTTTAAAGGAGATCGATTCGTTAAAAAGATTAATAGGTTACTAGCTTCTGTCGCGCGGTTTCACTCGCTGCTCAGCTCCTACAAATCGTAGTGCGATGTTTTATGACGTAAAGCCTTCCTCGATAAATTTGCTAACAAACACAATAGGAATCATTCAATTCGGACCAGTAATTTTGGAGATAGGCGTTCAAAAAACAAACTCTCCAGCTCAATAATATTAGTATAGATTAATAAAAAAAATAGTTAACGACATGGATAGATTAAAGTCTGCCTGTTAAATGTGACTCTTTAGATGGCTCAGATCATTTACCATCAGGTGAACCGTCTGCTTAATTCATAGATAAAAGCCACTCACCTGAGCGAATTTAGCGTCACAGACAATCACATTGGGAATTGACAGGAAATGCACCCGGTACACTTTTCCGTACTTATCTGCGTAATGCGCAAGTAAGTTCAAAAACTCTGTAATAAAAACAAAACCAGTTATATTTTTTTATTTTACTAATATTTAAGATTTGAACGATTATACTATCGTTATTGTTTTGTCAACCAATAAAGACGTTTTTCGTATGTTTAATTGAAAAAAAAAACAATGAACCTTAAATAACCAAATTCTCACACAATAATATCATCAATTTTTGAATTGTGTTTGTGACAAAAAAGTGCCTAGCCTTTTAATTTATTTCTTGTTTTGAGGGGAGAGATAATGAAATACTCCTCCCGCCCTTGGTAAGGGCAAGAGTTAGTATCAGACTCTTACTGGCTAAAAACCTGTTCCTTTTCCACTACAAGCCGTCACGGGAAGATTTTTGTTCCCGCGGAAAAGGTTAAGTAAAAACTTCATTTCACTCTCTGTCACATCTCTTCCAAAAAGACATAAATAGGTATATTATTAAATGTTGTAATGTATGTGACGAACTCTCACAATTCGATTCAGGTGTATAATAAAACTGCTTGCTTCGTAACAACGATTATATTATTTCAATCACTCTGGCTTATATTCTTATACAATTATACCGCACAGTAGCTATTGCACGGCTTTTAACACAATCGTAATGACTATCACGTCTGTCTCAGTCGAGATCTCCGATCAGAATCCCATCACTTCTTTTAAAAAATAACCGACAACACATTTCGTTCCCGACCGAACGAAATGTCCCGATCAATCTATTCGTTCTTCATAGACTAATAGAGTAATGGTATTTTGATTCGACTAACTTACATAAATCGATTATATTGATTAAAACATAATAAATCAAATACAAACCGTATTGTAAATTCAATATAAATATTTTTAAAAATAGACTTGATTTAACCGACAAATTGTAAAACAATATTAAAAAATCATAAATTCATTACATTCGGCCGTCCGACTACGTGCGATCTCCTGACGCACGGTATATAATCACATAGAATAATTTTATAAACCCAAACATATATCAAATAAAAAAATTCAATAACAAATCATATAAAAAATCATATACCTATATATTATATGTATAATTAAACATTCATTACATTCGGCTATTATTTGGACTCAGATTGACTTTGTGGCAGTTCATTGTCACTTTGATTACTTTCGCTATCAGACGAACTACTGCTATTAGCCATTGCATCTACATTATCATTTTGCTCGGACACATTTATATTGATCCACGGTCGAATCCTGTCTACTGCTACTACGCTATCGAATTTATTCTTGCGCTTACTGAAACCAGGTATTTCGACAATTTTATACCTATCATTGCCCAAAACTTCGGCTATTTTGAAGGGGCCTACAAATTTTGACATTAACTTAGTACTATTACCTTTATTATTAAAATTAGTTCTAGTTATTTTAATTAGATCCCCTTCCTTATAAGTCGGGGCAGCAACTCTATTTTGATCGTAGTTTTGTTTTTGTTTAATCTGACTAGATTCGATATTTGTACAAATTTCTTGTCTTACTTCTGTAAAATTGGAATGAGGCTCATTATTTACATCTAACATATTGCTTAGGCTATCTTTCAATCTGGTTCCAAATAATGCTTCAGTAGCTGTTTTCTGAGTGGTGGAATTTGTGGCATTATTAATTCCCCACTGAATTTTGCCTAGACACATGTCCCAGTTCCGTTCGTCCTCACCGTCAGAATATTTTGCAAGTGAACTTAAGATAGTTTGGTTGTATCTCTCGGCTTGGCCGTTGGCTCTGGGACACGCGACAGCATTCAAAACATGTTTAATACCATGAGTATCACAAAAGGATTTAAAGGCTGCTGAAGTGAAGGAGGTACCTCTATCCGATATTATTCGGGATGGTAAACCGAAATCATAAAAAATATTTAATAATACTTTAACGGTTGTTTTAGTTTTGGTATCTTTAACAGCTCTCACAAACAAATACTTGGTAAATCCATCCACTATGGTGAGAATGTAAACATTGCCGTTCTTGCTTTTGACAAATGGACCTAAGTGGTCAATGTGAATGGTGTGGAACGGAATGCTTACTTTCTCTATCGGATACAACTGACCATTCTTATGTCGTGACGTATTATCCTTATTATAGGCGCACTTAATACAAGACTCTACATACTTTTTAACAAATCTACGTAACTTAGGAAACCAGAAAACCGATTGAATTTTCTCGGTTGTCTTTGATACTCCTAAATGACCAGCGTCATCGTGGTTAGATTTACATATTTGCCATCGGGCATTACGAGGAATTACTAGACAAAGCTTATCATCAACTCTCCTATACACTCTACTATTCTTAACTACATAATTTTTCCTAATGTCTTTGGCTTCTTCGTCTGACTCAGGTTTGAGAATTTTATATATACGAGATATATCAGGATCCGTCATTTGTAAAGTCAAGAGCCAGTTATCAGTTTCGATACTATAGACTGTGACCGCAGAATTATCGATATCTTCGGGTGTTAATTTTGTGTTACGGCTCAATGCGTCCACATGAGCCATACGGATGCCTGGACGGTACTCTATACTAAAATTGAATTCGCTTATTAAAAGCCACCACCTAGCTATTCGGGGTATTAAGTCGCGTTTAGTTAGGGTAGTTCGAAGGGCGTTACAGTCTGTCATAATTTTGAACTCTATTCCCAATAAATATACCCTAAATTTCTTTAATGAACATACAATCGCAAGGGTCTCGAGTTCATAAGAATGCAAGTGACGCTCTTCGGGGGTGGTTTGCCGGCTGAAATAAGCTATTGGTTTGAGGGCACGCGGCTCCGGTTGCCATTGCATCAATATCCCACCCACGCCTAAAGAACTTGCATCCGTATGCAACTCAGTCTCAAAATTAGGGTTGTACAGCGCTAAAATTGGTCGGTCAATTAGCTTTTCTTTTAAGGTAGTAAACGAATGGGATTCTTCATCTGTCCATTTAAAAACATTGCCCTTTTTGAGTAAGTTTGTTAGAGGTCTAGCTATTTCCCCGAAACTTCTGATAAATTTTCTAAAATATCCTGCTAGTCCCAAAAACTGACGGATTTCATGTACGTTCTGGGGAACAGGAAACTCTTTAACAGCTAGAATCTTATTTTCATTAGGGCGTATGCCTTCGGCAGAAATCTCATAACCTAAGTAGTCAAGGGAATTATCGAAGAAACGGCATTTAGATAGTTTTAAAGTTAACCCATTCTGCCGCAACAACTTCAAAACATCCTCCAACCTTTCAAATCCCTCCTCCAAGGTAACCGATGGCACAAGAATATCATCTAAATAAGCCATAGCCGATTCATGACGTTTACTACCTAGCATTGCATTCATTAATCTCTGAAATACCGCTGGAGCATTCGCGAGACCAAAAGGCATCCTTTTGAATTCGTAATGCCCATCTGGCGTTACGAATGCAGTAAGCGGACGACTTTCTTCTGCCATCGGCACCTGGTAGTACCCAGAAGCCAGATCTAGGGATGTGAAGAATCTATTGCCACTAAGGTTTGTCAACTGATCGTCGATTATCGGCAAAGGGAAACAATCTTTCCTAGTCTTATTATTCAGAGCCCTATAATCGACACATAAACGATGTTCCCCTGTCTTTTTCTTCACCATCAGAATAGGACTAGCATAATTTGAATTGGACTCTTGTATAATGTCATTTTGCAACAAATCATCGATTATCTCCCTAACCTGACCCCTTTCCGAAAAAGATAATCTGTACGGTCGGTAAACTATGGGTTTATCATCTAATAAGTCTATTTTCATTTCAGTTGAGTTGATACAACCAATTTCTCCTAGATTGAATGCAAAGCAGTCACGATAATTGAGTAAAAGTGAATGAAGTCTACATAATGTCTCTTTGTCAATTTGGGGACCAACTTTTATGTCAGATATTAGTAAAGGTTCATATTCTGAACTATCTTTCGTTACTCTATTCGTATAAGTGATACTTTTCTCAACAAAACAAGCTCCTTTAGCAATAGGACAGTTCTTGGATAATGTAAGGTTTCGACCAGATAAATTAGTCACAGGCAAACAACACTTCCCATCAACAACCCTATACACTCCCTGGTGCAAATAATGCTCTTTCCTAGGCTCACAATTGCAGTAACCTTCAATATAAATATCTCCACAGTAGCCAACATCGGATGCGGTAACTTCGACTAATCCTGATAATGTAATATCGGTATCGTTATCAACATTTAACTTTAAACACTTCACCGGCTGTATTATAGTATCGGTATCGGGGCTCTGGTAAAACGTTAACTGTTGGCTATTCTTAAATACTGTTACGCAAGGAAGTTCAGTAACATTCTGACCTATAAGTAAAGCTGACTGAAGAAACTGATTGCTGACTACTAATACCTCAACATTAACCTCAACCTCATCTAATTTCAGATCAACATTGCTCCTATATACTGGAAAAACTTTAGAGTTGCCGAACCCTTTGATTACTGGCAACTCTGTTAAATTTTTAGTTAAATTTAAACTTCGAGCATCAGATTCTCTGATTAAACTACATTCGCTGCCGAAATCAATAAAAGCAATTAAGGACTTATTGTTTACCTTAACGGTTTTGTAAAATTTGTCGCTGCTGTTATTGAAGGTAGATATAGTCAATATTTGTCGATCCTGGTTATCTGCCTGTTTGGGTTCATTTCGTAAGACTAATGGCTCTAGTTTACAATTATCATTATTGTGGCCTACCCGTTGGCATTTTAAACATTTAATAAGAGGTTTGGGGCATCGAAAGTAAGGGTGTCCTTTTGAGCGGCAATTGAAACAAGTTACCGAACTTTCACTCGAGGGTGTTGCAGTGTTACCCGTTCGAACTGTCATATTATCGCTACGTTTTCTATTGAATGTGTTATTTTCCAATATGGGACGTTGGGAGCTTAGAAAATTCAATAAGTCTTCTGGTTCATTACAAGTCAGTGCCTGTGCGCTGCTTCGAATAGATTTATCTAGTATTCCGTGGATAATACAATCAACGGCCTTTTTGCCTTTTATTTCACATCTGTTTAACAACGCTAACTTATCGTAGAAGTACTCACGCAAACTTTCGCTACTACGAGTAGTGCGAGCTAACATTTCTTCGAGAAGCCGACCATAATTTTGCTCATTCGGGAAAGCTCTTATGAGTTTGTCCTGCCACTCTGACCAACTGAAAACAACACTAGGAAGGGCTTCAAACCACTTCTTTGCCAGACCAGAAAGTTTTTGTAGAGCAAAATGTATGGTCTGCTTCTCGTTCCATTCATAGATTACGGCACATTCGTTTACTTTCCTAACCCAACAATCAATATTCTGAGTTTTACTTGACGGATCAAATTCTGGTATCACATTGTTGAGAAGATTGTTATTTAAATTATTTGTCTTGCTTTTATGTTCCTGAAGGGTATTAAAGATATCAAGTACCTCTTTAGTAGACCAACTGCCACCCTCCTTGGATCGTCTCTTATTCGAACTCCGTGAACTACGGGGTGACTCACTGCTGGATGAGGAGGAGCTGGACGACTGCTTACGTCTCCTCCTTGATCGCTTTTTGGCTCTTTTAGACTTAGCTGCTGCTTTGGAGGAGGATCGTTTACGTTTTCTTCGGCGCTCATCTTTACGAGTAGGCGAGCCTTCAGGAGTCATCGCTTCGTCAGAATTCATACCTCAAAAGAATAGAATATCATTGTAATCATGTCAGTATATCAATTTATTGTTTAAATGTGTTAATAATAAAACTTGATTTTCATTTGGTAGGTATATGTAATAAAATAAAATAGTAATAAAAAATGTGTATATTTAATTAAATAAAAATTAAACGTAATTCATTTATTTTCTAAATTAATCATCCTTGATTAAAAACAAAATATAATAATCTAATTTTCCTGTTAATGTCTGCTAAAGACATAAACATTCTATATGCATACTTAGGATCTTATTAAAGCACACTCGGCTTTTTATTGTAGGTACACATGACCTCTAACAACTAAGCACACATGGCTTAATAGGCATACATAGCCTCTAGTAGCTAAAGCACACTTGGCTTCCTATTGTAGGCACACATAACCTCTAACAACTAAGCACACATGGCTCAATAGGCATACATAGCCTCTAGTAGCTAAAGCACACTTGGCTTCCTATTGTAGGCACACATAACCTCTAACAACTAAGCACACATGGCTCAATAGGCATACATAGCCTCTAGTAGCTAAAGCACACTTGGCTTCCTATTGTAGGCACACATAACCTCTAACAACTAAGCACACATGGCTCAATAGGCATACATAGCCTCTAGTAGCTAAAGCACACTTGGCTTCCTATTGTAGGCACACATAACCTCTAATAAAAGCGCCCACGTGGCTTGCTCAACTTCTAAACAGTCATAAAATTAATTAATTAATTAATAATCATATAAAGCACTTTTACGTACCTTAGATTGGGTCCTGATCCCACTTCTGAACTGTGACGAACTCTCACAATTCGATTCAGGTGTATAATAAAACTGCTTGCTTCGTAACAACGATTATATTATTTCAATCACTCTGGCTTATATTCTTATACAATTATACCGCACAGTAGCTATTGCACGGCTTTTAACACAATCGTAATGACTATCACGTCTGTCTCAGTCGAGATCTCCGATCAGAATCCCATCACTTCTTTTAAAAAATAACCGACAACACATTTCGTTCCCGACCGAACGAAATGTCCCGATCAATCTATTCGTTCTTCATAGACTAATAGAGTAATGGTATTTTGATTCGACTAACTTACATAAATCGATTATATTGATTAAAACATAATAAATCAAATACAAACCGTATTGTAAATTCAATATAAATATTTTTAAAAATAGACTTGATTTAACCGACAAATTGTAAAACAATATTAAAAAATCATAAATTCATTACATGTATATTATGAGCATAATGTTCGTTCGAACCTGTTACAAGATACCCCTTGCTTAACCAACAAAACTGAAATGTTCATAGCAAATAGTAAAGTGGACGATAAAAATATAATATAAAACGAAAAAAGAAAATAGGCCCATATTCGGTACCTACCTAAAAACAAACGATTAATTTGATGTAGGTGATATTTTTGTAACAATAACTATCGCAAATTTCGATAAAGCCACGAAAATGCATAGATCCAAATAATAACTACCTACGTTAGCACTATTTCAGGCGTTATCTCCCTGCTTTCTATGGCTGCATTGGTTGAGTTCAAGTAAGTACAACTGAAAAGTGACTATTTTTTTTTTGATAAGTTATCCTCTATCTTCTTCCTCTCTTTCCCTTTTCTATTATTTAACACGAACAAGACAGTGAAATTCAATTCAATTCAACGCAGTCGTTTAGAAGGCGTAACTGCTAAACGACTGCGTTGAATTGAATATACATACCTATATATTGCATAAACATATATAATTAAAAAAAGATTTAAATAGAGCGGTTTGTTTGTACAGAGTATGTCAATATACTTATAAAATTCTCACCTTATATTACCAAAAATATTTTATGTAAACATTTAGTACACCTGCACCTTTAACCACTTTTTAATAAGGTCTTTACCTATGAAATTGCCGTTTTGCATGAAAAAAATTTAACGAATTTTTTTATTTCAAATGCGAAGAAAATGTAACACTAATCAATAAACAAATGACTACTTTTGGAAAAAGAATCCCATGTTTTTAAAACAAAATTTATTAGCCTTAGCCTAACAAAAACTATTTTGATTTGAAATGGCCAGTACTGCAGAACGGCAATTCCATAGGTAAAGACCTATTATAAAAAAATAAAATAAACTTTTTATATATATTTATTTAATTATTTATATTTAATACAATAAATCTATATAATTATGTAATGAATTGCATGTAAGTAAACGAACTCACGACACAGGAGAACATTAAAAAAAAGAATACAAGAAAATTTAATATTATGTATAATATGTATAAATATGTATAAAATATGTACAAAGACTGTAAAGCGCCAGATGAATTTAAAAATAGAACGTCATTTTTATGCGCTACGTGCTGTTTAGGTACCACCTTTGGTGGTCTATTAGCTCTTTGAGGTATTGACTATCATTAGTATGAACCTCTCGTTATGTTTGTAAACGTATACCTTAGTTTAGGGGATACATATTAATAAAGGTACGTAGCGAACCAGGCAACAATACCATAAATAATAAAAAAAAATAAGTGCCATGTTTTTTATGCATTTAAGTTTCGGAAAAGCCAATATGAACCAGATTAATTTGAAAATAGAACGAAATTTGAATCAACTATGTGTTACACTTTACGGGCACTTTTACGAAAGTAAAAATTAAACAAGCGCTAAAATTATAATTTTATAGGCTATAAAAAAATAACATTATTAAAATAAAATATTTTACCTGTAGATTTAGACACGAACATATGAGCATTGCCGATGATAGGCAAAGGCATGGGTCCATTGATGTTAAACCGGCGACTCTCCCTAACTAAACGAATCCAAGAAACTAATAAAACTAGCACGAAAATTACAGATACTAAAAACAAAATCATTTTGAAATGCCCAATTAATAGTGCGTAATCTTAATAAAAAAATATATTTTTCAAGACATTGACGACCGATCAGCACGTCGGATAAGGAACGCAAAGACTCAACTTAAAATAATCGCAACCGGTCAACACAATGAATTAGTCTATAGTATGTAAACGAACGAAATACTTGTCTGACTAGTGATCTGACTTGATACCTTATTACTTTACTATCAAGTATTAAATTGCTCTGTATTTCTCAAGGTCTTTCCGTAAGTAGGTTCTATACAAGTATATAAGTGAACGCCGAACGATTCGCAACTAGCCAAGCGTCTTAACGCTTTTTAAATACTGAATGAACAGTTTAAAATCTGAGTTATATTTATATAAATGATAAGAAACAAATCAATAACAAACAAAAATATATGATATGTTATCTGCTCTTATATTAAAATGTACATATGTATAGGTAGTTACGATAAAGATATATTTAGGTAGATACAATAATCTTTAGTTCACATGTCATTCTTTTGTAGAATTTTGGCACATAAGCATTATTTAGCAATTTATTGCGGTTATTTGAAATTAATTAAAAGAAAATGCACTCGGTGTAGGCAATACCAAGTGCATTTTTCACCAGTTACCATATTGTATGAAACCTCAAAGAATACATACGAGAAGGTATGTAAAAGGAGTTCTTTTTATCCATCAAAAAATAGACCATTTTTAAATACACCGCGTATAAAAACGCACACTTTCATTCTTTGATAATGATTTTTTACTTTTTTCACGAGGAGGCGAAAGGCGTGTTACTTTACGTGACTTTTAATGACTGAAAACCACCCTGTTCCATCTCTTGCTCCAAGCCGAGGCCACGGTACCTTAAACCGCTTAAACCGCCGCCGATCACTTCCCTAAGGATACGCCGGAGTTGAACTCAAACGGGGCGCACCGCCACCATATCCTCCAGGATGATGATGTAGATATATTGCTCATATATAAAAATGCAATTCATTGTTCGTTAGTCTCATTAAAACTCGAGAAAAGCTGGTCAGACATAGCTTATTGTGTCCTTAAAATATTCCTGGATATACTTACAGGGGAGGTTTAAAAGTCATAAAAAAACTATTGAGGCGGTACGAAGTTTGCCGGGTAAGCTAGTACTTAATATTCGTATTCTCTTGCTTTAGTAGTCCCTATTAACTAGTTAGCAAAGTAAGAATACGAGTAGTTGATGCAAAAAAATACACAATCCATTTCTTTGGGGGAAGATTATCAAATGCCTTCTCACTGCTTGGGGCGAAAGGTGGTGTCTGATTGAAGCTGCTTAAACCACTAACAACCGCGTCCCTCCTCCTGGTCCAGGCCGGGCTGATATACAGATAAATTGTAAATGCATACGTAGTAATGTACGCGGTGTCTTTAAGTCAGTAAGTCTGACACTCTCTCTCTCTCTCGTCCTACCCAGGTTGACAAAAGCCATTGGATGATTTTCGGTCCTTAAATAAAAACAAAAACTCTTGTGGTGTTGCGATTGTTCGCGGTCATATAACCCACAAAAAATTAACCTTATCTTATGATGACCTAATCTTACATGGTATGACCTTGGCGAGACCTGGCTAGTGCTAAAAATCAGCGCCGTGGAGTCCAATGGTTGGCTGAGCCACCGCATTAAGCTAAGTGAAGCAATCTTTTTTTGTGTATTTTCTGTCTCACTTTTCTTACTTTCTCTTTTTCAGATCCCCAAGACGGCATGGTTCGGTTATCCCGTTTCAAAAGTTACCGAAGAGTTTAAATATAAATAACCTTTTTTGAAAACTTCCCAAAAATCGAACACGTAAGACAGGCGTGATATAGTATTAATATACAAATGGTTTTAAAATATTTTTTGCTTCGTAATTTTGTAGTCTGATCAAAGTCCAAAGTCACTTAGGTATTTTTAAAATTGCTATGTCATTGATTATAAAACTTGTTTGAGATAGCTCGGACGGATTACATTAACATGTTATGATTACAGGCTTCATATAGTCATTTTTACACTTAATTTACAAAAAACTAATTGTTTGCGGGTTACGGCAGACTACTAACCTTGGTTTTTTAGTTGCTAACATCCTTTACACATCTTCCACGGAGGTTATAAGAGCCACTTTTGGTCCGAGAACTTTTTTTTCAAACTTCCATCTAGAACCTACTCATTTGCGGTGCGTGGAAATTATTACAAACTATTCTTCTGTACAGACTATCACAACCTGTTGACGTAATAAATAAAATGCGTACAACATTCAATTCAATTAGACCATTACTTGAATGGCGCGGTAAATAAACTTTCGGTCATTTATATAATTTTGGTCTCGATCGAAATAATAGTTTTATTATTAATGCTCTATTCTGTATTTTACATAATTGATTATATAAAATAGTCTAAAATTGTTATTGTATTGATAAATATCTTGTCACCTATTAAATGGCACATACTGGCGAACTATATGATATCATTCCGTAATCTGTGTCAATGCTGGGCAAAGGTTATTTTTCATACGGAGTTGAAACGGACTTTGATCACCATATTTATTTAACTCTAATTGGCCATTTTGGAATAGTTACCTAAACTCATATATTATTAGAAGGAGGTAAAATTTCTACGTTTGTATGTAAGGGGTAATCTTTGGAACAGCTGGTCGGATTTCCAAAATTCTTCACTGATATACTTATAGCTACAATGTTCCTGAGCCGACCAGCGAGTGAAAACATATAACTTAGAAAGAATCAATCAACAAGGAGAAAGGCTTAGGCTGCCGCGCCTACACGATTGCATTGCACTCCTTCATACCTCGGCCCTCGTTTGAAGCACTAGTTACAACGATGTGGTTTTTTAAGTTGATTAGTAAGAATCTGATACTTAAAAAACCACCCCAATCCTTCTCCTACTCCAAGCCAAGGACGCGGTACCTTAATGCGCTAGCCCCGCAACTCCGACAACATCGGCCCTGTTGTGCCCCATACACTCTGCAATAGCCATATGATGACGCTGCGTATGTATTTTGATTCCCGCGCCCTCACGCTCACGTGCGAGACGGGACAACAAGGTGGTTTTTAGTCAGTAAAAGTCTGACAGTCCATGAGGATTTTCCACCTTGGGAAAAAAAAGCCATATGATGACATTTCCCCCAAAAATATAGGTTATCTCTCGTATCATCATTTGTGTAATCTAAATCTTTAACAATTATCAACACAGTGGTAAAAAGTGCATTAATTGCATGAGACACTAATTATAAAATAATACCTACATCATATTAGGTAGGTATAATACGGTTGTTTCCAACTAGTCTTATTTAATACTTTTATCCAAATGTCAAGAACGATACCTTTCTATGAAATTTTTTAGTGTATCGATCGATCGATGAATAAAAGTATTGTTATTTTTCAACATTTTCTTGTATTGAAACGTCGAACTAATTTATTTTTGACCTAAGAAACTACTTAATTGTCCCAGCAAACGTAGTATGTATCTACTGTGTCAAAAAAATTGGTCAAAAAATTTTAAAATCTTTATGTGTTGACTGGATTTTCAGTTGAATTTCTTTAGATGTAACTTACTCATGATTTTTGTGGGTGTAAAATGATCAAATGAATTTTCTCCCCCAGGGTAAGGTGAGAGGGAGAATCAGATTCTTACTGACTAAAACCTCCTTTTCCTCCTCCAGGCCGAGGCTGCGGTTCGTTATTGCGCTTGCCCTACAACCCCGACTGAACATGGACCCTGTTAGGCATAGTTTATATTTTTTATTTTTGAATGTCGTCTATGTGTTCTCCTGCTCTAGGTGGGAGGAGAGGGACTGTCAGACTTTTTCTCATTACAACCACCTTGTCCCTTCTCCTTCCACATTGGACCCGTACTTCCTTCTAGAAATGTATAGTTGACTATAGAATACATACTACCTTTTTTATGGTATAGCAAACGACCAGACGGACTACCTGATGATAAGCAATCAACGACGCCCATACACACCCGCAACACCAAAGAAGTTACGAATGCGTTGCTGGCCTTTTAGGAATAAAGGTGAAGGGGACGGATTAACCTCTATGGGCCTCCGGTAACCTCACTCACACGGCGAAACACCACTCTGTGGTTGTTTCAGGTCGTGATATCACTCCAGTCGTGCCGACCCATTTGTGCCAAAGCTTCGCTCTTGCACAGTTTCGCAGTGGCTAGGCAATTTATACCATGCTTAAGAGTCCCAGCTAAAATGTCGTTGTTATAATATCGCCTGTTTACGTGTGTATACTGTAACCCATAACAACGTTTATGAGAGCCCTTAAACTTTACGATGTCTAGTAAATTGAATGAAGTGACTTAGGATTTTGTGTTAGTACTATAATAAACGAACTAGTAAATATATCTTTAGTACTCAATTTTGGTGTTCTATCTTGAATACAACAGATAGAATTTAATAGAATGGAAATTATATTAATTGGACTGATGTGACCTACCACATCGCCAATTGCCCACCGCTTCTTCAGTTTGCTAAAATTTTGGGGTATGTATTCTCTGTCGGATTACCTCGTAACGAATTCGATCGTTCAGAGAATTGGGGTAGAAGTTTTCTGGAATGGAAACCGGTTTAGGCAAACGTAGGCTACCCGAGTAAGTGTGCCAGCAAGGTGTAGACACGGTATCGGTAAAGCGACTGGCAGCTGTTGGATAAGTAGAGTGAATAACGAGCTCAATGACGAATTGGAGAGGTCCTATACCTATTGGCTATGTCCAGCAACGAACGGAAGCTGATGTTGGTGATGATGATGACAAAATGTTTTAGAGTAAGTATTTTTAATTTGAGAAATGAGGCGCCGACCACTCATTTATAAGTCTTCTGGTATGGTGGATGTCCAGAAGCGGCACGTATCCTTTCCCTTGAAATCGACACTCCGATATATAGGTAGCTATCGTCATCAAGAGCCTCAGACAGCTATTTACGGAAAAATGGCAACTTATAAGTACTTACTTACAAAATAATGTAATAGAAAAAAGGTGTAAAATTCGGCATATTAAGTACTTACCTAAATATGCCCAACGGCAATGTTAATGTAGTTTTTTTAGTGGTTAATAGTAGTTTTAAAGCTATTCCCATGTAAATACCAATAAGTATACCTATGTATGATAAATTACTAACTAATATTTTTAAGCTATTGATAAATTGATAAAAAATAGAATGTATAGGTATTATAATACGTAGGTAAAAGTCCAATGATCTGGAGACTACAGATTTGAATAGTCTACTGAAATTTTGTGCAGGCTTTTAAACTTCCGTTAAATACCTAAGTTAAACTTACTACATGATTTGACTTGGAACAGTAGCTGGAAAACTAGCTGTAAAGCAACTTGTCGTGGGTCTGATTCCCGCGCGGAAAAACTCTTTGAATGTCAATCAAACAATCCACATTACTGATGTCAAGTGTAAGAGAAATTATACGTTTGTTGCACGACACATGGGAATTTTGGTGTGGAGGCAATTTTAAAGAAAAAAAAACATAAATATTAAATTGTTTTTTAGTATAATTTCTATATATCTAACCACATTGAAGTGTGCCCTCGGTTATAGGCAATGCTTTTAAACGGATTAAATTAATACCCCCTGGTATATATAATAGCGCCATTAGACTTTTTACGAAAATAGTAGGGGAGCCCAGGATGCTAAATTTGCAGTTACTCAAGCGTCATAGGGAGTAACTGGATTCTGAAGATTTGGTGATAGAAAGAAAAAATGTCTCAATGACATTTCATTCCTCCGGTAAGGGAAGGGGGGAATGATAGTTTTCCAAAATTTTGAGATGTAACTTTTGTTTTAGTGCACGAGCGTGACAGATATTAATAATGTATATTCTCCATGTATTTCTGACAGTGAAAATTTTTTAATCTGCCGAATTGCATGGTGGGGTTGGCTAACTAAGGGGATAGAAACGGGACCCGTTCAAAACTCTATTTCTGTTGTAAACCACGATGAAATCGGCAGACTTTTTAAACTCCTTTTCTTTGACATGACATCTACCTTTCCCCCCTAATCTGACGAATACGACTGAATTTAGTCATTTTTTTATATTGTTATCCCCCCCCCCTCTCCTCTGTTTACATTAAGTATATGATGGGTATATTCAATAAGTTACTAAATATTCCCCATATGTTAATCTGACGCGCTCGAGTAACTACCGAAATTCCTTCATGGGCTCCCCTACTAATTCAATACTTTTTCCAGATCATTATAATATATACCTACTGCAATTCATAAATGCCACTTAATTTCTTTGGAAGGACTTGAGACAATGTCTGAATTTCCTATTTTTATACGAATATGCTAAAAAAGTGTTGGAGAAGCTAAACAACCGAATCATTATAACAGACAAATTCTCATATGTGAATTACCAACACATTAAATTGTTCAGCGCGGTAATCACAACAACTGTTGGCCACTTGGCCAGACACATCACACACACGGTAATATATTTCCGCAAGTAAGCTTTAATATAAACACGCTGTAGCTTTTGTGTCTAATATCTACCTTCATTTCTGCACGACAATGTTGGAACGTTGTGATGTCACTGGAACTTAATGGGTCACGCTACCCACAAAGTTTAATTTACTTACTCTGAGAAAGATCACTTGCGAAACGCAATGATGAGATAAATTTTAACTTACAGACAAAGGTTGTAAAGGGAAATTACTTCGGATGTTATTAGCACTTCGTTAAACCAAAATGTTGAATTGTGGTTCGCACCTCCGTTCTTTCTAATAACTTTATCAAATACTTGGTATGACTTAATTGAAGATCATCCACGAGCTAAGCGTAGTAACGTAACATTAGTAACAAACGTTTTTTTTAATTTTATAATTATTTTAGGTAACTAAAGTCGTAAAAGTTTGATTGTTTTTTACTACATTTTTAATGTTTATCATTTCATACATAATGCTTATACTAAACTTCCATGATGAGTTCTATTTGGAAGTAAACGATCTACTAGACACAGATCCCATCGATCTGGAATATTAGAAAGTTATAAAACTTTGGATGAACTGATTAATACCATCAGAGCAAATCTATATAGTGGATACTCGTTTGTGTTTAGTTATTAACCCGTGGTATGCCGGAGCGCAGATATACGCGAGACACAATGTGTTTTCATAATCATAATCATAATTCTTTATTGCATCCACAATGTAATTCTATTGTGTCTCATATACTGGCAGACTAGCGGTTAATTAAAATAAAATCCCGAGCAGATATAAATTAACCTAATAGTAAAAATATTAACAAAATATTATCTTCAATTAAAAAAAAATCAAAAGTGTACTATTTTTTTTGCTGGATGGTGAAATAAGCAAAATTAGACATACAGATTATTTGATTCCGAGATTTTTATCAACCTTTTTTATACAAGTGTAATTTTAATATTGAAAGACTAGGTCCCCTGATAGCTTCAGAAAACTTTATCAAAACTGTCTGACAATGTCAACTTCAGTTGCCTGTCATTCTGACAATCTCGACACTGACAGATAAAAACCATGTTATTTTACTAAATTCAAAACAGAGCGTGCACAAGTGCAAAAAGTAGAAAATATATACCCACCTTTGGAACGGTTTGGACATCATTTTATAGAATTATTTTTTTAAAACTACCCACACATTCAGTTCCATTTTCCAATCTAGTGCTGTTGTCATTGTAGGTAAACAATAACTTCGCCTCCCATAGCAAACCTAAAGAAAACGCCTGAATAATGAAAGTAACTGAGGTAATAATGTTATTGATTAACTGTTTTCCGCTATTATTGTACATTATTTTGTATTTCATGTCTTCTGTAGTTAAATAATGTCTTTGTAATGTAAGTTACAACATGACAACATAACCTCGACTAACTTGAACATAATTTCAAAACTTATTTGATATTGCTTATCCGCCTTGAAGACCCAATCAAATGATCTTGGCGGTCAACTTCAAAGTAAAAATAAACATTTATTCCAACTTAACTACAGTTATACCTGAATAAATTATAATTCATAAATTATGTTAATCTTGTTATTTTTTTCTTAAATTGTTTCAGTTACAAGGAGATGAGGACTCTGGTCCAACATGCAGAACTTATGTATTTCAAAACGAGAGCCACACATTAGGAAATGCATTAAAATGTATTATCAATAGATAGTAAGTAATTACATAAGTATCAAAGATTTAAAAATTTAGAATCTATAAAACTCACAGCAAAAATTCGAAGTTTAAGGACTAACAAGGCTTAAGTCACATGTTTTATAACTATATGTTTCATCGGAATTTTCCTTGGAACATCATCCATCACATGTAAAATGGCTGGACTGATTTTAACAAGCTTTGTACATTATTTATTTTAAGGCCATAATGCCATCTGTTTTTTTTAACACTTGTGTCCACTCTTGTCAGTGCAGGTTATAATAAACATTATGTTTTATGTTCACAGTGAAGATGTAGACTTCTGCGGCTACACAGTGCCACACCCAGCAGAAAACAAAATGCACTTTAGAATTCAAGCAAAAGAAACACCAGCTCTAGAAATATTAAAAAGAGGTTTAACAGACTTAGAAAAAGTATGTGAACACACCATAGATTTATTTGAGAAAGAAGTAAAAGAATTTAATAAAATGTAAATATTGTTTATTTATTTACGTAAAATACCCTTGATGTGTACTCATTACACACATAATTTAAAAAAAGTTTGAAAATGCACCTAGAACAAAACCTACTGAGGGGCAACACCTATTTTAAAAACAATGGTAGCTTTTTAAGTGTTCTCTACTCTTGAATAATGAGTGTTCTATCAGTTTAATTAAACAGAAGTTGTAGGTACAACTCACTCTCATACTGTAGTGTTCACATGGATAAGGTTTCTACCTAAAGACCTACTATATGCAGTGGGCTCACACCACCTCTGTACCCTTAGTATGAGTTTTGACAGCAAACGTTACGTCCTTTCGAAACGTTGATTTTCATTCATAAATTAGCAGCGCCCCTAGCGGAAACGAAAAGAAACTAAATTTGGCAGTACGAGTTGCACCAGCGTAAAATTTCTCGTAATCTTAAAAAGTTTTCGAGACATTTTGACAGTTCTCGCCAAATTGGCAGTACGAGTTACAATTTTGACAATTTTATGAAAGTAAAGCGATTCGTTCTCTCTCAAAGTTTACGTTTTACAACTCACCTAGTGGAACGTAGCGAATTGTTTTCGTGCGATTTTTAATTTTAATATTAAATGGCTGCGAGGAGTTATTTTGCCTGGAGGATGGTAGCAGAAGCTGCTGAAAATGATCGCCTCGAAGAAGAGCGTCGAAACCTTCATTTGCGGCGAAAATTATTAAGTCCTCTCGAAATCTCGGACACCCACTTTATTCAGCGATACCGGCTGATTAAAGAGGCTTAAAAGTTTCTATGATTTAAGAAGTTATCAAAGAGTCTCATTAGAAACTAAGGTAAGTCAATTATATCATCTACATAAATAAAAAGGTAGTTAATGGCAATGGCAACAATTATTCATTAAAGACATTTTTAATTGGTTTTAGGTACTCTGCGCATTATTATTTTATGCCAACGGTGATTGATTACCAAAGGTTGGTTGGCATGGCTAATTGTTATTCGCAAGAAGCTATTAGCCGCTTTGTCCACATAGTGACTGAAGCGCTCAACCACCCGAACATATTAAAAAACTTTGTGAAGTTCCCAGCGACGCGTGAAGCTAAAGAACAAGTCAAACAAGGTAATTCGCAGTTTAAACTAACATCATATTCATGCTTTGAACACTTGCTAGGGGATAACTTGTTAATTAATAATGAATGTTTCTCTTTATAGTTTCTATAACATGTATGAAATGCCACACTTCAAAATTGTTAAGCCGAAGATGGAGATTGACCACTTATTTTACTGCCGCAAGTATTATCATTCAATTAAATGTGCAAATGGTAATATACATTATAGAATTTAATAAATATAGTTTGAATAAAACAATCTATACAATCAAAAGGTTCATAATTATAATGTATGCATAATGTGTCTTCTCTACCTTTAGGAGCACAAATCTTCAAGTAACTTTGCTTAATATTGTTTATAGAAAAGACATTATACTTTGTTGGAGTTCCTAATAGACTTTTAAATAAAATTTAAAAAGCCTTATAGTTTAAAGTAATGTCTATAAAATAAAAATGTTTATAAAGTCACGAAATAACATCATAAATAAATCATGATAATGATGATTTATTTTCTTTACACATAACACATTGTTTCTAGGTGTGCAATCACAGGGGCTAAATCATGAGTGTTAACCATAAGTATGTTGGTGCCAGCCATGATGCCTTTGTGTGGGATAACAGTCTAGTTAACCAGTACATGCAGACATTGTACCAAAGTGAAGAGTCTGTATGGCTGCTAGGTAAGTTTCTACATGTAAATAAAATAGGTTAACTATGTAATATGCTCATATTATCTGCTACTAACTAACTGTTAACTATAACTAAAGGTCACAGACACTATTGTAATTCTAGACATTTATTTCAAATGCAAACTTGTTGTATCTGCAGGTGACTCTGGATACCCACAAAGACCGTGGCTGATGACTCCATACACTCAGCCAGACACTGGTTCTGCTGCAGACACATACAACAAGGTACACAGCAGTGAAAGAGTTATAATTGAGAACACCTTCAGACGCCTGAAGAATAGGTGGAGGTGTGTGTGCAAGAACAGAGTTTTGCACTACAAACCCGAAGTGTGCATTAATGATAGTGGCTTTCTGTGTGCTGCATAACTTTTAATGTACCTGAAGTGGTTATGGAACCCACAGGTACCTTATCAACTTATTATCCCTTTATTTTCTTGTAAATCAATAAGTAGAATTTAAATGAAATCAATGTTTATAATTTCATTTTATGTATGATAATTTAAAGTCAATTTGTATAGGGAAAGCTTTTTTAATTACTACAAAATATAATAATAAATATAATCTCAAAAGATTAATTTTCTAAAAGAAAATTTCTCATGTGAGTATAATTTATGCTACATACTTACTAAGTTCAAGCCTCCATGACAGAGGAAAGCTACTTAGAGAAAAAAAGGTCCAACTAATACCACTAAAGTGACAATGTTACAATTTATTTTATATGTTTCATTCGATTATTTTTAAAAGCGTATTATTCCTCAGCAAATTTCATAGTTTGTGTTTTGTTTCCACAGGTCACGAAGCTTTCGCCAGGGTGGAGTCTATTCCGCAAGAAGACGGTTCCCTTTTAACTTTGGGCCAATTAATGCGTGATACGCGATCAGCCAGTATAGTGCATATTGTCTGTTAATTTTATTTATTAATATACACATAAATAAAAACATTTGTTTTATTTCCTACATATTTATTGTATAAGTATTACATTCGTTAGCCTATTTCGCTTCTAAGAGAAATATAATCAGCAACACTCTAAAAATAAAGCTGTAATAAACAAGTTCCAGTGTCTTATAATTTAGTAACTTAAAATCTAGTGTTAGTATGATAAAATGGTTAGTATAATTAATTAACAATTGCCTACAACATTATGAAATAACAAATGTTATTTATTACTATAATAGAGGATAATAATAAAGACAAAATAAAGACAGTAACACATTTTTAAAGATAATGAAAAACCAAAGAATGAAACAAAACAAAATTTTTTAGATAAAAAACTTAACAAATAAATTATTTTTGGCTTAAATTCTTATAAAAAGAAATAAATAATAAACGGTAGGTGATTAATTAACAATTGACACATTTTTAAATAATAAAATGTTGAGTACTAATTTTATTCCTATATAACCATTGCTGTCTCTATCAACTTCAAATAATTAAATACAATCTGCACATGCAAGAATAATTAGAATAACCAAGTAGTACCTAATACATCTATCTACCATGCAATATCTTTAATTAGTTACTATTTAGTTAATCATAAATTACAGCTAATATATATAAATATATAAAATAATTACCTAAATTATAATTGAGAAAATATCTATTAATAATAAACAAATAAATATAAAAATATTAATAATAAACAAAATTAATATAAATCTACTCATAAATAATATCTACTTCAATATCTAAATATAAGATTTACTCCTTAATTTCAATATTATGATTTTAAACAAAAAGCGCTTCATCCTCTCCTCTAAAAACTAACTTGCTGTGCTTGACACGGTCCATAATTGTTTCTCTGTAATTTACCTACCAGCCTTGTATACATTATAGAATGCAATAAAGTATTGAGTATTGAGATTGAATGTGATGAGGAAATAATAGACAAAAACAAAGACTGTAACAAATTTGCCAAAGAATAAACAAAACAAAATTTTGATGATAAAAAACCCAACAAATAAATTATTTTTTACTTAAAATATAGTGTTAGTAAGAAAAAAATAAATGGCAATTAATTAATTAACAATTGACAAATTTTTAAATAATAAAATGTTAAGTTCTAATTTTATTTCTACAATAGATTACCATTGCTGTCTCTATCAACATCAAATAATTAAATACAATCTGCACATGCAAGAATGTGATGTGGATACAATACACATAAACAAAGAAACTAACATATTTGCCAAAGAATGAAACAAAACAAAATTTTGATGATAAAAACCCAACAAATAAATTATTTTTGACTTAACATCTTGTGTTAGTAAGGAAAAATAAATGGTAAGTAATTAATAAACAGTTGACAATTTTTTAAATAATAAAATGTTACTATGTACTCTATAACAGATTACCATTGCTTTCTCTATTAACATCAATTAATTAAATACAATCTGCACATGCACAAGAATGTGATGAGGATATGATAGACAAAAACAAAGACAGCAACACAATAGCTAAATGATACTTATATATACAAATAAATAATTTATTTGTTAAGTTGTTTTGTTGTTGTGAATGTCCATCTGATTGGTTGATAACTGGGCAGGTGTGGGTGACCGAGGTTGCAGTATTGGTGGTGGCACTTCCAACTCTACAAAGTTGGCAGCCAGTGCTGAATCATTCTGTAAATAAAGGAAATTTCTTATAAATATAGCCTTAGGCACTTTAGAGCATCTAGTCAGAGTATTTGTAATATAGCCCAAATTATAAGAAACAACAAAATTAGTTTAAAAAGATTTTGAAATTGTTTTGACTTAATCATGCCATAACTATAAAATTCTAGCAAAATGTTATGTATGTGGTGTGTATATAATGTTAAAGTTTAAAGTTTGTAATGTCATATTTATGTATTAATGTACATATTATTATGTAGTATTTATCTATGTAATATGACTTTAAATATTCATTAAGCAAAGCTAAAGCTAATGTGTGCATTTCACAATTGAGTAATTTAATTACATATAAGCTTATTATGAGTAACACAAACATTACAAAAGCAATATTACCTGAGGCACAGGAACTATTTCATTTATTGAGACCATGCCTGTAGCAGCCTCGGGCCCCATCAGGCTGAGGACTCACTGCTCCAGGTTGGTGATGCAAACTTTTAAAGCTGGACCACCACCAGTTAGTATTTGTTTTTTAGGTCACTCCACACCTATTACGTGCAAAGAAAACATGCTTATTAACTATTAAAATACAATGGCAAATGTAAAGCAAGTAAATTATTAATCACAGATAACTCTTGTATAAGTAGCATTTAACATCGAAATTGTCTCGATTGAATGAATTAACTAAATGCTGGCTTTATGGGAAGCCTTTATAATAATATAATTTTGATTATTGTTGTACCTCTTTCCATTTGTCCACCGGTTTCGAACTTTCGGTGGGATCAATGTTAAGCACCTTAGCGAACTCCTCCCACTTGGAGACGCCGCTAAGCCTGCCGTGAGGACCACCAGCAGGCTTTTTAAGGTCTCCATTTCTAAAATATATGTAAAATACACGAAAAATTAGAACTTGATGTTGAAGAATTAAAACTAGTATTAAGAAACATTCAATAACTTAAAAGATATGAATTAATACTTGCTTACCTTTCCATAAACTCCACCATCACTTAATATTGCAAGTAACTTGTCTTCGTACACATTTTTAATGTTTTTTATTTAAAAATAGTACTAGTAATCGTCTTTTATCAAACTTGCTTGAAATGGCGGGACAATTACTTTTTCTTAGCTGTCAAAAGACCGAATGTATATCTATTTCACTCTTTTAGTCGAGAGTAAGAGAGAAAGACATATCAGTGTGAACATCGTACATTCGTTCGTAGTCTATGCTTCTCGTAATACGTTTTCGAGAGCTCGTTCGGTCCAAATTAGACACTCGTACTACCAACTTCTCGAAATCGCAATCTTTTTACGTCAGCTCGAAAACTTTCAACGTCTTGTCGCTGGGGAAACTCATACTAAGGGTACAGTTATATCACATTCACTTATGTGTATCAATACTACCTACGTTGTATTGCTGTAGCAATCGTTTGGAATAGGTATATGAAAAAATCTGGTAGGTAATATGTAACAAGAATAGGTACCTCACCATATGACTTCTCGCCCCAGATGATGAATGTCAGACTTAGGTACCTACTAAAATCACGCCGTGCTCTCAACTGCTCCAGGTCGAGACGCCGCGTCGCGGACCTCCGGTACCTCTGATGAACAGCGAACCACTTGAGCCTCATTTGTAGTGGGTCTAATGGCTCAAGAGGCCGGCGCGGAACGTTAACTAAGCGCCGTACGTTCTAGTGTATATTCAGAGTGCCTAGCACGAATGACTATCGTAATCGTAACGTTAACGTATCGAGACGTCGATACTTCATGTGACGAAAACGGAATGTCGCAGCACGAAGCCTATCGTATCGTCTAGCGAGAGCTCGAATCGAATTCGTTAGTGACGTCATGCTAATGTAAGCTAGAGAAGCACCCAAGTGAACGAATTGAATGAATTCTTGAACATAATTTAACATAAAGATTTCGTCTGAAAACTAAAATTAATTTTAAACATATTTCAACCTTCGTCTACATTTTTTGTGGTATTATATTTAAATGAAAAAATATTAATTAGGTGAAATAATTCTTAAAACGAGTCAAGAAGTATATAAAATGACTTTATCTATGAAAAAAAATATTATTTGGTTATTTAAATTTTGTAACATAATTTAAGATTTCCGAACGTTCTTTTGACAAAGGTGACGTTTGACGGCTATTGACGTATTTTTTTTTAACAAACAAAACAAAGAATGTAGATTGTAGGTAATTATGCGGCTATCTTATTATGCGGTTAGTTTAAATTTATTTTAAAATGAGGAGGACTCGGCTCCAATACGAATTAATGGTGGATTTCATGGAATATGCCAGTGACAAGCAGCGAGCCTTCAGTGTTCCGACCACTCCGCAGTACCCATGAAGCCAGCCGTTCACCGACACCACCAGTCGCCAATCCTCCATTAGAAAAGGAATGCTGGAAGCCTCGACCGAAAAAAAAAACTAAAGGGAGTTTAATCAAATTGTGTTTAGAGAATGATAAGAAACCTAGGGAGTTTGCTAGGGAGCGTGAGGAAACATATGATATAATGGAACAAGAGCGTTTGGAATTACGACGAGAAGAATGAAGAGTAAGACAGAGAGATGCAGAGCTCCTTTTACAGGCTCAGTGGCTGGAACTTATGAGAGAGGCAATAAATGTATTAAAATTTAATCTAGTTAAAAAGATGATTAATGTATATTTACATGTTTTATTTTAAATTACTACATTTTGGAATGAGGAAAGATTATGTTAGAACTGAATTTAAAATGTCTCACTATAGTTACCTATTATAAAAACATAGGTAAGAATAGTTTTTAAGTTAGATTAGTGTGTAAGATGTTTTGGAAATGTATAATAATAAAACACTTGGGTCATCTGTGTAGTATATTTATTTGCTGTACCAGAATATTCCTTAAAGCCCTTTCACTTATCAAATCATCGCTTCTATCATTTTCATGTCTCATAACAGAAGATGAGGTATGAGACAAGTCTTGATGCTGTTGTTGCAGCTGTTATTGTATCTACCTGTTGCTCAGGCAAGGCTCAAGCCGTTGTCAAACACATTTTTCGGGAGCATAATGCAGAGTGTGGTCTTTGCACAAGCATCGCCTCTTCTTTCTTTTACTGCAGTATATCGTGCGGGCCACGAGTTCCCTCTACCGCATCCAAAATGAGTAGGCGTCATTAGCCATGGTTGCTGTGGGTAGCCAGAATCACCTGTAAAAAAATACTTATTAGAAAACCTAATTTATACTAGCTACTTCCTCGCGGTTTCACCCGCTGCTCGACTCCTATTGATTTCATTTTAGCATGATAAGGTTAGTTTTTGTTGGAGTTGCTCACAGAAGTACTTGAAAGCTTCTTTATTTAGGCGGTACCTAGTATTTCTAAACTACGTTTCAGTGATATCCATTGGATTAGATATCTTTCTGAATTTAGCTCGGCACACGATTTCTCTAGAATAATCAGTTAATTCGTATTATTTTCTTGAATACATATGTCTATATTAAGTGAAACATAACTTGAATAGGTAGGTACTTAGGTACTTACGAAGTTTCTCTTGACTCTTCATCTCCAAGTAAAATAGCCACAAATAAACTATTTCTCCAACTTGGTTCGTACAGCGGCGGTCTTTGCATGATGTTATACTCGTAAAGAATACTCACAAACTTTATAATATATTATTTAAAACACGATTGAAATATTTCGAAACCTTTCTCACCGTCAAATTCTTAGTGACAAATGTTTCGACAGTTTTCGATAGCCAGCCTTCGAAACTTACGTTACTATACGTCAAAAGATCGTTCGTGCTTCCAATTTGTGTCAAAATGTTCTATAGTCAGACTTTTAATTCGATTCCTGATTTGACATTGAACACTGTCATTTTGTGAAATAATGATACCACATATAACAGTGTAGTGATGAACACAAAAATCGATAAACAATCAGTGAATCAGTTTCAGGAAGGCATTCAAAAAATTACGGCTACCGAATGGTCTAAATGTGTATCCCAATGTTTTCAAAGAGGAGGAAAAAATTAGTAAGCTAGATATGTTAATTGACAATAAATATCAAAGACACAATTCAAAATAAATGTTACATAGAGTAACGGCGATAGCGATAGCGATGACGGCGACAATTTATAAAATGTCTGTTTTATTTGTCACATTCCTTCATGATCGCATTTTTTATTAATTTCACACAAAATTACAAAAGAAAAGTCTCGATCGTTAATTAATTGTCAAAACTAAATTATCGGTTCAGAAATATTTTATTTCCTGATAAACTTAGTTTACGAGAGTAAATTTATAAACGAGAGGAATCGATTCAAAAATATTCGATTTCCATATCGAATAATTTCGCAACGTCACTATTTATTACGTGTCATAACGTTGCAACACTGAAATTGTCAAATCTGGAATGGAATTAAAATTCCGAGTATAAGTTTCGATAGCAACACGATACGATTACTATACGATAGTTGTCAAAATCATTCGTGCTTGCGATTTTTAGTTCCTTTTACGCACGGTAGGGGCGCTTTACAAATCCCATAGAAAATGCTTTCGATCTCGATACGAATACTTTCTCGATAATGTTCGTGCTAGGCACACTGATCGGGTCAAGGGGTACCCTTTGCTCGCCGTATGACTAGGATAGGTAGGTACCTATTTTCTTAGTTGTTATTTGGTTTTAATAATTTTTTTATTTGGTAACCCGTGTATTTTGGAAGTAGGAAATAATTTCAGAGAAAAAGACGATGATAAGGTGTTAAATTGTTTTATTACAGTTTTAATGAAACTGTCTTAAGCCTTGAACTCTGAGTAAGGGGACTTAGTCAATGGAATGTCCCTCCACAAGTCTGGAGTCAAGTAGGCATAGGTCTTGGCAATAGCAGCATAAGTGGCCTTGGCGAAGTTTCCAAGAGTACCAGTGGAACCACGTGCTGAGGTGTAGCAGTCTTGGACACCAGCCATCTGAAGCAGCTTCTTGGGCACAGGAGCCGACACAATACCAGTACCACGAGGAGCGGGGATCAGCCTCACAGTGACTGAACCACACTTTCCGGTGACCTGAAAACAATGATTAAAAACATTTTAATTAAACTCGTTCACATTCATATAATAACGTATTTGTAGATTGATAAGTCAGACGCGTTAACAAACTTCATTGGAAACCTCAAGCGGATACCACGAATGAGATGATTATCAGTTTCATCATGATAATTTCAGTTACGATAGGTAAAATTGTAGGAATTTATAATTACCTTGCAAGGTACAGTGTGGGGCTTGCCGATCTTGTTACCCCAGTAACCTCTGCGAACTGGAAGGACAGACAGCTTAGCAAGAATGATAGCACCACGGATGGCAGTGGCGACTTCCTTGCTGCACTTCACGCCCAAACCAATGTGTCCATTGTTGTCTCCAATAGCCACGAAGGCCTTGAAACGCGTACGCTGACCGGCACGGGTCTGTTTCTGTACTGGCATGATCTTAAGAACTTCATCGTTGAGAGAGGGGCCGAGGAAGAAGTCGATGATTTCAAACTCTTTGATGGGCAGAGAGAATAGGTAGATGCTCTCGAGTTTGTCGATCTTTCCCTCGCGCACCAGACGGCCCAATTTGGTTACGGGCACCCACTCCTTCTGGTCTTCCTTGCCACGTCCACGGCCGCGACCACGACCGCGTCCACGACCACGAGGACCGCCACGGCCTCTATCGCCACCACGAGAACCAAAACCTCCGCGAAAACCGCCCCGTCCACCGGCTGGAGCTGCGTCCGCCATTCTGTAAAGTCAAAGAGGTTATACGAATTAGAATCATGGTGGTGGATAATCATATTTTTTACTACATATAAGATTATCAGACGCGTTAAGACAATCACCATGTGTTAACATTCAAGGTACCACGAATGAATAGTTTTAACTTCTCATCATGAAAATAAGAACCAACCACGTGGTGGCATAGGTAGTTTCGTAAAATGTTCTGTGCAAAATTAGTGTAATAAATGAAACCAACAAGAGTATAACACCACATATTTGAATTTGAAAACAAATTAATTAACACTAATTTCAAACATTGAATATTAATGATATTAAATTTAAACTTACGTTGAACTTGAGCGCAGTGAGACAGTCAAACTCAAAATGGCCGAGAAATGGTTGGCGTTCCTGACATTGGCTTAGTGTTGTTGTACGTTGAGTCGATTAATCGACTTAATTTATCTCGAGCTAGTTAGTTCGAATTTAATTAAGTGTGGTGTGACTTGGGAGTCGAATTTTAATAGATATTTAAATTTGAATCATCATCAATTTAAAAAAATCCCTTTCTTATAATACGGTCTTTTATTAGTTCTGCATCTGTTCATGAAAATTATATTGTTTTTCAGTTGGATAATTTGGATATAAGCGATTGTTATATTTTTGTCAATCGTAAGCCATTGTTTGATTTTAACTCATTTAAATAATTCTTATTGCACTCACGTTATAAATGATATTCTCAACGAGTTTAATATGCATTTGTCGAACTAACCAACACGGTACGTCTCTACGTTAGTTATTAGTTCTGTTATGGTTTTGACACCATGGCTTTTTACCTGAAAAATCATTATTTTAACTTGACAATAATCGTTAGATAAATATCCAATTTACTGATACTAAAATTAAGTAGCCCATTTTGTTTTTATAAATCACAATCATTTCAAAATAGAGTAGTGGAAAGACGCAGAATCATCAGATGTCTGATTTATCATAATTCTAAATAAAAAGGCTTAAAAAATTTGAATAACAAATAAACAAGTTTTAATTTATTAAAAATGTTCGGATATATTTATTTACATACATTTTTTTATATAAACTAATATACAAATATCAACATTTAATAGTTACAACTTCAAAAGTTTTTCGTGTTTTATCTTGTACAACAAATGGAAACGTTTCGATGCCGTTACACGCGGCCCCATATTGGCCATTTTTTGTTAAAGCTATTACAGCACCCATGAAATCAGGATGATAAGCTGAGATTCTTTTGATCGCAGTTTTCGCGGCATCCGTCGGAGACGATCCTCGACGCATTTCCTCTACCGCTAAATAACTGCAAAACAGTAAAAATAACTAAATATTAATTTTGAAATGTTTAATAAAAAAAACATACCTACCAACCAAATAAAGTAAATTTGAATCGAGTAGATTATTTAATTTATAGCTCACGGATAAAAATGAAATACTTAAATATAATAGCAAGAAGATAAGGGGTTCTTTGGATTACTAGACTCATATTCAAGAGCAGGTTGCGCGTTGTGACTTGATTGAAACTAGAGCTTTACTCGGTCTCGGTAATTCAATTGACTAAAAGTCGTTATATTGACTTAGTATGACTCACAATATATATTTTTTATACATAATTGTATTATGTTGATTGATTGATTCGTTAAAAAAAACATAAGCCAACCTTGGTAAAAACCGCATCATGGTGTCACCGTCACCAGTAGCCGCTGCACCTCCCACTGTATTATCGGCGTAAGCTCCAGCGCCGGGTATCGGAGAGTCACCTACTCTTCTAATAAAACATAAAATACAATAAGTAAGACGAACAATAAACAACAAAAATAATCCTAGAGATCGAGCTTAGAGGCGAGCTATTGTAGAGGCCGATAGGCCGCTGTGTCCAGCAATAGACGAAAACGGCCAAAAAATTATGTTTATGTATTAAGTAGATAACAGACTTTACAGAAAATTGAATTATGAATAATGTGTTCATTAAGTAGAATAAGTAGTCTCTTTATTCAAATTGCAAGCGCGAATGCTGTCAGCCCGAGTGCAATTCCCAAGGCCATAGCATTTTTTACTATAATACACCTACATTTTTTACGTTTTTTAAACTTCTCAGTAGGTAAAAATTGCGTAAAATAAAATTAAAAAACAATTAGGTACGTTTAATAATGGCGTGGAAAAAAAATATTCTACTACATACTCAAATTAATTGTACTTATAAAAAATATTTACCCAGGGATTTTAAACTTAGCACCATTAGTAGAGGTACCAGCTGCTACATCTCCTTCGCTGTCCACAGCAACCATTCCTATGGTATCATGATTGTATCGATCTACTACAAAAACTTCCGGATGTATGTAATCAACAAAATTTTTCTTTTTGTGATAAGGGCCACAATGTTTGCGTGGATCTGGTTTCACATTCTGAAAGGAATTGTCAATTTTAAATACGACACACATATTTACCATTATAACGGGAAAAGCATTTAGCAATATAAAAAGACGCACGAAGCGATTCGTCTCGAGTTTATTATCATAACTGGTGAGAAACTCCGGCAAAGGAGTTCTTTGCCGGTTTGTTGTTCCCCCAAGGGTATAATTTGGGTGTCTTCAAGACCCAAGTAAATAGGTTGCTTATTGTGTGGCGCATCATCGCTTATCACCAGGCGTGATAGCGACAAATGCCTGCAATTTACTAAATAAAAAAGTATTCGTTTAAGACCATATTTCCACAATAAATTATCATTTGATACAATGCGACACGCCAAGTACTTAATTATTGAGAATTTTCAAAAATAGATTTATTGTTATCATCACTCTTTTCATTTGCTCCATTCTTATTTAGGTATATGCTTATATTGTGATAATTAAATCAGTAATAATTATGTACTTAGGTACCTTACGAAAATTAGGTTGGCATTGTTTTTCATAACGCCATTTTGACCATAACTCCATAGATTCATCAGTTGAAAGAGACTCCTCCTTGAAACCCATTTCAACTGCAAACTTTGTAGCCAGTTCACCAGCTAGGAATGAATGTTTTGTATACTCTAGCACGTGTCGAGCCACTGATATTGCACTTTTTATCCTACGGAGAGCTGCTACTGCACCCACATTCATTGTTTTCCTGAAAACAATATTTATAGAGATGAGATACTTAGCGATATTTTCATATCTTTTTTTTTTTAATGTGATCGGTCGGCATTCTAGCAGACTGATTAGGTAGGTACTTGATGGTGAGCAAACCGGCGCCCATGGACGCCCACAACACCATAGGAATTATTTATATTGCAAATAAAGTATTAGGTACTATTACTATTAAAATTGCTTTGCCTTTCTTCTGGGTATTAGGGTTTTGGAGATTTAGGGATTGGGCCTTCGGTAACGAAAATCGTTTCACGCCGTTTTTCTGCAGGCCGCGGTCTCCCTCCACCTATTCGTGCCGTAGCATAGCCTTCCTACATCTAAATGTAACAACACATACATACCTAGACAAAACTGCTAAAATTACCAGCTTGACAAATTTTGCTCTAATGAGCAAACTTATTTAACATTTTTTCATCACACAATTACATATCACATCACATCATCAGCTTATACATGAGTGCCCAATTTTGAGCTAAGGCGTATTCTCTGACGGAGAAGGTAAATGATTTAAATTTTTTTGTATATCAGAATGTCATGTATGGTTCAAATAAATGTATAAAATTGCTAACATTTGTTTGGGTTATGTAGGCAATTATATTTAAATAAACAAATGACCTCTTTAATATTTATTTAATATTAAAGAGGTCATTTAAATAAGAAACTTTGGTTCATTAAAGAGTTGGTCCCAAGTCAAAGATACTTATCTAATTTTTAACAGAATTTGCCAACTTATAGTTGTCATTGTTATCACACTATCTGAAAACCACTTAACACATATCAATGATATTCTTTACTATCAAACTCAGTAACACCCATGTTTGAATTAATTGTATGTAATGCATAGTACCATTGCTATGAAGTATTTTAATGGTACTAAATGTAAATGATTTATTCAATTATTAGCATTTTCAGTCTATTTTTTAATAATTTTATTATTTTGTTATGAATTTAATAATTTGTTTTGCTGTGTTTTGCACTCACTAGGTACTCAAATGTTACTGAGTAAAATAATAAATGTGTGTTAAATTACCCAGGAATAATAAGAATGTTTCGCTCAGCATCAAACCTATTCTGTAATTTGAAGAACAGTGACCACACTACCTAAGTGAGTGAGCTATTCTGTGATACAAATAGACCTACTTGACCAGGATTGTATCACTGCTGATAGATTGCTAACCATTAGATCATCTCCCTGCTTAATTGCCCTTTAAACCATGAAAAATCTAATTTATTTATTTAAATAGGTTTACCCATCCATTATAAAGGCATCTAGTGTAGTCTCTCCATCTTCATCAGGGCTTCCTCCATAGCCTACTGTCCGATCACATTGCTCATTTTCACATACTGTGGCACCTTGTTCAACAGCATCCAAAGCTTTGCCTCCTCCGTTAAGAACTTCCCATGCTGTTAAGTTAAATAATAATCATATTCTGAATTATTAGCTGTTGAGTGGATTAATATTTTAATTAAAAATTCTTTCTAGCAACGATTACAATTATTATGATTTAAAACATACTTACCATAATATGATTTGAAAAAAAAAACAGAATATGTACTTATTTGTTTTTTATAACAACTAATTTATTTTACTAGCTGTAGAACAGCTATCATTGTGTAAAAGTGATAAGTTAACTAGCTAACTGACTACATTATTGATGTCAACTTATTCATTTTGAAATAATTTTATACTGAAAGAAGTTATTTACCTTTTTGTGAAGCATTCGTAAACGACCATGTCGTTATAACGATCGGTATATTCTTTTCGCTTTTGACTTCACAATTAGTATGAAATACTAATAAAATGAATACCAGTAATTTGAACATTTTGTTATTTTTCTTCGATTTACGGTACTATGTACTATCCTCAATAACATTTAGAACAACACTGTTATCAGCTAATATTTTATTGTGATTGTCATCCTCGCACAATAGTCGTAACTTGTATGGGTAGGTTGATTGGTTGCGTTTCACTATTTGTTATACCCCAAGCTTGAGCTATTTAGGGAATTCATTTCAGAAATTCCGTGTATTAATTTTATTGTGTTGTAAGTAATTTTCAATCATAAAGCTAATGCAAGGTATTTGCCATAGACGATTTATTTATCTTTTTTTTTTTCAAAGCGTTATTCATTGGTCAAAGGTGATATAAAAATTCAACCAATGTCTCATAACGTTGATAAGACTTTAACTTGTGATTGGCTCAATTTGTATTCCAAAGATAACTATGATGTTATAGTTTGACTTCTTTGACAACTGTTTCCTTGTTGTTTTTGATTTATTTATGAAATTCAGATTGAAGTGCGGAAAGTTTTAGAAGATTAACGCTGCGCTCAATTTTATTTACCTGTAGGTATAAAATATTTGAACTATGGATTCTGATACATTCTTCCTGGAGTTACCAAAAGTTGTAAGTGTCTTTCATACATACATAACATAATTGTATGTTTATCTTTTTAATTCCAATACCGAACGAACTGTTTTATTAATATATTTAATTGGTTCTGTACTTTCAGGAATTGCATGCACATCTAAATGGTTCTCTAAGCCAAGCTACGATGCTCCAACTAAAAAGGTTCCACGCTGATTCAGGACTTGAAGATAAAACGAATGCATTCTTTGATGAATTTCAAATTGGCGCCGGTGACACCAGAAATCTTACTGAGTAATGTATTTATTTACTATATGTATAAGAATCGCCTCATATCACACTTACATTTTAAAGACTTCATTCCATTAACTATCATGTATCTTTTTCTCATATTTATGTTCACAATATCGTGGTTTTGACTGAGTAAAAAGTAATATAAATTATTTTCCTTAATAAACTTCAATAGTTCTACCGTTGAGAGATGAATGAAGATAATACAGTACTGACTTTATGACCTTCCTTTTTTACTATTTCCTCTTAACTTGTCTAATTTTAAAAATGACTCGTAAAATACCTCATAAAATACCTGCCTCTCATCTTGTACCTATGTAAATAAATAATTTAAATAATCAACATGATTGGATGCACTCATTGCCATGCAACATCAGTTAGATAAGTTTTTATTTGCTAGAATACATATATAATGGTATTGTTCTTTGCAGATAACAATTGTTATTATTGCCGTTATCTATTTGGTACTTAATCATTCTTGTTTTTATTTATTTTTACTTTTACTAACTGCCTGCTAAAGTTTCAATATGTAGAAGAAGCAAAATAAACAAAAATACACCATATCTCCACAAAATTAGGTACAAATTTGAAATATGAGAAGGACATAAGTTGTGCCATTTTATATAGATATCATGAGAAATGTGACTACAAGCAAGCAGTAAATAAAGGTTGCAAAGGTCCCAACAATTTGGTGCAGCCCTTATCTAGGACAGCCCAATGACCCATAGTGTTATACTATGTTACGAATGGTAAACTATAAAAAAGGAGGTACTTAATTAAAAAATATTAACAGAAAAAATTATTTATTTACAGTTGTTTTCAAGTATTCAACATTGCACATTCCCTGACAAGCACTCCGGAAGCTCTGACTATAGCAACGAGGTTGACACTTCAAGAATTTCAAGATGATGGCTGCTGCTACCTTGAGCTGAGAAGTACACCTAAGGAAACCCCACACATGACTAAAGTCCAGTATATTGAAACTTTGGTCAAGGCAATACAGTGAGTGTTATTTAGTTAGTAAGATTTAATAACTATTCAATTTATGTTAAAATGTTTTTCAAAATAGCTTAGCATTATTTCATTTAAAAAAATTTAAAATTCTTTTAATTTTACTCATTACATTTGTTCACAATCCCTATAAATATAGCTCCAAAGTTTCATAATTAATTTTCCCTTGACACCTCATTATTGGATTGAACATATTTGTATAATTTTAATTATTTTTCCTTCCAGAAAGTCTTCTCTCCATCTTACAATGATAACCCGCCTCATTGTGTCAATCAATAGAAAATCATCTATCGCAGAAGCTGAAGAAATAGCTAAACTGGCTGTAGAGTACTATAAAAAGCACCCAGATGTGATAGTGGGAATAGAATTAAGTGGTGACCCTATGGCAGGAACATTCCAGAGTTTTGTGCCTGCATTGACACAAGCTCGTAATGCAGGCCTGAAGGTGAGCATTCTAAGCATTTATTGCAAAGTATCATGCTCAGAAGCAAGCAAACTTTTCAACAATATCAAATTTTGACATTTGTGTCAACATTTATGTACCTATGCACAATACAATAGTTTCATTCATTAAAAAAAAAACATTGGCCACACTACGATTTTTCTCCTGTGTCGTGGGTGCGGTTACAAACATACAATTTCAGAAACACAAGACACCTAAACCCGTAACAACAATTTGTAAATCACACATAGAGTTGTGCCGTGCGGGAATCGAACCCGCGACATGTTGCGTGACAGCCAGCATAATATTTTATTTAATGTATTTTTGATTCAGGTAACATTACATTGCGGCGAAGTTTGTAACCCTGTTGAAGTGATGGAAATGCTAAAATTTAAGCCAGATAGGCTTGGCCATGGTACCTGTATCCATCCCAAATATGGGGGGACTGAAGAAACATGGGAGACTCTCTGTAAATTAAAAATACCTGTTGGTTAGTAGCTTGTCAGATAATGGATATTAGCATTTTTTGCTTCTTTTATGATTCCTCCTTGACCTGAGTGCTTCCTTGGTTTACAGAGGTTTGCCTTACAAGCAATGTCAATACTAAATCAACGCCAGATTACGAGTCTCATCACTTCAAGGTTTTTTATGACGCTGAAATACCTACTATTATATGTGTAAGTACAATACAGTTTTTCGATTTTGCACTCATAGGATGGCACTATAGGATCATGTAGTCTTACTCCGATTATATTTGTCTTAGAGTTGGTATTTCCCAAAGTGGGCGATAACACCCCCTAGTGGCCGATGACGGGGGGAAGGCTTTATGTTAGAGATCCAAGAAAACGGGGTTTTGTAGAGGCGATTTGTTTCATAAGATTTTTTAGGAGAGAAAATCATCAAATTGTCGAGAGAAAGTGTCAGACTGTTAACATACCCTTTTTACTATTTTAATGTAATAAAATACGAAGCATTGTTTTTCGTTTTAAATAAGTTTGGGAATTACAACATAAAACATATTTAAATCATTATTTTTATTTCCACAGACCGACGACAAAGGCGTTTTCTCAACATCATTGTCTCAAGAATACCAAATCTGTGTTAAAACCTTTTCTTTAACTTCATCACAAACCGCAAGATTGGCTCTGAATGCGTGCCAATATGTGTTTGCTGACAATGTTCGTAAAACGCTTAATGATAAACTACTTAATTTTATCGGAAAGCATTCATTGTAAAGTGATGATTCTTTATAATATACAGGGTTTGTTAAAAATTTGAGTTATGTGTTTTTCTTTCTGGTTTTATTATAGAATCTCAGGTTAGAACATTACCAGTTTTGTAAGGGATTTATAAATTATTAGTAGAACATGGTCTTTTTTGTGAGAGGAAAATCATCAAATGACTTCGCCCGCCTAAGGTCAGGCGGGAGGGAGTGTGAGACTCTGGCTGACTAAACCTGCTCCTTCCTCACTGTTCCTTCTCCTGCTTTGAGCCGAGGCCGCGGTGCCTCATTGCGCTTACCCTGCAACCCCGGCTGAACATCAGCCTTATAAGGCCCCGTCGGTAGTGGTCTATTGGCTCTTTTAGGCACGCGCGGAACGCAACACGCGTTACGCGCTAGGTCCGGGACTGCTTCTGGTCGGATTACGAGCTACCCTTACTCGCCGAGCGCAGACCTGCGCTAACGGTGGCCAGAGTTTTGCCTACTGCGGTGGCTGGAGCGTCACGTGGAGAATAACTCTGCCTGCTCTGCCTTCTTTGCGAAGCAGGGCACGCCGCCACAGTAGGATCAACCGTGTCCTCTGGGTTGTCCTTCAATGACATGACGACACTCAGGTGTTCCCCTCCGCCGGATCCGAAACAGAAGCCTACCAAAGCTACCGGCCCGGTAAGCACGTGCGTACCGGGCACGTGCGTCAGTGCGGAGGGTGAGGACGCCATGGCGTCTCTCTAGCCACTTCTTAAAGAGGGATCTTACTGCTGCTATAAGAGTGTGCCCGAATAGAACATGGTCTGGATTTGTGCTCGGTGTACCTACTGCAACTTAAGGAAAAATAGTATGGTAGGTAATTTTTCATTAATTTGTAGCGACATCTAGCGCACTACATAAACAACAGCACCAATCACGAGCAAGAATCTACATCGCGCTATAAGAGTTTTCCACACAATTAGCACCCATACAGATATCCCGACAACAACCGTCGGGCAGTAGCCCACCAGGCACGAACACCTCGCCTAGTCGGAGGATCCTCCCTTTTCAATGGAGGATGAGGAACTTTCCACCCTGTTCCTCATACCTCTAAATTGGTGACCCCGAGCATGAACATCAACGCAGCCTTCGTGCAACTACGTCGAGCTTTCAAGCAGCGACTCTACTGTCAGCCAGCTTCCATGGCTACAACGGGTTCCCTGACCACCTGCATGCAGCCAACGCGCATTCCTGGTCAGCACCTACAGCCTCATCAGCATCTTCGGCACAGCATACTGCACCGGCCGGTCAGCAAGCAGAGACGTACTCCCTCTCCTGGTCGACGCAGCAGCTAGCCACTCTTCAGCACCTACAGCCTCATCAGCAACTTCGGCACAGCATACTGCACCGGCCGGTCAGCAAGCAGAGACGTACTCCCTCTCCTGGTCGACGCAGCAGCTAGCCACTCTTCAGCACTGCACCACCCGACTCACTGGGGCATCTTCGCAGACAGATATGACGCACTGAAACCATCAACTGGCTCGACAAGCATCTCACAGACGTCTCAACCAGCTAACGACCTCCGGTCTCGGAGGGGACTGATGTAGCGACATCTAGCGCACTACATAAACAACAGCACCAATCACGAGCAAGAATCTACATCGCGCTATAAGAGTTTTCCACACAATTAGCACCCATACAGATATCCCGACAACAACCGTCGGGCAGTAGCCCACCAGGCACGAACACCTCGCCTGGTCGGAGGATCCTCCCTTTTCAATGGAGGATGAGGAACTTTCCACCCTGTTCCTCATACCTCTAAAAATTTATACTTAAAGACTAACATTTTAATAAAGTGAATACGACGCCGGTTAATTTACCTAAAAAATATAACCAGTCTTAAAATATAGGTATCCATTTTAAAAAGTCAAAAAAGGTAATTAAAAAAGTTACGTTTAGTTATTCCTATGAACGACTCGCATGTCAGTAACTACCGCTGTCGCTAAGTTTAACACAACCCCGTACATTTGTTATTTGAAGTATCGAAACGTAGAATAACCTCAAAAACCTAGTCGAATAAGGTACACTATAATTCTTGAATTGAACTTTCGTAAAATATTAAAATCTAAAATGAGTGACTTATCTGACTTCGCGAGCCCTAAAGGAGCAGACTCCGAACTGCAAGATTTTCTTCTTGCAGAAAAACAAAAAGCTCAATTCCATGCACAGGTAAATATGAAACTATGAATTTATTTTCATTAATATTGCCTGTCTTGCATCATAGTTAGTTTATCTATGTAAAATCCTTAAAAAAGCATGAATATTGTTTTCAAAACGTTATTATACGTTCTGGTTGTAGCCAGAACAGCGTCAGCGTTAAGACAAATCTTCATATGTTGTTTATTTTCAGATCCATGAATTTAACGACTTCTGCTGGGACAAATGCGTTGACAAACCTGGAGCCAAGCTGGACTCTCGCACAGAAACCTGCATTACGAATTGTGTTGAGAGGTTTATAGATGTGTCATTACTTATCACTAATAGATTTGCACAGATGCTTGAAAAAGGCGGTGGAATGCATTGAATCTTCATAGCTATATAAACTTGTTATAAACTGACCTAGTAGCTCAGTAAATATATGCAACTGTTGTGCATTTTAGGTTCAAGGTTTTATGAAGGTGCATTTTGTGTTATCTTAGTAGCTAGAGACCAAGCTGTTGTTATGTGTACCACTGTACATTTAGGAGTACCTCAACAATTGTTAATTGAATGTCAGAATTAAACTAAGCTATTTAAATAATTGTTTTATTTAATTATCTAATTTACAGATCAGTTCAGTGTTAGTCTCTTCTGCACTGATGCAAACTTAGTTTTATTTGCTTAGGATACTTTTATCTTGATACAAATAGTTACTTAAAATTTACAATTTATAAATAAATGCAGTGACATACAGAGCACATTATTTAATTAAGATTATTTGGGCATCTTCAAATTACAAGAAAAAGGTTAACAATGTTATAAAAAAATTGCTACTATTATCTTTAGCCCAATAACAGACTAGATCATTAAGTTGATGAGATGCCCAATTGATTTTTCAAGACTTTATCTACCAACTCTTCCCAGTGTGGTATCGGTTCTTGGATCAGCAGTCACAGTTTGGACCGCAACCAGCGATTCATTGATCTTAGTTTGCAAATCTCTAAGGTCTTGAACAAAAAGTAACTTGAGGACATCAGATGGCTGTTGTATTAAGTTGACCTCAGTTGGGGGTGGCTCTGGGTGTGGTGTAGTCTTCAGAATTTTTGCTAGAGCTGCCAGCCGGAATTTAGGGTCTGGATGTGGTCCGACTCCAGCTAAAGTGCATACTCTTTCAACACCTGCCTTGAAAGCTGGACTTGAAACTGTAAGGAAAAGAAATAATTACTATGAACAATTTTATAAGCATGGTGTTGATGGATGGTGGCAGGTAGACTAGTGTACATAATATATTATTGTCATTACCTCTTCTATAAGCTAGTATCAAAAGAGTGACTATCAATAATCTGCTAAACCTAAGGATTATAAACTGGTCTCCAGCCTGCTCAGTTAAGATTATGGCATAAAGTCTTTTTTCATAACTTTAACTAAGACAGAACCTAATAAAGAAAGACCACAGCTAAGCAGTAAGTGTCTCTTAAAAAGAAATTTAGGTATTTTATTATTCTTAAACTTACAGTCGAGGTTGTCCAAGGGATTAGAGGAAACCACATTGGGTGCAGCCTGTTTTGGTTTATCCACTTTTGCATTCTTGTACTTTTCAACTGAAAAATAATATTGTGCAAGTGATGAGTAATCCTCATGATAAATCATGGGTATGCAAAATTAGTTTAAAATTACAATGTTTATTAAAAAAATTACATCATACAAATAACCTAGCAAGTAGAAACAATGATATATATATATATATATAGCTATACCTAGCACAACGCAATAAGGTGCAATATGGATCTCTATAGGTAGTTATTGTGACTATAGTAAGACCTAACAGGTACAAATTCTTATTAAGAAACCAAATTGCTAACTACATACTATTATCCGCGTACTCTAGTCTTACGGCATACGAGAGTAGCCAATTTAATTGCTCATTTGGAGTTCCATCTAACACTGGGCTGACCAAATCCTTCTGGTAAGTATTGAAAGCATCCTTCCAACTATCCTTCTCGATATTTCTCAGACCGTCCCGCTCCTCAATCTTGTAATGTCTGATTTTCTGATCTTCAAGCCACAAAATTACGCTCCTGTATTCCTTTTCATCTGTAAAATAAAACAAATTGTATATAATCGACGAGCAAGATGCGACACTTTCAAGGTATTGTTATTTTGTAATTACCGTCGCAATTGAAGTCTCCTGGGTTGGGATGGCCGAGGGCAGTCAATTTAAGCTTAAATAAATTACTCATAATAATATATTAGTATTTCTAATACGAATTTCCTCACAAACAAAATAACCTATACCGGGGGATGACAGATGAGTTGTGTTGTCTGTTGTCATAAAGATTTTTCAAACACGAATTTCACGAACACGAATATTGCCATCACGTCTCTTCAGTGTCCTAAGTGCGAGAAGTGCGCCTAGCCACGTTTTAATTTCAAGTTATTAAAAATTTCCTCGCTGAGATAAGCTACAAAAAGTAATAAGTTAAAATATTTTTATTACTAAAATTATAGCATAGTTGCTATACATGAAGTATGATTGATATAAACACCTTTGCGTAAAAAACAAATTAAGCAAGGATTATGTTGGTAGCACCTCGGATCTGTCAAAATGATTGACGTCATAGAATCTTCGGAAAATCGTGACTTTGATTTGACGTTGACATGTCAACAAGAAACATCTATGCAGTTTCCTAAGCTGCCGAACTAATTAAATGCAAATTAATTATGTATTCAAGTATATACTTTGGTTATATTCAATTACGTTAATACTTAATATATTTCTACTTCCTGAGTGTGCGTTATTTCATTAAGTGAATACAATTCAACTGATAAGACTTGAACAGTCGTGTTAACAGTTAAACTGACGTGGTTTCAGTAAATCCTGCTTAATATTACTTTTAAAACTGTAAGTCATACTTACACCATGTCTTGGGTCAGAGAGAATTGTCTGTCTTTCTTTCAAATGTTTTGTATAAAAGTAGTGAAGACTGGTCGTATTCCGAAACATGTTGCTTTTATTATGGACGGAAATCGTCGATATGCGAAGAAGAATAGTGTTGACAACTGTGCTGGACATTATAAAGGCTTTGATAAGTTGTCCGAGACGTTAAAGGTGAGGCTCATAATTGACTCAAGCATTTAATTTCAGTAGTATTCTGATCCTTTTGTAAAGAAACCTAGTGCTATTATTTTCTTAAAAATGTTCTATAAATATGTTTTGTTTTTTTTTCGTCAGAATAAATCCTTCTTTTGTATTTGAATCACCTACCCTCCTTATACAGTTTTTTTTATTTTTCTATGACTAAGTTTTCATGTTATTCATTGAAACCATTTTTGGACTGACCCACATACTAAGTTCTGTGAAAACTGGTTGATGATTTAATTCAATTTTTCTTATGAATGATTAATATATTTTTTGTTTTGTTTCAGTGGTGCCTAGATCTAGGCATTCCAGAAGTGACTGTGTACGCATTTAGTATAGAAAACTTTAAAAGAAGTAAAGAAGAAGTTGATGGCCTAATGGATTTAGCTAGAGACAAGTTTCAAAGATTATTGGATGAAATGTATGTTTTACTAACTTTTACATAGAAATAATATTAATTAAAATAAAATAGAAATTTAAATTACCCAAGGATGTGATTGTATTTGTTCTAATTTATTATATAAAACCTATGAATTAAAATAGGTTGGAATACTTTTTTAACTGAATTTAATGTCTAATTTGTTCCAATTATAAAATAGATTTCCATGGTTTATTAGATTTTTAACAAATATTTACACTTTATTATTGAATTTGCCAATATTTTATTGTATTTAATATTATTATAATTTTTATCAGTGAACAAATCAATGAGTGGGGTGTGCGGATACATATCGCTGGTCGACTGTCTCTATTACCGGAGGATTTACAAGCTCTCGTGTCAAAGTCTATGCTGGCAACAAAGCATAATAATAAGCTTAGGCTTAATATTGCTTATGCCTATACAGGTATGTTTCCTATTTTATTTTTTTTACAACTTTATTTCACACTAGCCACTCTCACGCGGTTTCACCAGCTGCTTGGCTCCATTTGATCGTAGCGTGATATTTTATGTATTATGTAGTAAAGTTTGAGTGCCTATAGCACACAGAAACATTGTAGCTATCGATCAGTGAAAGAATTTTGGCAATCCGACTAGTGTTTCCAAAGATTACCCCTTACTACAAAAACATATGCTACAATCGTTTTAAAGAGTATTTCGACATTAAATCTAAAGAGAAAGGTATATGGTATAAGACTATGCAAAGTGATCCTCCCCGAATCCCTTGGTTTGCTGAAGGTCGTACAAAGAGGGCTTACGTTGTTATGGCACATAGATTGCGTTCTGGTCATTTTCCATCCAGGAAATTTGGATTCCTCATGAAAAAATTCGATTCACCTAATTGCCAAGTGTGTAATAGAGTTGATGATGTCCAACATTTACTGAGGGAATGTGAGAAGAACAAGAAAGAAAGAGAGATAGTGATGCGAGAGCTAAAGATTAGTAGGTTTTTTTTTTTTATGTTATAAGTCGGCAAACGAGCAGACGGATTCCCTGATGGTAAGCAATCAGCGCCGCCCATGGACACTCGCAACAGAGGAGTTACGAGTGCGTTGCCGACCTTTTAGGGATTAGGGATTTGGAGATTTAGGGATTGAGGAGGGATTGGGGAAGGGGAAGGATTGGTATGATATTGGGGCTTTTATTAAGATGTTATCTTCACCAAATTCAAAAGAAGCGGAACGGTTGCTGCATCACTGTCCCCCTCGCTTACGCAATAATAATTATGTCTGCTATTATTAATTAGTTAAGTTACATATATGTATATTAGGGTATGATGAGGCTGACATACCTTTATAAGGCAAAGGCCTCTAAATAAATAAAGATTAAAAAAAAAATACCTCTTAAGTTTAATTTTTTGGCCATGCAGTTAAAAGCTTCAATTATATTTTTTTAAGCAAAAGCTAAGGGGCTGCTCTCCTCCATTAACACGTTAAAAGCCAACGAGGCACTGGTGACCTATGTTAGCGTAGGATTTGCCTTCAACAGTTTTTTGTCGACAGTCAAAGGCTTAAACATGTCTGTCTGTTAATTAATACCTCAAAAAAGTACTGAATTGTTTGCTATGTTTCCTCCGATCTGGTCAGGATAATGCACGCAAAAGTTTTGAGACTGTCATTGGGGAATAACAAAAACGATTTTCCTCCAACAATTATATTATATTATATTTTTTCAGGAAGGGACGAAATCAGCAGAGCCGCCTCGCACATTGTAGATGGAGTGAAGAACAATGATTTGTCACCACAAGACATTGATGATGAACTTGTATCAAGAACCCTAGAGCTAAGGGAAGCTGAGCTTCTTGTTAGGACATCAGGCGAAGTGAGACTGTCTGACTTCATGTTATGGCAGGTGGGAACGATAAATAACCGTATTGGTTTGATATCTGCATGACAAAATATTTAAATAATCTGCAACATTGGTTCATTAGCCCAACAACTGTTTGTGTGAAATCAATTAAAGTTTTATTTTGTTACAGGTTTCTGATACTGTGTTATACTTTACGGAAGTTTTATGGCCAGAGTTCAGTATTTGGAATCTTTTAGCTGCCATTATACACTTCCAAAGATATGCTCCACCACCTAAAGAGCCAGAAAACATCAGCGATACAAAGAAACAGTTCCTAGAAAAATTGGAAAGCCAAAGATGGCAGCATATTGAAAAAATAGTCAATTATCCATTGTATGCATAGTCAACAGTAGCTGTTGTTGAAAAATTTAATTTATTTTGAAATATAATGTTACTATAATGTTCTTCCTTTATCATTATATTCAAGCATTTATCATATTTACCAGGATACAAAATATTATATCTATTTTAAGTTAAACAACCATAGGTTATGTATATAATTAATATATAAAGAATACAATATATATTTTGTTGTGGTAATAGTTAAGCAGCTTCTGAAGTAATATCTCTCAACAAAGAATTGGAAGATATTGAGTAGAATTCGAAATAGTATTGTTTCCTTTTATAGAAAAAAATAAAACAATATATAACTACAAATACACATAATTTAATCATAACATTCGTTGGTATTATTGCATTTTATCGTCCAACAAATTGCTTTGGGGTAACTTATTATTAGTTATGGCAGGTGCTTCATTTTCCCTTGATTGTGTATTTGGAATACGTTTTTGTCGGATCATAGGGCTCCCATCTTGAAGCAGGGAAGATGTGCTTGTTTCTTTCATACCAGGATCTGTGTAAATGATAAATTTAGTGATTAAAAAATTTTTGTAGAAGTCCCCATTTTAGCTTCGGAAGCACGTGGATATCTTTTTGTTCTGCTTGAGAGAGAACATGAAATGCTTTCTGCTTTTACAAGAAAAATTGTCAACCTTATCAAACATTTTATTTCTTAAGAATATAAATGTGATGCAGAAGGGCACTGCATTAGATAAGTCCTGAGGCGAACTATATTATCAAAATAACAATGAAAAGATTAAAATAAATAAGTATCTTTTTCTTACCTCAACAATACTTTGCCAGCATGGGAATCCTGTTTTTCTTGTGTGGCATCGTTTACAAGTCTGACATCATCAGAAGCATCAAACTGGAAAAGAGGACCACTTTTTCCTCTGGCCTGTAAAAATAAAATTAATTAAAAATAATAAAATAAATTAAAGACACGTAAATATTACCTTGTCAAGATTTATGCACACCTTCCATTTATTATGTGTATTTCGTGTTTTTCGGTGTTTGAGGGCAATAATCTCAAAAACTGAGGAACAGATTTTGATGCACATTTCACAAACAGAATGATTTAAAAACTGATTCATTTTATAAAGTGACATTTATTTATTATTGTGTTAAAGATGTTATGTTTGTGTTATGGAGAATGTGTAAAAACTTACCTTAGTAACTATAAAATCGTAGAATGTGTAGTGGTGGGGTAAAATGAGATCTTCTTTGACATACATTAGCTGGTCAGCTGATACAGTTTTGAGTTCACTGAATTCAGGCCGCAGTGTATCAAGGCATCTTTGAAGGAATTGGTAAATGGAATTACCTAAAAGAATAAAAAAAAAAACATGTGAATATTAGAACTACATACCCTGAGCGAGAGAAGCCATGTAAAGATTTACATTCTTCAAAAAAAAAAAAGGGTAAACCAGATAACATGTTATATCTTCTTGTAGAAAAATGTTGATTTAAAAATAAGTGGATGAAGAGGAAGGTGATAAAAAAAGGAAATATGTGTAAATTACTGAGGAAAGTTATATAAATGGAGATCTGAAGTTATGTGAGAACTGCTAACAGTGTTGAATCAATAGTGCAATTTGCTTTTTTTTGTGTGGTATTTTAATTCATCAAATTCCAAGAGAAAACCGGCGTTCGCGCTCCTTTTGTTCTTCTATTGTGTTTCGACCACGATTGAAAAGTTAGGCTAGCAAAATATTTTTATTAAGTAAATGTATAATTTTTTATTGCCTACCTTTTTTCAAGGTAACATTTCTTCTGTGACCTGACCCATCCCAGTAACTGAATGTGACTGTGATGGGCTCATCTTTGAGGCTGGCTTGTGTCATCACCCACTCTAAACGGAGTTCTTCTCGCAGCTTTAGATCTGCTTCCTCCCTTTCTCTGTCTGGTAGGAATGATGTATCCACATCTGGATTCTTTTTAATTTTTTTGTATACCTGGAAAAATTATAGTTGTGAATACTCACATTAAGGATGAATTTCGTTTACAATATCAAATAAAGAAATGGATGAGATTATATTTAGATTGTGAATTTTCTAGACAACCTTTATGCCTATTTAATTGTCTCTAATGCCCGGTTCCTATAATTGAGAAACGATCCGTTTTAGTTACGAATAGTAGTTTTATATACGACTCGTAAGCTAAAACCGTTCCTATAACAAACGTCTCGTCGTGCAACTTACTGACGGTTTGCAACTAACGGATGTCGGTAAGCGAATTGTATGGAGATCTATGGTATCTGTGGTGTTCCTATAAATATTTTAACCGTCAGTAGACGGTCAAGATAACTATTCGTAATGTCATTTGGTCGTAATGCGTATACAACGACGATTCGTTAAATATAGGAACCGGGCATAAGAAATATTACAGTACATGTAAAAATGTTTAATGTATTAAAAAGGATATCCTATTTCATTTTTACATTATTAGCTTGGTCTTGACTGAGTAACTTTACTAGTTTAAGCAATGGCTACAATTAAGATAGTGTTAGGGTCTGTCTAGGGATGTGTAATGTATATGCACTGTAATGCTAGCGGTTAGGAGCAGTCACGCGCTAAACATTTGTTAGTTGATATTAAATATTATCAGCAACTTACTTGATTTCATTTATTAGCCTGCAGAGTACCTAAAATACTGTTTTAGGTACTCTGTAGTCAACATAGCATTCCAAAGTGTGCATGTAACATGATAAAAATTGTACCATACAAGATGTATTTATGGCTTGACACTAATGAAAAGCAGACAAAACTTTATGTTCTACTAAAACCTACATTGTAAAATACTATGGGTTGGTAAAGATTTATTTTTTTCATATACATACCGGTTCTTCCTTGTCCCTCCAAGTTTTGTCCTCAACTGGTGGCTTCTCATCAGCAGATGATTCTTCAGCAGCATCAGGTTCTACCTCTTCTTCTTCTTCTTCTTCTTCATTCAAGTCAAATGATAATGCTTGAATCTAGAAACAATTTTTGATTAGATCTTTCTCTTAATATTATCATTGACTTTTGGTTTCATTGACCAAAAGTACAAATTATTTAATTTCAAACTAAATAGAAAATTATAACATAAATACCACATTTATACAATATACATATATTTATAATGATTAAATTCAATCGTTAATTGTTTTCCCGTCAGCATTTCATACTGGCAATATAGTCAACAACATTTATTGGAGACCATTCATTATAGAATAGATAAAGAAAGAAAGAAACATGTTTATGAACAAGCATAGTTTGTGTTCACTGGGGATAGTATAACTTCCCAAGAGTGAAATAATGAATTGAAAAAATGAAAACTTTCTGAGACTATTCAACCAAAGAAAACAAACAATTAAACCTTTTCTCTTTAAAATATAGATGTATACATATATAAGAATTTATCAGATTTGGGCACATGATAAGTTTATAATATGTACAGGTACAAAACAATATACTTCATCATATCAGCCATAGGACGTCCACTGCTGAACATAGGCCTCCCCCATTGACTTCCAGATAGGCCGGTTGGAAGCGACCTGCATCCAGCGGCTTCCTGCGACCTTAATCAGGTCGTCTGTCCACCTTGCGGGTGGACGTCCTACGCTGCGCTTGCCGGTACGTGGCCTCCACTCGAGAACCTTTCTGCCCCAGCGGCCGTCGGTTCTACGCGCTATGTGCCCTGCCCATTGCCACTTCAACTTACTAATCCGCTGGGCTATGTCGGAAACCTTTGTTCGTTTGCGGACATCCTCGTTTTTTATACGGTCTCGCAAAGAAACTCCGAGCATAGCCCTCTCCATAGCGCGCTGAGCGACCTTGAGCTTCTTTATAAGGCCCACAGTAAGAGACCACGTTTCAGTTCCATAGGTCATCGCTGGTAACACACATTGATTATAGACTTTCGTCTTAAGGCACTGAGGTAAGTTGGACGAGAAGATGTTGCGTAGTTTCCCGAACGCTGCCCATCCAAGTTGGATTCGACGATTGACCTCCTTCTCGAAATTGGACCTACCTAGCTGGATCACTTGTCCCAGGTATACATATTCGTCAACAATTTCGAGGTTAGAACTCCCAACTGATATCGGATAGGGCGTGACATGGGCGTTTGCCATGACTTTCGTCTTGTCCATGTTCATTCGGAGCCCTACCTGTTGAGAAACTCTACAGAGGTCATCGAGCATTGTGCTCAGATCCTCCAGCGATTCTGCCATGACTACAATGTCGTCGGCAAACCGGAGGTGAGTGATGTACTCGCCGTTGATGTTGATGCCAGATCCTTTCCATTCCAAGAGCTTGAAAGCGTCTTCCAATGCAGCGGTAAACAGTTTCGGAGATATGACGTCTCCTTGCCTTACACCTCGCTGCAGAGGAATATTCTTCGTGCTCTGGTTTTGTACTTGGACCGACATAGTGGCGTTTGTGTATAAGCACTTCAAAACCTCGATGTACCGAAAGTCAATATGGCACCGCTGGAGAGATCTTAACACAGCCCAAGTCTCGATCGAATCAAAAGCCTTCTCATAGTCCACAAACGCCAAGCATAGTGGCAAGTTATACTCCTCGGTCTTCTGTATAACTTAAACAATATACTTATTATTTTTAAATAGGCTTACATAAATCACAACATAATAGCATTTACCAACCTGTCGCTTTTGTTTATTTTTCTGTGCCTGTTTAGCTTCAATCTCCTTCTGCCTCTCTTTTTCCTTCTCTGCTTTTTTCTGTGCTAATTTCTTCTCTCGTTCCCTAACTATATGTTCTTGTTTTGCTTTCATCTCATCAAGTGTAACAAGTCCAATCGTGGAACTCTTCAGTTGTTGTTCCACAGCATCGTAGTGTGTAGCAAACTTATTCTCAATGTTGACCATCTTTAAATCTTCTTCAATCTTCTTCTTACGCAGTTCTATTTCTTGTTGAGCTTTCTCTCGTTTCTTCATGAGATGCATAGCTCTGCCAGCCTCAGATGCTGCTCCCTTATAGTGAGCCATGATTGTGTTTTAATTTTGAATATAAGAAAAACCTAGATGATCCTTTAATCACACAATAAATGCAAAATATCCTCAGCCAGAAGTTTATTTTCCAGAAAAATCTTCTAGCAACTCAGTCGATTGCTAATTTGATAAACAGCACTGCACTGACAAGTTTGACAACACTCTATTATTATGACTACAGCTGTATTTTTTTTAAATGTGTAATGAGTTCTTGGCTTTCTAGACATCTCATAGCCGCTTGCAAGTTGCAAGATTTTAAATGTTGAAAAACATTTCTAAAGGTATTCACCAGGTTCGACAGAAAACACAAAATTTTACATAGATTAGGAACAATTTACATTACAGTTTCATCGACTGCTACATACAAATTGTACAATACATAACATTATTCGCAGTATTCTCAGTACGTCTATAATCAATTCTCATCCATTGACATAGGAAATATATGGACTTGAAATACCTACGAAAAAAAGGTGCCTACCTACAATCCAAAATGTCGCATAAGATGGCTGCCGTTGCTAGGGTTGTGCCGACTAAGTATTTAACGAGTATCGATACAATTTGAGTAAAAGTTCTACGTAGGTATAGTTTTAGGGATTAGCCAGCTGATTAACGGTATTTTTTTATGGGAAATCATCTAATGTCATCTCCGGCCTTTTTCGGGACAGACCGTTACTGACTAAAATCAACTCCTGTTCCTACTTTGCCGTCGGCCTAGCTAGAGCCCGGAACCCGGGGTTAACTTGGTCTCTTGATTGGCTAATGATTTTCTCAAGTCGAATTTGTATTCATATAATTCAACGTACCTAAAGAGTCTTTTAAAAAAATAGGACTGTGTTTATGCACAGCGTTTAATGGAATGGTGAAATAGAAAAAGATAGTGTTTGTTAAATGTTTATCTTTATATATGTGGAAAACCTGTGGGTATTTGTGAAGTGCTCGCGCACAATTTCGGCGCGTCTGATTAAACGATGATATCTTCGAAACTACGTTAGCACAAAATAGATATGTAGTGAAGTCAATCTTATTGTATGTATCTCACTTTTTATTATTACGCTTGGTGGTCGCACTGGGATCGTCGCCAACGCCGCTCTGTCAATCGCGCCCGTATAATTATAAAACATGATAATTTGAACTTCTACTTATGTAACTAAAACCAATACCAAAATACTGACGTCTTACTTTAGCGTTACACAAAACTGCGGAAACATCCTTTGTTAAAATAGATTATTTAGTATATGTTGAATTTTAAATGGGAGATTATATCGATACTTTTGTGGAATGGTACGTAACTATGCCATATTGACATATTATTGTAAACAACAATTTTTTACTAAAACTGTCTCACAGACAGAAATAAAAGTAAATATATATACTTTGGCAATAGATTAAAGTATCCGTGACATTTTTTTCTATCTATGTGGATTATTCTAAGTAATATTTGATGAAAACTGTTTACTAACCTATACAAAGACAATTGAGGTTGATTTTCGTTCTTTTTTGCACCACACTGCACAATACAACACACAGGCATATTGTTTTTTTGTTTCACTATATATATTTGAAGTTTAAAAAAATGGTTCTTTGTAATTTACTGAAAAACCGCAATAATTTAAAACATAAACAACCGTTTGACAGGACAACTACCATGAAACTCAGGTACTCTGAGCGCTTAAGATGGCGGACATGGCACTTACCTACAACTTTGCTAATGTCAAAATGATTTGTTTCCATATTAAGCAACAACTTAAATATTGTTGTCCCTTTTGTCTAATACAATTATTGCCTTAGAAAGAGTGAGAAAAAATGATATTTCATAGTTTGTTTCATATTTCCCTCATATTTGTATAAGCATGTATACTTCTATAGTAACACGGCGCCTCTATATATTTTCTATCTCAATGTTCTCATCTGTCTGTGATCTATAGTGTCATTGTCATGTCAAGCACATGTCAGGCACTTGAATTTTTTGAGTTCCGTTCGCGGGTGAAAGAATTGGTATTGTAAATTACCGGTCGAATTTTGAGGAAACGTTGCAATTGTTTTAATTTTCACCATGAATGAAACGATACTTATACCATCGCCGAATTGGTTCTTCCCGTCTGTTATGGCTGTGAGTTCCGATGGCTGGCTTATTTATGGAGGACCGAGTAAAAGTATTTGTGTTTGTGAACCACAAAAGAAAGACACCGGTCTCATAGCTGCAAAAGAGAAATATCAGGCTCACGTTTTTTTCGTAGGAAATTCGGAGAGGTGAATACACACGTTTTATTGAATTATAGTTTTATATATTTGTACACTGTGATCATAAAATATTCTGCTAAATAAATTCTTTTGTTTTCCCTGTGTACTATAAAACATGTGAAATTGTTATTAAATGTCATTTATCACACAGGATTGTGTCAGTCGACATATCTCCAGAATGGTTAGAAAAAAAGTCATTCGTCTCTGGTGCTCAAGATGGTACTGTGAAACAATGGTTTATACAAAAAGATAATGACAAAATGAAAATCAAAGACCCACATTGCCATGAATTTCACAAAACTGCAAATGAAGTAAGTATTCTGTACTTAATAGTTGCATGTTGTGTCATTTAAAAATATTGTACTATTATTTTTCTTAGCTAGTTTTCTCATTAAAACAATAATAGCTGTTTAGCTGTTCTATGATTTGTTAGCAACCATCATAGGGTTGCTTATAGTGAGCAGATAAGCTGTAGATTATATTAACACATGCAATAAATAAATCTCTATTTCCAGGATTTAGTTGGAGTTGGTTACAGTAACGCAACAACAGCTATTTCAGTCGGAGCTCATAACAATATAGTAAAATGGGACTTAGCCTCAAATGTTACCAAAGTGTACAACCATTTTATGAAGACCTTCCGAGCTACATGCATGGCATGTTCCCCTCATGTGTCATTACAGGTGGCTGTAGGGACTAAACAGGGTGTAGTCTTCCTTATTGATCTTCATGGTAAGTATAAATTTGTCTACTTGTAGTTAGTACTAGAACTAGCTACTAGACTGTATTTTTTTAAGACTTATAATTACCAAAATTTGATTTTTCAACAACCAAAAAATTTAATTTTGTTGCTTGACTAAAGGTTTAGTGGCACATCATTCTATGCTATGCTTTGTTCGTAGGTAAAGGAAAACTTCTTTACAAAGTCCGAGGCCAAGATGACCCAGTAATGTATGTAAGTTGGTGTCCAAAATATGTAGCGACAGTAGTAAACAAAGGTAAAGAAGTTCAATCGTCACTTGCTGAAAGGCTACAAGCTATAAGAAAAGAAGCAGAACAGGAATCAGAACAATTAGAACAGTCGGGACTTGAGAAGGATCTTCCGGAAGACAGTTTCGATGAGTCCATAGTACAGGAGGATGATACCTTTGACATCTACAAAGATCATGAACATGATGAGTTTGGTCACAAAAAGTATGAACCAGAAAGTATTAGAGTAAAAGTGAAGAAGGAGGAATCTGCAGAAACAGATTATTTGGCTGAATGTTTAAAGTTAAAAGAGGAGATACTGAAGAGAAAAAATCAACCAGAATCAAGTATAGAGTCCTTAGTTAATGCATTAGATGGGACCCATGTTGAAAGTGACAATGATGGTCAAGTTGCCCAACCTGCTGCAGAAAATCCTCAAGAATTGCCCGAACCAGCTACGAGTTCAGTGAAGACTGTCAAAATAAGTGGCCGCACTAGTCAAGAGTATAAGCATCTGCTTGCATCAGTAGGAAAAGTTGGGTAAGTTCTGAGGTAAATTGTTTTTATTTTACTAGCTACCTGTCCCGAATGAAGATGCATGGATGCAATGCTACTAATTCCTCCTCTCTATCTATTAAAAAACTGCAAGATAATGTGTAACATAGTTTTAAAGATTTAAGCATACCCAGGGACAGAGTAAGTGGCTTTGTTTTTTTTGTTTAGTGATAAATCTGTAAGCAAACATCTATTTATTTATTTACAGTGTGATTTTGATAAGAAAGTATTACATTTTAGCCTTTTACAATATTGTTCAAAGGGTATAAATAATAATTTTCTTCTTTACAGAGGAGTTCGAATATGGTCCGAAACAGGTAAACTAGTGGCTACTAGTGTTATTCCAGCTGTTCCAAAAAGTGCTATGAAAGGAAATTTCGTCACTTCATTACTGTGGTTCTCTCCAACATCACTTCTTGTTATTGATGGCAGAAACCAACTTTTGGAAATTAATCCATTAAGAATTGACAAGTAAGTTTATCTTTTACTAGCTTCCACCCTCCTACTTCATTAGGTTTGTTGATAAAAAGCAGTCCAGATGTTAAAATTCAACCAAATCGGTCCAGCCGTTTTTGCGTGAAAGAATAACGAACTTACTTCCATCAACACAGTCTTCACAAACTTTCATATTGATAATATTAGTAAGATTGTGTCAACTCAGATTGCAGAAATTTTAGCTCAATTCTGGGATCACGAAAATATGTTGATGTTTAATTTTTTCTTAAAAAATATTCTTTATCAACATTCATATTAACCATCATTGCAATTTATTTACTTCTTATTCCTTTTCAATTAACAGAAAGAATAAACTAGATTGGCGTGTACTGAAGCACTTGCACAAACGTGGGATGTACTGTATCAAGACCAATGCGCCATTAGTCCAAAAGGACGACATTCAGAGTTCAGATGATTGGTCCATTTGGACCGTGGCACAGGACAGGACTATTATACGGTATTGTGTAAAGAAGAAGAAGACTTTGGCTGTTCACGCGACTGCTGGGGGATCTGTGTATGCAGTGGCTGCTTGTCCCTATGATGCTGGAAGGTAGGAACTATGTTGTTATTTTATTCTTCACTAGCTTCTGTCGCGCGGTTTTACTCGCTACTTGGGTCCTAGAACTCGTAGCGTGCTGTTTTATTTGTACCGTGCCGGCCTAAAGCCTTCCTGGAAAAAAGTACTAACAACCCCAAAATAATTATTTAATATGAACCAGTAGTTCTTTAGATTAGCGCGTTCAAACAAACCAACAAACTCGAGCTTTATAATTACACAATTAACTTTTATTTATGTTCCAATATGTAACAGAAATTATTAGAAATTATATCCTTCACGACTTAACCTCATAATTCGCAAAAATACTGACATAATTTAAATTTATAACTACCAGGGTAGCAGTGAGCGTAGGAGATGGTGCGGTCCGTGTAATGGAGAGTGCCACTCTCGTAGACGACGACATGAAACTCACGCCGGCACGGGTATACTCCTACTGGCAGAACGTTCAAGGAAAAGTCCTCAACGTCGCCTGGCATCCCACTAGAGAAAACATGTTAGCATATTCTACTGGAGAATCGAGAGTAAGTATTGTATTTTGGTGGTTAGTCTAAATCATCTATCTATAAATATGAGAAAGCCATGCTTCGGCACAAATGGGCTGGCTCCACCGGAGTGGTACCACGGCCCACAGAAAATGGCGTGGAACAACCACAGCGTGAGTGGGGTTACCGGAAGGAAGCCCAATTCTTCCTCTCGCCCAAAGTCTTCGTAACTCCAGTGTTGTTTATTATTTTACTAACCATTAGGTATCTATCCTATCTTATAACAAAAAATCTATAGATTTGCTTATTTCTATCCCTATGTTGAAGTTTGATTTAAGCTCTTTACAAAATGTGTTTGTCTCTAATCTAATCTATGGGCCAAAGTTGGTAGTTGTTGAACAATTGGCAAGATTTTTGCCAAAGAAGAAGAAAGTAGATAGAATAGTTGTCGATTTAAATACTTTTCCTCTGAGAATTAACAAACGAAATGTGCAAAAAATATTATCTTTAACTGATATGAGTTCTGTATAGTTAATTATCAGTTTAAAAAATTAAACAACTCATTTACTTCTTCAGAAATGCTTTTTTTCGAAAACGTACACTACGATAACTTTGTCCACCATTGGAAACTTCTAAAATTGGCCCCATCTATCCTGGTCTCGTCTGTATTTGAAAAGTCTGTGTCTGTGTAAAAAGTCCTAGTGAGGGGCAACGTTTTTATTAAACCAAAAAGGAACATGATCCATTTCCTTCAACAGGTGGGTGTTATAGACACTAGCAGTAAATCGGAATCGGGCCGAGTTTTGAACTCCGCCCTCAGCCACGGCGTGTACTCTTTGAGCTGGGGAGAAGACATGAACTTGTACGCCAGTGGCGGTTGCAAACTGGTCATGTATAACGCACAGCATCCAAATCAAGGTATGTATATGTAAAAGAAGGAGGCCCAATCCTTCCCCTCTTCCAATCCCCAAATCTCCAAACCCTTAATCCCCAAAAGGTCGGCAACGCACTCGTTAGTCCTCTGTTGTTGCGAGTATTGATAGGCCGCGCTGAAAGCTTACCATCAGCTAATCCGTTTGCTCGTGTGCCGTCCTATAACATAAGAAAGAGAAATGGAGAAAGAGACAAAAAAATAACAGCTGTTATGATAATTTCTTTAAGTGCACTGTTGTTGTGTTATGTTTTTTTTTGTATTAAACTTTCTATTATTGCCAAGTCTAAGACTTGTGGGTAGCTCGAAATTAGTCGAATAACTTCGTTGAACAGTTTCGTAAGTAAACTAAAAATAAAAATTAAGTTATTAATGTTATTAACAATTTACTTGTATTCTTATCAACAGACCCGCAACAGCTGGACATAACAATAGAAGGCCAGAAGTGGGACATATGTGCGGTGTCATGGTTCCCTCGCGGGTTATTCGTGGGCTCAGCCAATGGTGGGGTCGCTCTACTCACACCTAGCCACCCACACACACTCATTGTTGCTGATTTCGTGTTCAAGTTAGTATCTAATGACTTTTGATTATGAGGCCTGTTTTGGATTGAAAATAGTCAAGCATCTTCAAATGTTTTCGATACCAAATCTGATTATTTATTATTTATGGTATTAGTTTTGTGTTGTCACTAAAATGTCGCGTTCTTTCAATTGTATAGAGGTCACTATACTCAACAAGTCTCGATGAGCTACAATTATATGGATTTATTTAAGTTGTCTCATTAACTTAATTATTATTTTACTTCTTATTCTCATCCAGCAAAATGATACATGCAATCGAGTGGCACCCACAACAGACATCGAGTTCGACCGAGGAGTCCCCATACAAGAACCTCATTGCTGTAACCTCCTTGGATAAGGATTGTGGCATTGCCATAGTTGAATATGTAACTGGAGAAGGTATTTTTTTTTATTATGGCAATAAAATTTATCAGTCTTGTGAATTTGAGTTTTGTTGATGCCTTAGAGCTTTGTTTGTGAACTGCACTCCGGATATTTGATATTTTGACACAATTTTAGGACATTTTGCCCATTTCGAATCGATTTTCAATCATTTATGGCATTAACCATCCTCGGACTGGAGCAGGAAAATGATAATGGTGGTTTTGTGTCAACAAGAATCTGAACCTCTTTCGCCGAAAGCAAATTGATGATGAGCTATTTATAGACATGTTGGCTCATTTTTAAGGCATTTTTGGGCATTGAATATTGTGACGTTTGACTCGATTTTTATATATTTCGGACATCGCACACTTGGCACAATTTTTAGCGGGCATTTTGACAGTGTTTTCAAATGTTTTGTTCATAAGAGGTGGTTATTTGAACACAATCTTCTAACATTTTAGTCATTGTACTTTTTACTATAAATATCTAATGTTTTTATGTAAGTATTTATTTATTCCCGATATCTATTGTAGATGGGTCAAAGAAGTTGAGTACATGGAAGACATTGTTTGGACACACGAAGGCGGTGCTCCAGGCTGCTTGGAACCCACATCGAGATGGAATACTGCTCTCCTCATCACAGGATACTACTGTTAGGGTAAGTATCCAAATAATAGGAGATGTTCTATGACAAATTGAGAGTCTGTAAGTACGCATGGATGGACAGACGTTTGCCACTTTTTCCTTTTGAAAGACGTCCACTGCAGGACAAAGGCCTCCCTCTACCCCTAGTTCTCCACGTCCACGGACAAGTCTTCACCTGCACCCATTGACTCCCCGCGACTCTGAAGATGTCGTCGGTGCACCTAGCAGGATGTCTGCCCTCGCTACGTCTTTTTCGCGTAAATCTACCGAATGGATCTAAACGAATTTTATCATGGACAAAGACAACGGAGGAGTTACGAATGCGTTGCCGACCTTTTAAGCATTTGGGATTGGGGGAGGGGAAGGATTGGACCTCCAGTTACCTCTTACAACTCTGTGTGTTGTTTCATGCCGGTTTTCTGTGAGGTCGTGGTATAACCTTGGTTGAGCCAACTCATTTCTTCCGAAGGATGGCTCTCCAACACTCACACAAATGAGGTTTTAATGTAATGTTGCTCTCAAACGGATGATCCGATTTTTATGCGGTTTTTCGTTTAAAAGATTTATCAGTCGAGTGTATAGCTATGTTTGATGGAAATCGGTTCAGGTCTTCAAGGTCATTAGGTCGTTTGTTAGTGTTTACCATTTTTTTACTTTTTTTGGGTCGGGGGTATTTTTATTTTAATCTTTTTGTTGTACAGGTATGGGATATATCAACGGGTATTTGTACATCAATATTCGGCGGTCACTCGACAGTTTCACTCGGTGTGTGTTGGATGCCACAGCCCCAACTAGCTGACTACGTCATGTCGGGCGGCGGGGAGTTCTGTTTGAGGTTATGGAACATAAACGACCATAAAACTGAAAACTTTGTTGGTAAGTGAAATTTATTAAAACTTAGTTAAAACATGTTTTCATCCAACGTTGCTTCTTATGTGTCATAAATAATGTCGTATGTAGAAAAGATATATATCACAATTAAGTGTTTGACTGCGCCGTTGGCGCGGTGGCTGTGCCGGTTTAATTCCCGCACAGAACAACTCTTTTTGTGATACACAAATTGTTGTTCCGGGTCTGGGTGTGATGTGTATGTGAAATTGTACGCCTGTAAACGCACTTGCAAGACAGGAGAAACCCCTGCTGTACCAACGTTTTAATATAAAAAAGGTGTAATGTCCATTCTTAGTACATAATACTGTAGTTTCCAACTAGTCAAATTCAATACTTTTATCTAAATGTTCAAAACAATACTTTTCTATGAAGTTTGTATGAAACTAGAAATTATGACGTCATAATATTTTTGCGTCAAATTGCTTACTTGTTTCGTAAAAATTAGCTACAAAATATCGAAATGTTAGAGTATCGACAGATCGATGAATAAAAGTACAATTATTTTTCAATATTTGATGGTATTGAAACGTCGAATTTATTTATTTTTGACCTAGGAAACTACCCAATTCCCAAATGAGAATTGCTTCGTCATTTAATAACGTAAAATATATAAAGGGCCTATATCACAATGTCTGGATGTTAAATCCAGACATAACGTGTATAAAGTAAAGCAAACGCGTGTAACAAAACTATCCAATGTGAGTTACAAACATATTTTAAACTAGAATTACTTTCCAGCCGAAACCGGTCCAGTAGTTAAAAAGCGTCAACGCAGAAGAGGGAAAAAAGGAACTGTCGAAGTTAGCTCAGCTGAAGAAGACCACGTAGCACTACAAACTGCTCTCACCAGCAAATATTCGAAACCATCAAAGAAATTCCTTCTACCAATCATGTTTAAACAGTTCAATGACCCTATCAGAAGATTAGACGCTCCCAGGAAGATGTTACAAATGTGGTTAGAAAAGAACGAAAATAAGTTGAAAGAAAATGGAGGTTCAAGTAGTCCAACTGCACAAGATTTGTCTGTGACAACATCCAAAGAAAATGGTGCCGAAATTGATGAGAAAGCAAATCATGATTTGGCAAAGTCAGTAAGTGATAGAAATGAAGGAGTTAAAGTTAGTACGGCTGATAGTGGAGTTCTCTACGAACCCATAGAGTCTAGTTTAGATTTCATCAAGATCTTTGGTACCGTTAAGGAGGTTAATGAATTTTTGGATATGGAAAGTGAGTATTTTTTGCTTAACAGTCTCGTCTCGTCAGTAAACACATAGGACACCAAATTCGATGTATTTCTAACTTATGAATTGGAGACAGGGAGAGGGTTGGGCCTCAAGTAACCTCACTTACTCGTGGAAACACAAAACAAGCATTGTTTCAAGTGCGGTTGTATGGTTCAAGCCTTTTTAAAAGTGGGAGAGCTATGCTTTTGCACCAATGGGTCGACTCGACCGGCCTGGTACCACTTTAGACAGTTATGTTTCGCCGCGTGAGTAAGATTATCAGATATCCAATCCCTTCCCTCCCCGATCTCTCCCTAATCCCTAAATCTCTAAATTCCCTATCTCCAATAGGCTGGCAACGCACTCGTTACTCTTCTGGTATTGCATACATAAGCAGCGCCGATTACTTACCATCAGGTAATACGGCTCGTTTCCCGATCTATCATAAAAAAGGTTGTTTCCGGAGAGATATTCGTGCCACATCATACCGTTAATCTGATTCTAAATCAACACCGTACCATTACCATTCCATTATGACTGTTGGATTTTTGTTCATTTTAATATTTATTATGCTTTTTGTTTTCCAGTGAACGGGCATTTGGTAGAGCAGTATCACCCGGAGGCATATATAATGTTGTCGATAATACGTGGCCATATTGACACTATGATACAGTTTGCTAGTGAGCGCGATATGCTCTGCCCCTTCCTGCTTAGTATGGCGCCCTGCGTGTCTTTTAAGTAAGTTTAATACATTATAATTAAAAGATATAAACTTCTTTTCATGTTTATGTAGAAGAAAAGACGACCTAATTGAAGTAAACTATCTAAAAAATATTAACTTCTTTACATGCTCATTTAAAAGACGACCTTTCGCAAATAAAATATATAAAAATATTTACTTCTTTTCCTGATTATGTCGTAGAAGAGACGACCTATCTCAAATAAACTATCTAAAAGATCTTAGCTTCTTTTCATGTCTATTTAGAAGAAAAGACCACCTATCTGAAGTGAACTATCTAAAAAATATTAACTTTTTTTCATGTCTTTTAGAAGAAAAGACAACTCATCTGAAATAGACTATTTCATATGAGTTGTCTTTTCTTCTTAAAGATATTAACTTCTTTTCATGTTTATGTAGAAGAAGAGACGACCTATCCGAAATAGACCAATTAAAAGATATTAACTTCTTTTCATGTTTATGTAGAAGAAGAGACGACCTATCCGAAATAGACCAATTAAAAGATATTAACTTCTTTTCATGTTTATGTAGAAGAAGAGACGACCTATCCGAAATAGACCAATTAAAAGATATTAACTTCTTTTCATATTTATGTAGAAGAAGAGACGACCTATCCGAAATAGACTAATTAAAAGATAGTAACTTCTTTTCATGTTTATCTAGAAGAAGAGACGACCTATCCGAAATAGACCAATTAAAAGATATTAACTTCTTTTCATGTTTATGTAGAAGAAGAGACGACCTATCCGAAATAGACCAATTAAAAGATATTAACTTCTTTTCATGTTTATGTAGAAGAAGAGACGACCTATCCGAAATAGACCAATTAAAAGATATTAACTTCTTTTCATATTTATGTAGAAGAAGAGACGACCTATCCGAAATAGACCAATTAAAAGATATTAACTTCTTTTCATATTTATGTAGAAGAAGAGACGACCTATCCGAAATAGACTAATTAAAAGATAGTAACTTCTTTTCATGTTTATCTAGAAGAAGAGACGACCTATCCGAAATAGACCAATTAAAAGATATTAACTTCTTTTCATGTTTATGTAGAAGAAGAGACGACCTATCTCAAATAAACTATCTAAAAGATATTATCTGCATCTCATGTTGATGTAGAAGAGACGACCTATCTCAAATAAAGTATCTAAAAGATATTAGCTTCTTTTCATGTCTCTTTAGAAGAAAAGACGACCTTTCTGAAGTAAAGTATCTAAAAGATATTGACTTTTTTCATGTTTGTGTCAAAGAAAAGACGATCTATCTTAAACTATCTAAAATATATTGAATTCTTTTCATGTTTATGTAGAAGAAAAGACGACCTATTTCAAATAAATGATAAAATATTAAATTCTTTTCATGCTTATTTAAAAGAAAAGACGATCTGTCTCAAATAACCTATCTAAGAGATATTTACTTCCTGTCATGTCTATGTAGGAGTAAAACTAAAAAAATATTGAATTCTTTTCATGTTTATGTAGAAGAAAAGACGACCTATTTAAAAAAAACGAAAAAATATTAAATTCTTTTCATGCTTATTTAGAAGAAAACACGACCTATCTGAAATGAAATATCTAAAAGATATTAACTTTTATTCATGTTTGTGTCAAAGACGACCTATCTCAAACTATCTAAAATATATTGGATTCTTTTCATGTTTATGTAGAAGAAAAGACGACCTGTCTCAAACTATCTAAAATATATTGAATTTTTTTCATGTTTATGTAAAAGAAAAGACATTAACTTCTTTTCATGCTTATTTACAAGAAAAGACGACATGTCCTATATAAACTATTTTAAAGATATTTACTTCTTTGCATATCTATGTAGAAGAAAAGACCATCTGTCTCAAATAACCCATAAACTTCGTTTTATGTTTATGTCGAAGAAAAGAAGACCTATTTCAAATAACCTATCTAAGAGGTATTTACTTCTTTGCATGTCTATGTAGGAGTAAAAGACGACCTGTCTCAAATAAACTATCTAAAAGATATTAACTTATTTTCATGTTCATGTAGAAGAAAAGGCGATTTATCTCAAATAATCTAAAAAATATTAACGTCTATGCATATCTTCTTATATAACCAGTCTTAAATAACCTATCGAAAAGATATAAACTTCGTTTTATGTGTATGTCGAGGAAAAGAAGACCTATCTCAAATAAACTTAAAAATATTAACTTCTTTGTGCTTATTTAGAAGAAAAGACGACCTCTCTCAAACTATCTTAAAGATATTAACTTTTTATCATGTTTATGTAGAAGTAAAGACGACCTGTCTCAAATAAACTAAAAGATATCAACTTCTTTTCATTCCTATTCACTAGAAAAGACGACCTGTCTCAAAAAACTATCAAAGAGATATTTACTTCGCTGCATGCCTATGTAGAAGAAAAGATCATCTGTCTCAAATAAATCTTTCTTGAAGATATTTAATTATTCTTATGCTTAAATAGAAGAAAAGACGACCTGTCTCAAATAAACTATCTAAAAGATATTAGCTTCGTTTAATTTTTATGTAGAAGAAAAGACGACCTGTCTCAAATAACCAATCTAACCGATATAAACTTCTTTTCAATTTTATGTAGAAGAAAAGACGACCTATCTCAAATAAACTATCTAAAAGATATTAACTTTTCATGTTTATGTAGAAGAAAAGACCATCTGTCTGAAATAACCTATCTATTGGGCTACCAGAAATATTATTTGGACACATTTCCAAAGAATTTATTTACTCCTTATCTTTTACCCTAGTGTCTAATAGTAACTGAAATATAAAATGTATGTTTTTCAGATATTGGAAAGACGCTACTCAGTTATATTTGAAACAAATTGATCGAGTGGTGGCCAGAGGAGAAGAGGACAGGATATTTGGTATGTAATGACAATGTTACAAAAGCTGAAAGAATTATTTTTTTACTGTTTATCACACAATAATCAAAAGAAATGCTATTCGTTATTCTCGCTAAATGTTTTGAAAGGTTGCACCGATTTTGCTAATTTTGGTCTTAGAATATTTGAGGAAGTCTATGGAAGGTTAAAAGGGTCAGAAAATATATAAGTTAATTTTGAGGTGAAACGAAGTTCACCGGGTCAGTTAGTTTATAATTTTTTTTTTTGGCGGGCTTCACCGAAAAGTAACAGTATTTGTGAAGTTTCCATATTTGATATTTTTACAGAAAACAAGCATTACGGAGGCTCAAAGTTCCGTAAAGCCGCCATACAGTTGAGCATGCATGACGTCATGGGTGCCGTCAAAACGCTCTGCGAAGGAAAACTTTACAAGGAAGCGTATATACTATGCCGGCTAAGGTGAATATTACATGTTAAGCAATAAGAATGTTTTATTAAAGTTAATTGAAAAAGTTGCGTTTGATTTGATGCTTCTTAAAACAAGATTTAGTGCTTTAGATGCCAAAAATAGTTACGCCTGAACGCCATTTTTTAAAGTTTAAATATTTCTTATTAAAGTCGATCTTTATTTTTAATTTATAATGTCTTATAGGACCGAGGTATATTTTATATTTATTAAAAGAATCACTTTTTTTGTAATACGATGATTTATCTTTTTTTATATAATTTTGCAGGTACATGGATAATGTAGCTGAGGAAATATTGGCTGAATGGGCTGAAGAGCTGGCACTTAGTGGGCAAATGAATATGTCGGCATTCCTGTAAGTGTTCATATTTGCGTTTTCAATGTTTAACCACTTCTTGTGGATCAATTACGACAGTTCCTAACACCTTCGAAATCGTGAAATAATATTTTGCTGGCTCAGCTTAGCAAGTTTAAACTTTTTTCTTAGATATTTTATCAACCAGCGTTCGTTTAGTCCATTATATTCCAAAACTAATAAATAAATGCCCCTCTATTTTAATAAACTATAAAAATATATATTCTAATGTCCTTATCCGGTACGAAGCAGAACGAATGAGGAAGTATTAGCCAGTTATTGTTTGACATTCCACTTGCCCCTCCTAAGGCGGGAGAAGTAAATCTTATGAAATCATAAATTGTCTCTGCGACACCCCGGTTTTTTTGTCTTACTTTGTGCGCCCCTTCAGGCCTTCATCGCCTACTTGATGCGTTATCTTTGGCCTTTAGGGAAGACTGGTTAAGTCTGTCATGAAACGTTAACATTGTTTTCCTTTTTTTCAGCTACATAGTCCTAGGCAATCTGTCTCAAGCAGCACAAGTTCTAGCCAAGTCTCAAAAGGTAGATTTCCTTAAATTGGCTGCAGAAATCGCAAAGATCGCTGGGCGGAACACGTTTGCGGACCATGTGACGAAAAAAGTTAATCAAACTGAGGCACAAATGACAACAGACAAGACTGAAGAAATTTTAAAGGAATTACCGTCAAAAATAGATCTCCTTATGAAGGATGAAATTACAAAAGCTTGTGATAATAGTAAAAGTGATATTTTAAATGGTGAAACCTCGAACTCTGTTGCATTGAATGGTGATAATAAAACTAATGAATAAGCTGTTACTAGTTTTTTTGTTAAAATAATGAGAGTATTTTTCCAAAATAATGTTTTAATGTCACGAAATAAAATTAGTTTTAATTTTATCGATTCAGTAACGTTAAACATTATGTCAATTTATAAACCTATTCTCATTCTATGTCTCATGTTTTATATTTTAATTTGTTTATTAATTGTGATAAAATATGTTAGTCGATTGAGTCGATTCTCGATATGTGTTCTACTTTACGACTCCGCCTGTCGTAGCCCTAAGCTGGCATAGGGCTTGTGTATTGTTTTCGTTACTGTTTGAATTTGCAACGATATCATTTTTTTAATAAACATCTTTTCACAACATAGCACCTTTCATTTTAGCCTTAATATTACGGACTCTGAAAACAGTGTCCGAATCGCCTTTTTTGACTTATCCCGCCCAAGGTCGGGCGGGAGGGAGTGTCAGACTCTTACTGACTAAAAACCCCCCCTGTTCCTACTCCTGCTCTAGGCCGAGGTCGCGGTGCCTCATTGCGCTTACCCCGCGACCCCGGCTGGTCCGAATCGCCTTACACGTACTTTTACGTTATACTTATTATTGAAAAAGTTCTCATAATACAAAAACTTCAATCTTTATCTTTATTGTAATTATTAATGTTTTGAATGATAATACTGTGAAATTTGAGGTTAAAAATACATTGTGGTCGCTTCCTCTACCTGGATCGCCAATCACGTAATTGAGTACCTACTAGGGATGAGGTGAATTCGGAAAATAATAGGTTGTGTAAGATTTCTTTAATATTGCACAGTAAATCTTTTTTATGTGAAAAGTTGGCAAACTACCACACGCGTTAGGCACCATGAACATTTGGTTAGCAATCAGCGCCGCCCATTTTAACGTAGTGTTTGTATATTCTTAGCCTTCCACGGACACTCTTAATAAGATTAGTAGAACTAGGTACGGCTAGTATGTGTTTTACACGCAGGTATTCTATAAGGCCGTGTGTCCCATAGAATAGGAACCTGCGTGAAAAACACGCGTTGTCTGGGCGTACCCATGGACAGCAAAGAATATACAAACACTACATTATGGATATTTCCTTCATGCATACAAGTATCTGTATACAATAAAATCTTATAACGCGGAAGCTCACTAGTGCAGACCATCGACATTACCTACCGTTATATTACGAGCGGCCAAGGAGATTCAATGTAAAAAGGGCACGATTCATCGGGACTGAGGTGGTCGGGCTCTCTCGATCGCCCACGCCTTACAGTTATCATATCATTTAATCCTTCGGAACTTAGGGACTTACGAGTTAGAGCACGATGAATCGTCACGTCTGATCGGTACTACTCGTCAATTTTCCTATTGCCGTCACGTGAAAACACGGGAACGCTTTATTGCTGTGCAAAAAAATTTTTTTAGTTGCACTTATCGCAAAAAGTACACTGCATGCATGCAAGGCAATCATCATGATTATGTCAACATGGACATTAAAGTATGCCCCAAGGAATCTGTACCAAAAAATATCTCAAAATTTATTTTTTTCGATTTAGTAGGAATTTTGGTTAGGTTTGTTCAGAGAACCTACCGTAAAACGGGGTGAATAGATACACGAAAGGGATGAATAGATGCTGACGAGATTGTTCCTAGTTTCTTTTTATCCCTCGAATTGTATCACACCATGAGGGTAATATGACATTATCATAAAACTATTAAATAAATAAAAAACGTCAGTATAAATCAAACATTTATTTTGTATTGGTACCATTCACATCGGCAGATTAGGATCAAATGATATTTCAATTTACATTGCCAAGGAAGAAATCAGTTTAGGCAATTACAATTTTCGGAACAAAACTTTCGTTGTCGATGGACTGGTAGGAGTTAGGCATTCATGAATATTCGAGAATTTTGTGAGAGTGATGACATAACATTGATTCCTGCGACAATGTAAATTGACAATAAAATTGTGTTAATTTACAACATTATAAACAAATTTAATTTTATTATTAAACGAATCATTTCTTACAATTAAAAATAGTTTGTGCGAATGTGTGAGGCAGACTATTTTGGTTTCGAAAGCGAAGACATTTATTATGTACAAAGCATATTATGGTGGTATGGCGCCAGAGATAGGCATCAAATGCAAAAAATATTAGGGTGAAAATAAGCTACACAGGCACCCTTCATGTCTATGTATAAATACTGAAAGAAATATTTACTGAGAAAATTAGTTATTCATATATTTTTATTTACATTTTCAAACTAATATCACTAATATAAATATTTTTAAGTACACTAACAATACAAATATTCGGCCACTCAACAAGTTCGTTTGTTATTTTTCAATAGTAATAAATTTCTACACTACCCTTTTATAAGGCTCAAATTGGGGTTAAAAGCTCTATATAATATTATAGATTGTACAACATTCAACATTATGAGAATATATTCTCTAATTGTTATAAAATGGCACCGATACTCACAACAGTACTTTTAAATCAGACATACATTTTAATCACATATTAATTTTGATACTATAATTTAATCACATTTCACAACGATTAATAAGTTCTATGGACTGAATAATTAAATTTAATTAAGACAAGCTAAACAAATTAGGTTAAAATACTTTGTTCAATAAACGAAATGCTTTAGGAATGTCGTAGATTCGTTCAGTCTGGATTTTAATAGTTAATTTTAGTTCTTATAGTGATAATAACATTTGATGAATTTATCCGCATCGCCACGCGTGCATAATGAAGTGCGACTTTGTCGCAAATATATACTCTTTATAGGGCGGATAAACGTTCAGTCAAAACTTGAATCCTCATTCCAGTGTAAATATTGAAAAATACGTATATAAAAAGCAGGTTAAGTTTCCGAACTTCGTTATTAGGGGCTAATTTTTCATGGGTTAGATAAAAGTTACTTGGGGAATAATTATGATGCTGTTGCGTCAAAATGTTTGTATAAGGCAGTGACAGCAACAATTTTATTCCTCAGATAACATTTATCTGACTATTGAAAAATCAGCACTAACCACAAATCAATTAATTTATATTTTATTATATTCACACATTTCACTATCACGAGAGTATAACGCAATCAAGTCCAGCTTATCGCGATTATTGTCATTAACGTCATGATTCTAAAGATTTGTAACAAATATGAACACTCATGGCTCAGCCCTGATCGGCCGGGTCTACGTTTTCTCTGTTGGAGTCTTTGCCCCTCTTCTTGCAAATGTTGATCAGTTTTGCATTGATTTTCTTCAGTTTTTGGTTCTCTTTTATCACATCTGTTAGTTGTTGGTTCTGAAAATATACATACTGTTATAATTAAACATACACATTGTTGGATTGTGTTTACTTGATTGTAATTTACATCAGGGCTGTTGTGGGAGAACACAAGCAAGATTATAGAGTTTTATTTTATTTAGTTTTAATTCAAATCTTACATCTCAATAATAAGCCTTCATTAAAATCTTTTATTGGTGAGAGCGATGGAGAATTTATAGGAAACTAGCTTCTGCCAGCAACTTCACATTACCATGGTACAAAGTAGCGTATATGTTATTCCAGACAATCTATCTCTGTGTAAAATTTAATTGATCAGTTCACTAGATTTTGCGTAAAAATTATCCATCCATCCATACTTACTTTTTGAGATTTACAATAATGGGATACCCCATTGTTGTAAATCTCAAAAAGGATACTATTATTTACTTAGTGAGTTATTATTATACTTAATGAGTGAATGGTGTTACCTGTACGATGGCACTCCCGGTGGCGACGTATATGGCGGATTGCGCGGCGTGTTGCAGCCCCGATATACTCCCTAACTGTTGCTCCAATATTGCTTTCTGCTGCGTCAAGTTCTCAAGAGCCTGTGACCAAAAACATATTTCATTCATACACAACAGACTTCTAATTGACGGGCCTTATTTTGTGAGGGGAAAATCATCAAATGACTTCTCCCGCCCAGGGTCGGGCGGGAGGGAGTGTCAGACTCTTACTAACTAAAAACCCCCCTGTTCCTACTCCTGCTCTAGGCCGAGGTCGCGATGCCTCATTGCGCTTACCCCGCAATCCCGGCTGAACATCAGCCCTATAAGTGCCCCGTCTGTAGTGGGGCCCGTCTGTGGTGTAATTGACGGGCCTTGTGAATATTGAAGTTGCATCACATAGACATAGAGTTTAAGTATCGTTTTATCCTATTATTTTTAATATAAATCGTAACATTATTTCCTTAATCAAAGCCGTTTTTCATTGATTTAGCTTTAAAGATATTTCACAGGTCACAAGCCCGCTCCGCAGACCTCATCGTAAGATGCTCGAGCGTGAGGTGGAAATATTACTAATCCTTCTCCTGGCTGAGATCCGAATTTTATGAATCAGTGTTATTTACAAAATTATCACACACAGCGTTGTGTTTTGCCGTGTGAGTGAGCTTATCGGAGGTCCAATCCCTCCCCCTGCGTCAAACCTTAAATATCCGAAGACATTACATCCCCACGCACCTGTAACTCTTTTGGTATTGCGGGGTATCCATGGATGGCGCCGATCGCTTACTATCAGGTAATCTTTCTAGCTGTCTGTCGACTAATCCCAAAGAAAAAAATGTAAAACTACTCACCGATTTCAAACGTTTGATTTCCTTTGCTTGCATATTTTCTGATAAATGACGCTCACTTCCGTCGCGCTCTACTTGGTAACTTAATAAATCTGTGAATGTTTAAAGGGTTATTATAATGATTACCATAAAATGTTTTAATACTTTTGGTAATTTTATCATACAACATATTATTATAGTTACGCGGGTATTAACGCGGTAAATAATTGGCTTGACGTTTTAGTCTGCTTGTGACTACGACCTGTGCCACCAGGTCGAAACATCAAGCCTACCAAGGAATTCAAATAATAATTATTCTCCGCGTAACTATATGTTGTTAATATGAAACGCGAAAGTTTTAAAGTAATAATCATAAATATACAGTGTCCGGTAATTAATGGATAACCTTGAAATGCCTTTTAGTATATCTTATGGCCCTTCAGAAAAAAAGTAATTTAATATTTTATAAGATAATGTTATGGTTTTATTGTGTGTAACGATACTGGTAACAAATCTAACATACCATCACAAGTCTCCGTTGAAGCGTCTTTGAAATCTATAGTTGACGATCGGTTCTGGTCGTGAAGACTTTGTCGCTTCTTGCGCGTGGAATGAACCCTAGCGTTGATATCGCCTTGGAATTCTTGTAGTTTTGCCTGGGAATAAATTATAAAATATTTTAAACAGATCTTACAAGCTAGTGTCAATAACAGGGTGAATTTAGTTTTCCTACTTCACTAATTAAGAAATTAATGCATATTTCGTATACTAATATTACTTATAAAGATAGAGAGTTTGTTTGAAAGCGCTAATCTCCAGAACTCCTGATTCGAATTGAATTATTTTTGTGTTTGTAAGTACATTTAACGAAGAAGGCAAAACATCATGCTACGACTTGTACGAGCCGAGCAGCGAGTGAAACCCGCGCGACAGAAGTTAGTTTCGTATAAAATGCGTCAAAATATTAGTTATTAGTTAAACATAGTAATTTTCTTATATATCCAGAAGAATGCTTCTATAGCCGTTATAATATTAGGTCACACGAAGGGTTAAAGGATACATATATCATTATCCTTTGTGTTTTGAGTCATACACACGACAAAGCTGCTAATCTTTCTAACGCAAGCCTTCAAATATTCAATTTTACCCCTTAACAGTAAGTCATACTCATTAATTCCAACTAAACTGTAAATAGGGACTTTTGAAACGTCAAAATAGAATAATAGTCTGTCAGCCTGTTCGTAATTGAAGCTAGGTGCTCGTTCCAAAGTGTAGATTAGACCTCATACCTCTAACGTGTTTTTAGCCTCCTTCAATCTGCGGCACTGTTCCTCCTTCTCCCGTAGGTACTGAGCGCAGGTCTCGCATTCATCATCCAGCTCTTTGTACTTCTGTCGCAGCTGCATCAGTTCCTGTTTACACGCTTGAAGCTCGTGTCTGGTTGACTCTAGTTCCCTGTAATTTGCATAAAATTGTGATCATTTGTAATTTTTTTGTTTGTTAGTTCGTCGTCTTGAGTGATCTTAAACCTTATTCGATTCTTTCGGTTTTCGAAACATTTGATGATCGAGTTGATTTCGTCATTATTATATATACGTCGCTAAGTTCTAACACCGGGGAACTCAAATGGTCAAAATGTGTTAAGCATGTCATTGGATAGAGAATCGAAAGACGCGTCATTTGAAGCTTGAGCGTTAGTTTTCGCGATGAAAAAAATATATACTTTTAGTGTAAGTTACAAAATTAGACAGCTTTTTAGTGTCCTGAAAAATTCATTATTTTGAGTTACGCGGTGCAACTTTACGTTTTACAACTTAAGCGAAGAATATACCTTTGATTTGTGTGAGTGGTGGTAGTTAAAATATTTTCCAGGAACATTGGTAAGGGTTGATAGAATAACGGGGAACGCGTAATCACCATCATAATTGAAATTATAAAGCCCAGGTTTCCTCACGATGGTTACCTTCACCGTATGTCAGTAGTGTCTAAATAATCATAGAAAGTACATATAACTCGGAAAAAGTCACATTGGTACTTGCCAGGTTTTGAACCCACACCCTCAAGCATGAGAAGCGGCTGCTAAACCTCCGGGCCACCACGACACACGACAAGCGGGCCAACGCGTAAATACCAATCTAAAATTTTTAAACTTCAAAATTCAAGTTTCATATCTACAGTACCTGTTGCTAGTATTCTTCTCCAAAGCCTTCTGCATCTTAGCGAGCGTATTCTTAAGGTCTTGTTTCTTGAAACGCAACTCTTCAATGGTTTTAGTCAGTTTCTTGTTCTTTTCCACTTCGACGTCGAACGACATGCGATCCACGACTACTGAGTGTAAATTGGTCCAATCTGTTTTTATATAATGATTTTGTTTTAGTTTTGTTCTAATAGTTAGGTAGTTTCCTTAAGGCTTATTTTCCAATGGTTGGATAAAAGTTCGGGAATAATTATTATGATGTCGCGACAGAACATTTGTATAAGGCAGTGACAGCAACAATTTTATTCCACAGATAACACTTATCTGACTATTGAAAAATCAGCCCTAAGTCAAAATTTAATTATTTTAGTTTATTAAATACTATTAACTATTCAAAAGTAATCACACTTTAATTTATTAACTTGGCGATTAATATGGATATTAAAATATGGATATTTTTAGATCACTTTAAAAAAAAGGCTGCTGTTTGACATACTGGCATAATGATGTCAAATGTTGTAATACCACAAAATGAATAGAAAAGTGTAGTTTTTGATACTTCAATAAAAGATGGAAACAACCGATTTGAAAGATTCAAGAGCTTCGTGATTTTAATATTATTACGCTTAATATTCGTGATTTTATTCCACAAATTGACACGTAAAATTTTTAAGTGAAATAAAGAGTAAATGTGAACGTAAAGCTCCTGGCATATTGTAACTACTCGGATTTACGTGAACTTCTGAAAATAAAGGCAGTAACATGCTATTGGAGACTTCAGCAAAGTGCCTGTAACTCCTCTGGTCAATTGCTCTGATTACTTACCATCATGTAATTAGTTTTTTGTTTGCTTTTTTGTATATATATTTTGATTTCTTACCTTCATCAGTATTAACGCCAACATGGGCCACAGTTGTCTTCGATGCGATCTGTTGACTCTGATTGGGGTTCCATGACTGTAACCTTTCTTTGAGTTCTGACACCGTTGTCTGTAAAAATAATTTTACTTCATAATTTTAATTAACATAACACAAATGTTATGAGGCCCATGTAATAATGAGGTTATTGCCTATTTAATCGAATTATTAATAGAGAATTTTGTAATTCAATTTTTATTCAAAACCAAAATTACTACAACGGAACCATGCCACTCAATTGTGCATTTGAATACACTCTAATAATAACTAAGTAGTCCCTTGAGTAACAGTTTTGCCTGGAAGAATGGTCACTGTGTTTGTTTCGATGTCTCATCCCAGAGTTTTCAGAAAAAAACGGTGAATTCATTTATATCCGAACCCTTCTTGGAAATCCCCATACTTATATCAAATTTCATCAAAATCGTTAAGGCCGTTTCCGAGATCACATGTATTTTCAAGCAACTTCAAGCAAATCAGCGCCATCTGTCAGACTGATTTGTGACTCAAACCACCCGCGGCGTCACTCAAACGCATACAGAAATTTAAATCGATCAAGCCGTTTAGGAGGAGTTCAATGACATACACACACAGCAGAATTATATGTATAAAGATATGATAATGTATAAAATAACACCTCAATAATAAACTGTAACTAATTAATCAAAATAAAAAATCAGTGACCTGTAAAGCAGCCTTCTCCTTCTTCAGCCTAGCACACTGCTGGTCCCTCTCCTGCAGATACTGTGCACAAGTCTCGCATTCATCGTCCAGCTCTCTGTACTTCTCCTTTAGCTCCTCCAACTCTTGCTGGCATGAGGCAAGGCGTTCCCTTAGTTGAGCTGCTTCACTGTAATGCAAGTGTTTTTTTTTGTGAGGGGAAAATCTGGAGGGAGTATCAGACTCTAATCTACTGACTAAAAACACCATCGTTCCTTCTCCTGCTCTGGGCCGAGGCCGCGGTGCGTCATTGCGCTTGCCCTGCAACTCCGGCTGTACATCAGCACTACAGGGCCCCGTCTATGATGGTCTATTGGCTATATATTATGAGGCGCGCGCGTAACGATACTCGCCATACGTTCAATGCAAGTTTTTTTGGATCTTAAATTCAATATTTTTGAATATTATACTAATTAGTAAATATTTATTAAAAATTATAGTACGTCTTATACACACGACGTGTTTACAAACATACAATTTACATCCACATCTCACCAAAACCTGAGGAGGGAAATCATCAAATGACTTCTCACGCCCAGGGTATGGCGAGTGGTGTTAGGTGCGGGTGTGCACATAACGTAGCATTTAAACTCAAATCATTAATAAGGAATCCAATCCGATTAAAACACATCAAATAATATAAGTGGGTCTGGGTACTTCAACTAACCTTAGAACATCTCCAGAAGCATCAGATGGTTTCGAATGGTTGAGATCATCGATTAATCTGTTCGAGACATCCATACCTGAAAAAAAAATATTGAGTATTCTCATTATGGTGAGAATTTTAATATTATAATTAAATTATGAGGGAATATTTCTAATTGTTGTTATGGAATAAAAGCCAAACAAGGGGGCGATCTTCTACCGTGTCATCAACAAATTAACAACCCAGAGGCGTTATGGATTACCAACCTTTTAAAGGACAGTATATCTATTTCTTTCAGTTTTTATAAGTATTATTTAGACATTATTTGACATAGAAACATCTTGAGGACACCTGAACTTGATAATTTTTCTTTACAAGTTAGATATCCAATCCGCCTTGAGCACTTATAGGCTGCTGATTATGATGATGTCGATTATGAAATGGTAGTTACCGTGTGGCGAGGGCGTGTGTCGTAGCGATGTCCGGTGAAGATCGTGCAAGCTCTGTCGTCGGCGTCGCGTTGCCAACACGCTGCTAGGGCGCGATCCGGATTCTTCCTCCTAATATAATTATCATTAATAATTTATTCACCAGGTCTGATCGAAATTCAAGAAATCACGACTGGTTTCGAACTCACGGACATGTTATATTGATTAATAATAAGACCAAGTGGGTAATCATGATAATTATTTAGCAAAATGGCCGCTAATTATAACTAAAAATAAAGTAGATTTGGCGCATTAGTTATTCAGTTTATAATTTTATCTTACCTGATCAGTTCGCGTAAAGGAGCTGCTGTCACGGCTGAAACAAAATAAAAAACATGAATAATCACAAGTTTCATACTGATCTGGGTAAAAATAATTATTGAATTAATTTGGTTATTAAACATAATTAAAGCATTAAAGGTTTCCAAAACCTTTAATGCCTTAATTATGTTTACAATACAAATAATATATAAAATAGAAATTACCCTCTACTATTTCTCAGAACAATGGGGCTGCTTCTATTCGACATGTCATCACAGATGTCAGGGAACAGGTCATCAGGCTTAGCACGAGATTCAAATAAGGTTTCAACATAGTGATCTGAAAACAGAAATGAAAAAAAAAATAATTTAAGAGAAAAGCTGAATAAGTCGGCACTTCAGTATCAGTAGGTAGTTGTGAATTGTCAGATTTTTTTTAATCTCAACGTCATTGTGTTGTCTTCTTTGTTGAAAATTAGTAAGAAAAATGTGAATATTAACTATGTCAAAGAATCAAGAAATGTGATTGATTATTTCTTAACATTTTATTGCATTGAAAGTCTTGTAATTTAATTTAAAAATAACCCAATCAACGAATTTCTTGGCACATAAAGTACTTATATGACAAGAAATCTCATACTGTTACTAGAACATGAGATAAAAAAGTTAAGAAACTAAACAAATCATAAGGTCGGTTACCTCCAAATTCGTGTTTATTGTCACTAAGTAACCGCTTGGAATCGTGCAGGCTCTGTCGACGGCGTCTTGCAGAGTCAGTGAGAGCGTCTATAGATGGTCGGGACTTCATTTCCAAAAGTGCTTCCATTTTCGTCAGACGAGCCTACAAAAAAAACAGATATCTATTATTCACAAAATACGTTGCCCAACATTACTATATTCTCTTGTGTCGTGGGTGTTTTACAAACATACAATTTTAGCCCCGAACAACAATGTGTGGATCACACAGAATTTTTCCGTGCGGGAATCGAACCCGCGAAACATAACGCGGCAGCCCGCCTCTGCAACAACCGTGCAGTGATTTTGTATATAGTGAAGTGTAATACATTACAACTGTTTGACAATTATGTTTTTATTAGTATCACATGAATTGGGAGTGAGGTTACACTCTAACACGGAGATAATATTGAGAAATGAAAAAAAGCAGCTGCATACAGTTGACCAAAACTAACAAAAATATTGTCCAATAGATATCACAGTCAAATTCCACTGCCACACACTTATCTGTTTCAGATTCTAATACAAAGCATTCTTAGATACAAAATGTATTAATGCTTAGGTTTTCTTCTCTGCGTGATCGGCATCTCATGCATTCCCAAAGGTCAGGTCAGGTCAGGTAAATAAATGTACAATGAAAAACCGAAGGCATGCATATCTATGAGTATTTTTATACCTCTAAAGTTTCCTTCTCCTTCTTCAACTGTTCTATTTCACCGGTGACGTCATTTGGCAGGACTTCACATTGTTTTTGTAGTACAGCACACTTCTCTCGCAGTTCCTCTACTTGCTTGTTCTTTTCGCTAATCGTAACGTCATCCTCATTCTTTTGCTTTTCTAACCTAAATGTACATATAAAATGTCAATATAGGCTCTAAATATATTTGAAAACATCGCTACCCTTTCTAGAAGAGCTAACTTTTGGATACAGCAGAGCTCTTAGTTTGGTTGTCTCATTGAGGACCTCTTTTTGAACTCCGAGTTTGTAGTATGGCACTCACATCTTATTAATTTAAAAGTCAAATAGGCCACTGTGTTCGTTTTAAATCCACCTAAAATGCAGTGGGATACTACATAAGGTAATCGATGAAAAGTTGGTATATTTTATAAAGTTGGTATAATTGATATACCAACTTTTCATCGATTACCTTATGTATTCCTATTTTAATTGAAGTGTTAAATGCGAGAAAAAAAGATTTATTCGAATTCAGGCTTTGGGTTCGAACCAAGAGGGCAGCGGCTCTTGTGACCGCTACTGACGAGAGATGAGTTATTGTATAAAAAATCTAAAGAAATTTTATGAAACTTACCTCATAATCATTCTAGTTTGTATCTCCGCCGTCTTTTCGTGAGTTTTGATATTTGTCTCGAGCCTAAAGCATTCCTTACACTTCTCTTCTAATTGACCTTTCAATTCCATATTTTCTCTCAACAACTTTTTAGCTTCCATATTCATATTCTCTATTATAATACCATTTTCTCGAACCGACTCTCTAAGCACTAGGATATCAGAGGTCATCTTCTCCATTTCAACATTGTTCTGTTTTAATGTTTCACCAGATTTCAACAATTCCATAGCATAGGAATCCTTCTCTTGACTTATAACTTCGTTTAATGACTTCAAGTGATTCAGATCATTTTGTAATCCTTTTACTGTTTCTATTAGTTTAACCATTTCTTTGTTACTGTTTTCTCTTTCTATATCTATTTCAATTTCGAGTTTTTCAATGAATTGTTCTTTCATAGAGATGGTGTGCTTTAGTTGTTTAATTTCCTCTGACATTTTGTTAATGGCATCAACATGCACTTTATTTTCTTCATGCAATGAAGTCAGAGCCTGCACTTTCTTCTCCTTTTCCACCAAATCCATAGTAATGCCGGCATTAATTTCTTGCATACGCTCATTGCGGGCTTTAAAATCTTGTAATTCCTTTTCTCTCTCTTCCAAAACTTGTCTTAGTTTGTTTAAGTCTTGAGTAAGATTTTCCTTCTCGTTGTCAGTATTATTCTTATTTCTATATTGGTTTATGACATAATCAAATATCAGGTTAATATTACCACAAGGTGACGCTTCCCAATTAATGTCAGTAGCATTTATTATGTTTAGATTTGAAAGTTTTTGACAACAATGACTAATAGTTTTGTTCAAATCTTTCTCTCTAGTGATTATATCTAAGGTGACAGCCTTGGAAATTTCTTGGATTCTTTCGTACTTAGCTTTAAGAGTATTGTATTCAAGTGTTTGTGCAGATAACTGATCCTTGGCCTGATTAAAGCAGGTATTTACTGAACTCAATTCCTCAGTGAGACTCTCCATCTTTACCTGTAATAGTGTGTAGCGTTCCGTCATTGCGTTCAATTCACTTTGTTGCTTATCAACTATTTTATCATTAAGTGTTTCGATCATTTTGGAACTGGATAACCCTAATTCGTTGTCTAAAACTTTAAAGAAATCTTTATACACAGTGACCAATTTCGTAGAGTCAACATTAGTAACGTCAATAACTTGTTGGTTTAGAAATTCTATGTTAGCTTTTATTTTCGCAATGGCCGTAACGAAAGTGTTATAATTTTGATCTTTATGTTCGAATTCCAAGAGCAATTGCGAATGTTTCTCCTTTAAGTAAGCAATTTGAATTTCCAATTGACCTGTGTTTTCATCATAATCTTTTAATTTATTTGTCAAGTTCTCCACTTCATTAGTATGTTTAATTATGAAGTGTTCATAAAATGTTTTCATAAGATCGATTATTTTGATATTTTTGTTGACATTATCTCTGTTAACTCCAGTCTTTTCAGCGTAGTAATTTAAACAGTCTAATTTCTCCATTACGTAAATATCTGATGGTTGTTCTTCTGGAATATCTGGCATGCTACATTTTCTCGATTGAGGACTGTTCATGAAAAAGTCTTTACTCAACAAATACGTATTGGAATCTCCCATGCTGTCATCGAAATCCATTACGATATTACTACGGTCCAAATGATTTTTAATCGTGGCGACATCTTCAGTTATCTCTTTGCAGTCTTCTCTACCAGCATGCAATTCACTTTGCAATGTGCATATTTTATTATACCTAGATGAAGTGTCAGAGTCGCTCAGACTTCTGTTTAGTTTGCTATGAGAATTTGCAATTTTCGCTTCCATTGCTTTTATCTGGTCATCCTTAGCTAAGCACTCTGAACAAATTGTATACTCAGATGATTGACTACTACCTAGTTCTTTCAATGATTGTTCTAACTTGTTACATTTTTCCAAGAGCTCACTGTTTAGCATTTTCGTACTCTGCAATTCTTTTTCTAAGTTTTCTGCTTCAGAAATATTTTCCATTACTTGTGTCGATAATGAATCGTTTTCTTCTTGTAAGTTTTTAAGTTGTTCAGCCTTCATATTAAGTGATTTACTAAGTTTATCGAATTCAATATTTTTCATATTAAAATCTTTTTCTAAGTCATTCAATTTCTTGATTAGAACATCGGTGGAGGGTATTTCTAGTATCAAATTATTATATTTCAGTTCGATTTCGGCCTTTTCATTTCTAACGTGCAATAATTCATTAGTAAGTAATTTCAGTTCGTCACTTGACGTTTCGTGCAAGTGTTGAGAGTCATTTGACTTCTTACATTGTTCGCACATATAAAGAACATTAATACCATCATTGTTTGAAACCATATCTTGATTCTCAGATTTACAAGGACTAGTTTGTGCATCAGTCATCGACTGTTTAGTTTCGTTGTACTGCTTGATTAAATTCCGGAGTTTTTCATTCTCCTCTTGTAAAATATTATAACTCTCCAATATAGCTTGATGATCATGATTAACAACACGCATGCTTTGTTCGACTGTTTTATCTAATTCGTTTGATCGAGGTGACACTTCTTTGTAGGACTGATTTAAATCTAAACAAGTCTGATCATGTCCAATCAATGTATTATCTACGGTTGTCATTGTTATGTTAGTGTCTAGCATCAAAAGATCTCCGTCTAAAGTAGATTCGTTTTTAAAGTTTGTCAGTGCCGTACTACTGTCTAATACATCTGGGAGTGAATATCTCTTAAAACTGGCGTTTTGTTGGTCAACAAGGGAAGGATCTCCTTTCAACAAGGTAAGCAGTTTGCGAAGCTGCCTGCTTAGTTCAGGAATGTCCCTTTGGCACACATTGTGGAAGCGACTATGGTGATGTTGTAAAGCCTTCACTTGAAATTCTAAAGATCTATTTTCAGCGTATGTTGTAGCTGTTAGGATCGATATATTTGTTTTATGATTAAGTATTTGCTTTTGTAATTCTTGCGCAGGTGCAACCAACAGTTCGACTTCCCGACGTACTTCTTCTTGTTCTTGAATAAGGTGCTGGTTCACAGCTTCCAGTTGCTCTAGAAGGTCGAGGGTTTTAGAGTTCTCTTGTCTAACGGCTTCAAGTTCCGAAGTAAGTTGTTTACACTTACACGGATTGCTTACTGTGTAAGTTTTATTGGAGATATCCGAGACATTAGCACTAACAGTCGTAGTTTCAGACTCCATCTTTTTAGGTAGTGAGGTGTCTACAAAGGCATTGCAGCATAACGTAAGCAAGCTCGGTGGTGAAGATATATCACTACGCACAGTATCCATTTTATCAATGCCGTAGGAATCTTTGTGTTCGTAAGTTACAACTGAATGCGATGCAGACTTGCGTCTATTGCCTGCAAGGCGAGATTTAAGCTTTTCATTTTCTACTTTTAATTCGTCCATTTGTTGTTTCATTATAGAATCAAGATTTTCAAACTGTTCTTTCCATGTTTTTACTTTCGTCTCCATTGTCGATAATTCCTTAGATTTCGTCGTAAGCTCTGATTGTAGAGATGTCAGGATATTTTGACTCATTGACAAATCTTTATTTAGTTGTTTATTGTTTTCTTGAATTGTCTGCAGCTCAAGACACATTTCATCGTGTTTTCTTCTAGCTTCAGTTAGGTGTTCAATGAGCTCAAGTTTATTTTGTGTGAGCTCAACAATTTCTTTCTTCGCCTCTAATAGTAACTCGTTAGTTTGCTTATTTTCTACATCAACATTTTTCATGCTGATAAATGTGATGTGATTTCCTATGTTGTCTAACGTGGACAGAATACGGTGGTACATAGCTTTGCAGTCACTATCGACATCGCCGCATAAATCGTTTTGGATATTAAAATGAATTGCAAATTCTGATATTTTTTTAAACAGACTACTCATCAATTCTTCTCGTTCTTGTTGTGAATTTTTAATTTGTTCTTCAACAACGATCATTTCGGAAATCTTGCCTTGTAGCTCCAACTCTTTTCCTTCTAACTGGGCAATAAGATCATCTGTAATACTTTTCTTTTCAGATAAGGCATGGTCTAACTTTTCTTTTTCTGCATTTAAATCAGCAATTTGTTTCTTACACGTTTCTAAGGCTTCTGCATTTTGATTGAGACTAACTTTTAGATTTTCAATCTCTGACATTTTGCAAAGTAGTTCTTTTTGTGTTTTTTCAAGTTCGTAGTACAATTCGCTGATTTTTGTTGACAATTTAATTATCTCTCGACTTTCGTCGCTTTCCTTGTCCTTAAAGTTTTGTATTTGTTCTTGAAGTGCGGATATTTCAGAATTGTGTTTAGAGGTTAATTCTTCGAATGTGGCTTTTAGGTTCGCGTTATTCTTTATAGCGTCTTCTTTTTGTTTGACAACATCACTGGCAACGTTTTCTAAAGTGTCCATGCTGTTTGTTAGAACACTAAAAACATTAATGAAGTTGTCTATTATTTGCGGCACCTCTTGGAAGTTGCCGGTTAGTGTGCCCAGTATCACTTGTAATTTAAGGACAGCCGTTTTGGCACTAAGCAAGTTTTCCTTAGATTCTGCTTCTTTATTATTTAGGGAAGATATAATACCCTTTTTCTCGCTTATTTCCGACTCCAATTGAACAATATTGTTTTTCATGTCTTCAATAGTTTGCAACAATTGTGTATTGATCTCAGATAACTCCTTTTCCGTCACATTTTTATTTGCAATAGACTGAGTGAGACTGTTATTCTCTTCTTGTAGTCTTTGTATGGAAATCTCATTTTCTCTGTTAACCTTTTCAAGTTCGCTCGTTTTATGCTCAAAGATAGAGATTTTTTCCGAATGTTCATGTTCGACCACTTTGAGAATATTATTTTCGTATCTCAATTTGTTAATACTGCTAATGTTTTCATTAACTTGCTTGTTGAGGTCATCTATTTCTTTTGTTTTCGACTCTATTTCTTTGGTAAGGGTTAAATTTTCTAGTGCTACATCTCCATTGGTTTCCATAGTGGATCTTAATCTATCAATTTCTTTGTTTCTGGTTTCAAGAGCAATTTTAAGGGAATTAATAATGTTTCGCATGTTCTCGTTATTGGCGATAAACTGCTCTTCATTAGCAATCATGGCTTCTAATGTACTATCATTGATTTCGACAGTTGGTAGGCTTTCAATATGTTCCTTTTGAGATACTTTAATTTGTAATTCTTGTATGAGAGCGTTATATGATTCTATGTCGTTGTTAGCCGTTTCCAAATTTTCTTTTTGACCCTTTACGGTTGAATTCAACGTATCAATTGTAGATTTCAGAATGGAGTTCTCATTTTCCATATATGTGAGTTTCTCTTTGAATGTCTGTATTTCTTCATGAAGATTTTTGTTAAGATTTTCTAAGGTGGATATTTTTTGTTGGTGTGCGAATATGTTGGCTTCTAGCTCGATAATATTTTTGCTCTTAGTATTTAGTTGTGAATTTGAGTCGGCTACTAATTCGCTGATTTGGTCGGTCTCATCATCATTCGTGTTGACAATACTATCACTGTCGCTGTTGACGAGGGATATGTCTTTCGAAATGTCCATAAAGTGAATCTCCTTGTCTAAAGTGCGAGATAACACTTTGCCTGAAAAAATACATAGTATGCATAGTTCATACAATTAATGTATTATACATTCTACATTTATTGAAAATAACGAATTACGTGAATTAACTGAGAAAAGCTCTATTAGTTTCAAATCACAACGGGACTCTTATTCATAAAAGTAAGTGTGGGAGAGCCACTCTTCGGCACAAATGGGTCGACTGGACCGGAGTGATATCACAGCCTCACAGAAAACCGGCGTGATATAACCAAAGAGTTGTATTTCGCCGTGTGAGTGAGGTTACCTGAGGCCCAATCCTTACCCTACCCCAATCCGTTCCCTTTCCCAAAATCACCAAATCCCTAATTCCCAAAAGGTCGACAACGCACTCGGAACTCCTCCGTCGTTGCGGGTGTCCATGGACGACGCTGATTTTTTACCATCAGGTAATCCGTTTGCTCGTTTGCCGAACTATCACATAAAAAAAGCGTGTGTGTCGCGGCGACGTCGCACAGACAACTGTTAGCTCCCGTTGTGACTTGAACTAGTATTACAGAACTCTTATCGTTAACCGATAAGAGTTCTGTAATAATCACGAGTAAATTATTATTAATTTTTTTTTTGAAATTGTGAAAAAGGGCGTTAGGATTTTTATAGTATTTACCAATATCATCTGGTTTCTTATTCTTGGCCGTCATTTCTTCAAGTAGAGAGAGCAGTTCTTCCTCTCTCAATTTTGCTTTGTTTCTCAGAGTCTCGTAACTCACCTCGGCGTCTGTCAGTCTAGTATTGTAGTACTCACATTGTGACGACAAATCGTTCTGTGAAAAATATTACTTGAATATCCTGCCAATATTATAAACGCTAAATTTTAAAGTATAGATAGATGTTTGTGCATTTCCATTCTCGGAACCATAGGGTCTAGGGGCCAGGGCCGAAGCCAACTCGCAGAGGCCGTTTGAATAACTTTAATATTAGTGAAGTAGGACATCAGCCGGTTAGTCATGGGTGTGGGTGTGGGTGGCTATGGGCTGGTAGATGATAGCTATGGAAGTCCTATGGCTCCTGTCTCTTACCAATATTGAAACATTTTTAAGGGGAGTTTCTCCTGTGTCGTGAGTGCGTTTACAAACATACAATTTCACAAACACATCACACCCAGACCCGGAACAACAATTTGTGGATGACACAAAGAGTTGTTCCGTAAGGGAATCGAACCCGCGACACATTGCAGCCAGTTGCCCAGCCACCGCGTCAACCGTGCGGTCAATATGGATAAAAGATGTTTGTTATTGTTACTATTCTACCAAAAAAAAATGCATGAATTTCAATGATATTTTGTAGATTTCTAAGACACATTTACATGGTACAAGTTTTGCCTTTTGCACAACACAATACGTATGGTAATTATAAAATATGAGCCCTAAATTTATTGCACTTGTTTGTTCAAGGAATATAATATTTTGTTAAAAAAATTTCGTCATCCCACAGATAAATCTTTTTTGGTATCAGTTGATTGCGTATACGAACACGTTGGTACGTACGTGAATGCGTGCTGCAGATTGAGTGTGTGAGTGTGTGTGTGAGTGAGTGAGTACGTGCTTGTAACTTTATAATCGTGTATGTGGTGAGAATCCCAAATTGTTTCGCAGTTCGTTAATTATACTTACCTTTGCCGAGGTTAGAATTTTGATGTCTTCCTCAGTCTTTTTGATTTGGCTTTTCATATTTTCCATTTCCGAGTCTTTGGCTAGGCTCTGTTTACTGAGTATATCAATTTGGTCTTGCAATTTCGCTATCACAGTTGCGTTACGCTCTAATTTTTCTATATATTCAACCTGAAACAATATATCACGTATTTTGTTCTTCAGAGGTATCTACATGTATCTAATTTTTGCTGTCTTGTATAATAGACAAGTCTATTATAGGGCTTGCCTACTGACATCGACGATTCCAGAATTCGCGATGTTACCGAAAATATTTTCGTCAACTTATGCTAGAATCGATTAGTAGTGAGAGTAACAAACAAAGAGGTATTCGTCAAAGAATAGTATGTATGTATTGTATACACAATATTTAAAACATAAACAGATTCCTGAGGATGATAAATGAAATGAATAACTTACCACATTAGGAGAATACATTTTTTCTCTTTCAGTTAGTTCCATAATACCCTTAAGGTTCTTTTCAGCCTCTTTGGCATTCCTCCTAAGTATACAAGGAGGTGTTTTTGTTGCAGCTAAAATAAAACAAGACATTATTGTACTTAATCCACGGAAAATACACCACTTTTATGGTATTTTCGAAATATATTTCTATATTGATTAGATTACCGTAACATTTATGGATTGGTGAACAAGTTTGGACGTCTTCCTGCGTCGAGTCGTCATCGCTGTCTGTAACAAACACGAAATGAAAAATTTCAATGAGTAAAGAAAAAAGTGATGTGACAATAGAAAGGATCAAAGTTTAACAAATAAAAATTTAGTTAAAAATTGATTATGTGGACAGTTGCATCGTGTAATTTTGTACTGTGTAGTACCACGTCGCATCATTTTTCTCGTTGAGGCACGATACATCATAAAGACACTTACCAAGTTCAATAACCTCATTGAAGAAGACAGTTTTGGCAGGAGGCGGAGTGATGAGACGGGGCGGCTCCTCGGGTACTGGGGGCAGCTTGTCCGTAGCCAAGGGCAGAAAATCCGTCGACTTCAGGATCAAACTGGGGCTGCAAGCAACACACTTATCAATGATGGATGTTTGTTTGTGTATCGAAAAAATCATGTTTTAAAATGTTTTTTTTTTTCATAGGTCGGCAAACGAGCACACGTATACCCTGATGGTAAGCAATCAACGTCGCCCATGGACACTTAATACCAAAGGAGCTACACATGCGTTGGCCTCTCGTGGGTTATTAGGGATTTAAGGATAGGGATCCTTAAATCCCTAAAAGGCCACATTTGAGTATTGAGGATGGGGGGAGGGGAGAAGAGTTGGACCTCCGATAACCTCAGTCACACGGCGAAACACAATTTTATTGTTGCTTTACGCCGGTTGTTTGTAAGGCCGTGGTATCACTCCGATCGAGCCGGCCCATTCATGACGAAGCATAGCTCTTTCACACTTTTTTTATTTTATTGATGATTAGTTGTTTTAAGCATACTTACTTGTACTTCAAACTAGGAGTGCAGAACTTGGGTATGTTGCTGACTGGTTCATCATCAGGTAGAGAATACGTAGATATGGTTATCCTTCTCGGTTGTTGCAGTTTGCGACGGGTACCAGTCATGATATCTGTACTCTGTCGCTGTGCGAACCCATTTAAAATGAGCTTCTGCAACTTTGCAATCTTGCTTTGTAATTTGTAGTTGTCATTCTGTAAGAGTTACATGATACGTTAATAATTACACTGAAAAGGAAAAGGTTTGAGTATTAATATTGATCATGCTTACTCAAGGCGGATGGGCCGTAAGTATGATGACTAACTCAGCGAATTATGTTATTAATTTCATGATGTTATAACTTTTAAATTATAAAATGTTATTATTGAAAATTATAAAAATACATTTTAGCTTATTTTTTACAATTTTACGTGTATGATTTTGGCAGGACCGAGGATTATGTCTCCTTTATTCTCTCTCTCTCTCTAATTGGAAAGCATTAATCTATTTGGTGCCACCGACTCGCTCAGAGAGCCCAAGTAAATTTTATTCCAGCGCCGTGGACTCGCTCAGCGAGTTCAACGTAAAATGCACGAAAAATGTAGGCGGAATCCGAGATATCATTGTGAAAATCATAGTAATGAAAATGTTAAATGTAGATAAATTTTAATGTTCAAACCTCTAAATTCTTCTTGCTCTCCAACTGGGCCTGTAGTTTACACATCTGCTTTGTAAGCCGCTGTATCATGGTATTGTCGGTAGTGACCACTGCATTCACCTCTGGATTATTCTTTATAGCTTTAGCTCGATTTGCGAATCTAGAAATAACGTAGCATATTTTACTAATACTATAAATGCGAAAGTTAAAAAAAGTTGTGGTTGTTCCACGCCGACTTTCTATGAGGTCGTGGTATATCAGTCGAGCCCACCCATTCGTGGGCCAAAGCTTGGCTCTCCGGAACTTGCTTTAAAGTGAATCACTAACAAGTACATGAATGTTTACAAACTTTACATGTTAAGTGGGTTTATGTTTATCAATTTAAGGAAAAAAATCAAATATGTCACTATATTTCTTGATACTTACTGTAAAGTAGAAAGAGTTTCTTCGACTGCCGCCGGTGTTACTGCACAAATGATACTGGTTTTCGCATTTCCACCCAATGAGTTCTGTAGTATACGAGTCAGTTTGCTGTCACGGTAGTTTGTGAACCTGTAATGAAGATGTATAGCTGAGTTATATAGGAGACTAATTTCTACCCACGGCTTCGTAAGCGTTCAAAGGTCAAAATTGATAGTTCGACTAAAGTATTCAAATCAATAGTATAATTTATAGCCCATAGCATTCAGGAATGTTGTATGTATCAGTGAATAAATTTTGGAAATCTGACTAGAGGTTCCAAAGATTACTCCCTTCATACAAATTAACAGTTGTTACCTCTTTATAATATTAGTATAGACAAACATCACAATAAACACGTACACATTAGGGCGGAAACTAGTGGTTTTATGTATTTATTTTGTAGTGACCTACCCTATCTATCTAACCTAATCTATTTTCTCAATTATGTTCTTCATCTATCTACCTATGTTAAATTCTTAAATTCTAAACTATTTCTATTGTTATTAGATGCATATTATTTACTATTAAAAATACTAAAAACTAAATATTTATTCTTATATAAAAACCATAAATTCATTCTATCAATATTCACAATTTGTATTATATAAGTTAAATATTATTTTCTGTACAAAACTACTTTTCTTATTAGTAGATAGTTTATCAATGTATGACGCGCTCAGGTACTCGTGCGCCGACTCGGCGACCGGTCCGCCCGGTACGTCACAGCCGCGCGAGCGAGACCGCGCTATATTGATCTTGCGCTCACGCACTGCACTACTGCACTGTGCTGCGTCACGCAATGACCACACAGTTCGAGTTAGCTTTTCGTTCGAGCTATCGAGCTAACCACCGTGCTTTCTAAGTCTAGCTTTCTTAGTGCCGCTAGTGCTAGTATTAACAGTAGACTGTCTGTAAAGGTGCTTGTGCTATTCACTCCTTCTTTCTGCTTTCTTCTTATGTGTATCTGAACTGTACGTGTACTCTGTGTGCAATAAACTTTCATACTTTCTGTTGTGCACCCTGGACGCTTTATTTCTTCGCCTCCTTACTATCGCCGTACCCTACACATACCCTACAATTTATATTATTTTACATATAGTATTTTACACATTTTTCATGAATAGTTTAGTATAAGTAGTCTTACTTGTTATCTTCAGACAGTTGTTTGATGACTAGAGCGAGGGCTGAGAGTGACTTATTGATATGCGTGCCCTCCTTAAGTCGGATGCCGGTGGCACCAGTCTGGCCACTTCGCTCTGACCCCGCGAGGTCCACCAAGTTCAGCTGCGACACGTTCACGCAGCCAGGTTCTTCCTCACCTTCGATATGCTTCCGAGATTCTATGATCTGTAATAATTGTATGGTTTGTTACTAGCTTGTATAACAAACCACAAAGAATGGGAGAGCCATGCTTCGACAGCAGTTCCTTTCCCCTAATCCCTAATCCCCAAAAGGTCGGCAACGCACTAACTCCTCGCGTGCTCCATCATTGTGCGGGTGTCCATGGGCGGCGATGATTGCTTATCATCAGGTAATTCGTCTGCTCGTTTGCCAACCTAAATATGATATAACATCCTATAATATCATATGAATAAAAATGATCATATGACAGATTAGACAGCTCACAGACGTGAACACAGCAAGGCTTGTTTATTTTAGCTATTTTCACAGCATTATGTCGTACGGAATTTTGCTATGGGGTCGAGCTGCGGAAGTAGATTCAATATTTATTTTGCAAAAGCGGGCTATCCGAGCGATATATAACTTGTCCCCTCGTGAATCTCTGAGAGAACTATTTAAAACGATAAATATCCTAACGGTACCTTGTCAGTTTATATATGAAAATATTATGTACGTAAGGAAAAATTTGCAATTATTTGAAAAAAGAAGCGATAGACACAATTTTAATACTAGAGGCAAAGATAGGCTGGCTGTGCCACGATTCCGTCTGTCCAAAGTACAGAAATCCTTTATGGGGTTCTGTGTAAATTGTTACAATAAAATTCCAAGAAGTGTATTAAATCTTAATGAACGAAAATTTAAAACTTATATTAAACGCGAATTGTGTAGACAGGCATACTACAAACTTTCAGATTATATTGAGGATAAGAATGCCTGGCAGCATGTTGGTTCGGCTCCACTGGACAATTCTCAAATATGTAGTCAGTAGTTATTAAAATTCTCAAAATTAATGAAACTTTGAATGAGTTTATATAGAAGCATTCTTTTGGATTGTGAGTACGCATATGTGAGCGCCATGTACGAAACAACAAAGGATTAAAATTTTAATGATAGATTAAATAGACCATAATTTGTTCCTTTTTATTAACAACTTGTCTCTGCATTGTTCTCACATAGGGGTACAGTAATGTATAAAAAATGTATTATTGATGAATTGTAAAACAAATATTTTTTTTAAAAGAGTAACGATGGAGTTTCTTGCTCGTTCTTCTCCATTCGAAACTACAATTTGGAACGAGCACCTAGCTTCACTGACGAACAGACTGACAGACTACTATTCTATTTTGACGTTTCAAAAGTACCTATTTATGGTTTATTTGGAATAAATGATTTTGATTTGATTTGATTTGAATGTTTATCGATCTCATGTTTATCTCTCATGTTAAAGTGACCAAGTACATCCTTTTTTTCTTTAAAAATAAACTTTGGAGTAGGAGAACTATGATTTCTTCCTGTGTCGTGGATGCGTTTACAAACATACAATTTCGCATACACACCACACACCTGAAACGTCAATTTGTGGATCACACAGAGGTGTTCCATGCGGGAATCGAAACCGCACTGAAACAAGTTGCGCCGCAGCCAAAGCCTAAAGCCACCTAACTAATATCATAATTATGATCTTCTCGTTTTTAACCTCTATCACAAGAACCTGGCCATAGTTTTCGATGGGTTATAATATTATTATTTGCAAATGTCTATAGATGTGTAATAAGTGATACTAATAACATACAAATAGATGTCAAGGCCGAATGAAACGTGTGTAAATCTGACAGAACGTATTTGATTTACTGACATAGCAAATATATTGCAAGCTTATTTACACTTAGAAGATTTCATTATGTCAGTATGTTTGTACTGAGTAAAAAAATAACTTTGTATATTTTTTTTGTGGACAAACATTGTTTTGCGTGTGGGTGTATCATACACTATTAAGTCATACTATTTCTAAAAAAGGTGCAACAAGGTTGAATGCCATATTTTGTGCCCACACAATGTCTTTCAAGTGCATAAAACTTATAAAGAATGCTTTTAATTTAAAGGATACAGATGGATTACGCAGTTTTAAGCGATCAGCGCCACCCATGGACAGTCACAACAATAGATGAATTACAATTGATTTGCTGGCATACATTATGTGCATAGAGTAAATATATTGTAGTAGTACAATATAATAAATAATACTTCTAAAAATAACGGCGTGAAACAACCATAGCGTTGTGTTTCGCCGTGTGAGTGAGGTTACCAGAGGCTCCATCCAAAACCTTTATCCCCAAAAGGTCGGCAACGAACTCATAACTCCTTTGGTGTTGCAGTTGTCTATTAGCAGCGCCGATTGCTTACCATTAGGTAAACCGCATTGCATACATATCCAATAAAAAAAAAATATCATTGTTGAATCACTGCATTTTGAATTAAATCCTTCAGAGATATAAAGCATAATCTTTTACTTAGCTCATGCATTTTACTTGTTCTAGTTCTATGTTTATGCAGAGATGACTTCAGTTGATAAAAATAACTTTTTTTTACTTAAAGAAAGTAAATAATAAATATTTATTCTTACTATTTGGAATATGGAATGTGATCTGCTACTTTCTTCGTTCATTTTCGTAGCTCCCTTTTGCCTATTTGCTTCACCCTGTAGGAGAAAATATATTATTTTTATTACTCAGTAATATCTACCTATTATCGAGCTTTCGACCTTATCAGTAGATATGCTGAATGGCATTTTATAATTAGTCTCATATTATATTATTTTATTAACTCATATTAAGTAGACTAAAACCACATTAGAGACCTTTTAAAAATACATTTGTTTTATTTTTTATTATGGATAGAACCCAACATAAAAGGAATAAAATTAAAAATATATATTTTATAACAAACATACCCCTACCCACCACACTCATTCCATCCACGTCTGAATGTAAGCCTTATCCAAAAACATAAAATCAAATTTTATATAGGTACATAACAACCATGACAATGTTTCTATAAAATAGTATAGCAAAAGGTACACATACATATGCAAAATAAAGAATCAACTTTTATTGCAAAAAATTTGGCTTTAGTTTAAACATGTTACATACAATTTTGACAATATTATTATCTTAACTGGCACATCAGTACTGTTGAATGCAAATTCTTTACTAACTTAAGTCACCAGCATTTATTAATGAGAATAAGACAGAGAGAGGAAGTAGCATTAATAATCATTGATGGTGGCTAACTGATTAAGGTACTAAATGCCATAAAAGTGTTAATAATTCATACAGCATAGTTGTAGGTCATTATTTCGTCAAACCCCAAACCTGCACCTATTGTTCCTTCGTACCTTGTATTATGTCTTGAATCACCACAATTGAACAGTTAATAAATATAAAAATTTATTCATAAATTACCTCTCTCATTACTTCCATTATTTCTTCAGGAGTAGATGTCACTTTTTCCGTTACATCCACTTTGATAATACCTTCAATTGTGTCATGAATTTTTATGTTTTCTTTTTCAATATTCAGTAAATCTCTAACAGTTTCATTGTAGATCTCTATGTATGACGCTCTGCAAAAAATAACAGTACAAATATGTTGAAAGCACAAATCTAACTCACTTAAAATAAAACTTTGTGTCCACCAATATAAATATATATTTTAACAAATATCCAACAACAACTACTTCTTAAAATACCTTCTCCAAGAAATACCCGAACAGTCCTGTGGTTTATCCAGAATCTAGACAGTACATAGTATTATAATCTTTTGTTAAATTGTAACATAAAAAATCAACACATTTTTTATTGTGTAAGGTTTCTAATCAGTAATTTGAATATTACTTATCTAGCCTAGAATAAGACTCTTTAGAAAAACTTATATAATATTTATGATAAAATTAAATTTATTATCATTATTTATCTGATAACTTCAGCTACTTAATAGCAAATTTTTTTAGCAAAAACTAATCAAATCATTCAATGTCATTTTTTTATTTACATAGCCTTTATAATTGAGAATTTTATCTTGTGTGTTGATGTGTGTTTAGAAATACATATTCCTTTGAAATTATGCATCTACCTTTGTGAGAAAGATTTTCAACTTCCATAAAAGGGTATAAGTAGATAGGTAAGTCTTGTTCGCATCTGACAAGTTCAATGTATATGTTTCAATAAGATAAACCTTTTAGAAATTGTATGTAATACTTTACTAATATCACTTATTTGCAGCAATTAATTTTCTTAGTCTAAAGTTCACTAGTAAACTAAGTTATTTTGAATATACCATAAGTTCGGGTTACTTTGATCCTGGGAGGTAACTTTGACCAAAATTTTCGAACCAATGAAAAACAAATATTTGTTTGGTTCGCAGTTATTTTTGGTTAAAGTGTTTGGATCAAATATGCCCCGCAGGGTCAAAGTAACCCGAACTTTCCGGTATGGTATATTCTGCATAAAATATTATACAGACAATAGAATAGTAAAACTCAATATGCAAATAAGATAAAACATGGACATATTCAATGAGAGCAAATAAACCATCTTACCTAACTAAGAAGTCCCGATCAGGCACATTTCTGATGATATCAAATAAATTAAGAACAGCTAACGGAATGATTCCAGGCGAGTCATCTGTGCCTGTCATTGTAAATGTTTTGCCTGAAGACGTCTGTCCATAAGCAAATATTGTGCCGTTGAAACCAGCCGTTGCGGCTTCGACGATAGGCTTCGCGATCTCATCATATACAACCGAAGTCTTCGTATCCTGGTCATACACTCGGTCTGGAAGAACATAGATCGCAATTACTTAGCCTTACTTAGAGTTAGCCTTATAATAAGGTATCGTATTAAAGACTCATTAGAATTATTATGAATACATTAAACTGGCACTGGCTAATTGAGGTTTATTAAAGTTTCACTTACCAAATGTGTAGTATTGACCATTGTCCTTCCCATTTTGATCGAGCTGGTACAGCGTGTTATTCTTCACCCGCCACCGGTACGAAAGTTTGCCTTCAATTTCACGTATAATTAGAGGTCTAACTTTGACAACTACTTTTATATTGTCACTCATTTTATAACATTATTTTATCACTGATCCTTAATGTAGAAACAATATTAGTAAAATTAGGCATAGATTTCGAGCACACACTGCATGTTCATCATTTTTACCGTCTCACCAAGAAACAAACATAAACAGAAACAGAAGCAGAACACAGAAATAACCGACATACGATTCTTAAAATTTTAAACTGAAAAAATAGAATTCGAGCTAGTGATGTACTGAAATCGACTATCGAATAATCGTTTTCATAATATTGTTTTTTTTTTTATAAAGTCAAAATTCATAATTATTTATTTCAATAGACCCATACAGACACTTTTGAACGTTAAACAAAATTTAAAAGATATAAAGAGTCAGTCTATTTGCATTGGGTTCAAGGTATTTGCATTAGGTTCAAGGTGGAAAATATGTAGTTTTGTTGTGAAATATGGAGCATAAACTATAACAGCTCCCATATTACAAGAAATTCCAAAACTTTAATATTTAATTAAATTTTCTACACAAGATTTCTACATTTATATTATAACAATCCAAAATAGTGATACATACTCCATACACACAAGATAAATACTAGTTTTTATTTTTATCGCGCATTTCTCTACACTGTTATAATATTATTAACAGGTAATATTTGTAAGTTTGTAAGTTTGTATGTAGGAGGTAATCTTTAGAACCGCTGGTCGGATTGCCAAAATTCTTTCACTGATAGATAGCTACAATGTTCCTGTGTGCTACAGGCTATAAAACATCACACTACAATTAAGTGGAGCCGAGCAGGGGGTGAAACCGCGCGGTAGTAACTAGTTTATACTATCTATGCTAAAATGATAAAGAGGTAAAGTAAGTTTGTTTGTACAGGGTAATTTTTGGATCCGCTGGTAGGATTGCCTAAATTCTTTCTGTGATAGGTATATAGCTACAATCTTCCTGAGGGCTATAAAACATCACGCTACGCTCAAATGTAGCCGAGTAGCTGGTGAAATCGCGCTAGAATAGCTAGTATCAAAATATATTAGAAATGATAGTCATTTACATTCATGTTTGCGTTATTGTTAGTTCTAATATCTTGACATAGCAAGAAAACGGCGTGTATCCCTCAACGTTCTATTGCGCTTTACTTGTAATTTCGTGTTCAAATTCTTATTTAAATCTCATTGGAGGAGGTCAATATTAAAATCTTAAATTTAATTTCATTTAGACAAACTAATTTTGCCCATTTTTTCTCCAAGGTTGGAAATGGGGCTCTATTGCCGGTCATCTCGGGCAGATGAAGAAGAATACGAAGCTCCTATTTTGCGTCCAATTCATTGTGTAATTATATGGACGGAACATCGCCATAGTGTTGATTTCCGTAGTAGTTTTCATTAAAATCTGTCCTACACCATCCATTTTGCCACCACCACCTTTACTGATCTGTAATAGCTGAATACCCGCACTGGAGACAATCAGACACAGTGCAGATATCCAACTATTTATATATTATTACACATGCCATCTCTTAGGATGGTCTCATCATCTTTTGTGCCGTATCAGTCGTCTGTATCAAGACTAAGAATTGTAGGATCGTCCTCGTAGGTCCGCAACAAGTGTCAGTCGGGTTCCAGTTTAGTAAGAAGAAAGAAAACCTTGAAATAATAAAACCAATAAATAGTTTGAACTAACATACATCTTTAAACAATTACAATTCTTTTATTTGTATAATAACAAATGCCTGGTCTAAAACCTCACAGATACTTATATATAATATTATGATAAATATTCAAGTACAATTGTAAAAATGTTGTATTTATTTATTTTAAATTTGTATCTAGATAAATTTCCAACACTGATCTAAAATACTTGTGTAGTAGGTAGTCTTTTTTCCATATTTTAATTTTATACTACGCACATTTAAATAGTATGTTTTCTTCCATGTGTGGTACGTGACTATCACATTATAATGTTGCCATTGACAATTTCAATTTTCAAACGGCCGTTGTTGTCATTCATTGTCACTTGTTACGCTTGTCAGATGTCTTGTCAGTCGGATTTCATGTCGAGTGCTTGAGTGTGACATTGTGAATTTTTAGGTTATGTTGTCTACCCATGTGATTGTATTTTGAATTGAGTATTCATATTGTATTTTAAAAATATCTTAAAATGCAGCACGACGATGTGAGTTACTTTAAAATTACATACATCTTTATTATTTTTTGTATTATACGTATTACTTACAAATTTGTATGTTTGTAGGTTGTGTGGGCTATTATCAACAAAACACACTGCTCCCATAAAGTAACGTGAGTATGGATATAATAAACTGGTTAAAATATTTTATATAAACTGTTCATGTAAGTAACGATTTGCAATTTACGTTTCTAGGACAAAAACGCAGCAGTTTTGTCGAAATGAGTACAACTTGACCGGTTTGTGCAGTCGGGCGTCCTGCCCTCTTGCTAACAGTAAATATGCAACCATAAGGGAGGAGAATGGTATTATTTATTTATATATGAAGACAGCTGAAAGGTACGCTTCATTGAAATAAGTTGTGTGTAAACTAGAACCCATATTTGTTTGTGATAAAAGCTAGTAAAATCTCTTGAACACTTTTTGTGAACCAAGTTATTCTTTCTGAGTTTAGTCAGTAGATACAAATAATAATGTTGTTATTGTATATTGTGCAATTTTCTTGTTTCTGAGTGCCATATAAAAGATAGTTATTTCACAATATTTGTCAACAAAAATGTTTTTATAATTTCAGAGTAATGTTTCCTGCAAAACAATGGGAGAAAGTAAAACTTTCAAGAAACTTTGAAAAAGCTATATATCAAATAAATGAGAATCTTTTATACTGGCCAGCTTTTATAAAAGCTAAATGCAAGCAGAGATTTGTGAAAATAACACAATACCTTATTCGGATGCGGAAACTCAAATTAAGGAGAGTGTAAGTATTACAGTGTGTGTGTGTGTGTATAAGAAGATATGCATGATATGTATAAGAAGGCAATCAAGCAGATAGATACTGACCTGGTACTTGATCAGAGTTGCCAATGGAACCCCACAGCACAAGCGGAGTAATGCCCACCTTTTCAGAACGACTGTGCTCATTTCTTAAAGGTTTGAAGGATGGATTAGTTCAGAAATACTGTGCTGAAAGATCATCCCAAAGTTCTGCTGTGTGAGGCAGAAAGTTTTGCTAAAAATAGTGCGGTTGTTGATAGCCCACCATCTAAGATGGGGAAAAAGGGAATTCATAGGTTGGAGGTGAAATGATGAGAAAGGGATAAAACTGAACAGAATAATCTCCATGCAATATAGAAAACAAATGCAAAAAATTATAGTACCTATAATATATAATCACATATCAGTCCTGGTATACACATTTCGGTCTCTATTAATTTTGAAAAGTGACCTTTTGAAACACTTAAAATTAATAGCAATGCACTTTAATTAAAGTTGGTATTTTTCACTTACTGTTTTTTACAATGCATAAAGGGTGTTAAGACTGAATATTTTAAATCCATTTAAACTTTAATTGATTGAATTGATTAATAGTCTAATTATAAAATTACTTGGCATTAAATTGCCAAAGAGCTGAGCTAGAGCAGCCCAAATCCTAAATATGCAATATAAATTCAGCAATAATTTTATTTTACAATTAATATTTCAGGAAAGAACTGGTCCCAATACAACGTAAGATAGAGAGAAGAGAGAGAAGGAGGGAAGAGAAGGCCTTGGTAGCTGCTAGAATAGACAATGCCATTGAAAAGCAGTTGCTTGAGAGACTGAAGAAGGGCACTGTAAGTAAACACTGAATGAATATACCTTGTTAGTGTGTGAAGAAACTTTATTACTGAGTTATTTGCTTTCTGTTGGCCATTGTTGGATGCATTATTAGCCTAGTCCTCGCTTAGTTCATAATTTTTTTGATGGATAGCTAAATACACATACATGTTGACAACTTTACTATTCTAATTCTGTCACATTGCTCATTCCAATGATTACTATTTTTTCCAAAATCGAAACCTCTTAATAACACTACCTGGCCCAATGATTCAACCCCAGATGTTGTGGTTATTTAATTTTGGACAGTAGCTGTTACATTATTTTCGACATCTTAACATTAAATACACAATAATGAAGTTTATGTACAGAACTATAATATATGTATAAGGTGTTACAACATGCACCACATATTACAAAAAGAAATTAATAATAGAAAAAGAAATATTATAGAAACTTCAAAAAATATTATTCTTAACTAATTCAAATACAATATGTATAGTTAACACACAAATAAGATTATGAGTATTCAGTTCTCTTAGAAATCTCTAACAATAACATCGATTTGACAAGTGAATAATATTTATCATATATTAATTTCTGTTTTCAGTATAACGACATCTATAACTTCCCACAAATGGCGTTCGACTCGGCGCTCAAAGCGGAAGAGATATCAAGTGAGAGTGAGAAAGAAGATGAGGAAGAAGAGGAAGAAGAAAGAGAAATGGAACCTGAGTTGGAAAGGGAGTTGGAGAGAACCGTTGAACAAACTGACGAGTTTGTTGAGGCTGACAGTGATATGGATAGTGACGAAGTAAGTTGAGACTCTAAAACTAAGTTAGAATATATGTTGTGTGCTGAACTTATTTATGGTTAAGGGAGCATTTTATTAGGAATGGAGGCCAGTGTACATTTATTTATTCTACTGTTAAAAATACAGAAATAAGAACAATATTGTATAACTCTTTTTCATCTTAACACAAAACAGTCGAAATATCGGAATTTAATGCCCTAAGGCATTTCCTAACAAAATGTTTTTATAAAAACGTTCCACCTTTTTAATCTATCTCTGTATTTGTTCTACAATTATAATGTAGAAATTAATTACAAAGTAGATTATTACAAAATCACTATTTAACTTGCAGGATTCAGATTCTGGGAAGAAGGAAGATGCGAATGTTGGTAGTGACTTTGAGTCTGAAACATCAGACATTGAGGTAATTAAATTGTTATAGAGATTTTATATTGCTTTCAGTGTTTCTTCGTTCTGCCCTTTCATTTACACACACCCACAGGAATATCTGTGTGGTGCAATGTTAAAGAAATACAAATTGGCAGAAAGTCATTTCGGATGGAATTTTATTTCTTTTAGAATATCGTAATACAAAATTCGTCAGAAAC